AGCATGCACCTTCCCATTTCCACCAGTGTCCTGTTCATCGTCTCAGCTACACCATTGTGCTCTGGTGTGTAGGAGGTGCTGAATCGCTGCTGAATTCCCTTCTGTTTGCAGAATTTCTTGAATTCTTCGCCCACATACTCTCCCCCATTGTCTGATCTGAGAGTTTTGATCTTCTGCCCCGTGAAGTTGGTTGCCCAGGCCTCAAACTCCTTGAATTTGCTGAGAACCTCACCCTTCTCCTTCAGAAGATAAACTGCTGTCATCCTTGACTTGTCATCAATGAATGTGACAAAGTACTTTGCCCCACCATGACTTGGTGTCTTCATGGGCCCACACACATCACTGTGAACCACCCCCAGCAGTAGAGCCACTCTAGCTGCTTCTCCCTTTGGAAAGGGGCGCCTGGTGATCTTTCCAATGGCACAGGCTTCACATGGTGATGTTTCTGTGTGATTCTTGACCTCCAGACCGCTTCCCTGCTGGTTCCTAGCCAAGATTTTGATGCTGTTGATGTTCAGGTGTCCTAACCTGCGATGCCAGAGCTCCAAACTCATTCCAGAGGCTATGTTTGCATGTTCTCTTGCATGAAACTTGTATAGACCGCCGCCTAGAGTTCCCTGGATTGCTTCCTGACCATCTGAAGTCTTGATACAGCATCCCTTGCTGCCAAACTCAACTTTGGCACCGTTTTCAGTGGCTCTTCTTACTGAAAACAAGTTCTTTTCAAGCTTGGGAACAAACCACACATCTCTGAGGGTACAGAATCGGTTTCTGCCTGTCTCAAGTGTGATCTGGCCCTTCCCTATTGCCTGAACTGTTCTGTTGTCCGCCAGATGGACTTGAATTGGTGACATCTCCATGTAATTGGTCATCCAATCCTTCCTGTGTGACATGTGCTGTGAAGCACCCGAGTCCACAATCCACCAGACTGCTCCCTGAGAGGTTTTGGTTTCATCTCCCGACTGAGCAAAGAATAGGAACTCATTCTGAGTTGCCTGACTGGTGCTGGCTTGATTGGCTTGTTGTTTGGTGTCCGCCAGAAACTTCCTGCAGTCCTTCTTGAAGTGACCCTTCTTGTTGCAATAGAAGCACTTCCCTGCTATCTTCTTGGTCCCACCATGCTTGCCAACCTTCTGCCCACCATCCCTGCTGAAAAAGGCCTTCCCTTTGCTATCTCCTTCACCCCCAGCTTCCTTCCTGCGTGTTTCTTCATGCAAAAGCCGTGATGTGAGGAATTCCAGTGTCAGAGAATCACTCCTGGCCTCCAAAGACACCACCAGCTGTTCATAACTCTCTGGTAGGCTGTAGAGTAGGGTGATGACTTGGTCTTCTTCACTGACTGGCGCCCCAATGGCCTCCAACTGCTGAGCCATTGTCCTGACCGTGTTTATGTGTCCCAACATGCCCCCAGTGCTGTCTTCCATCTTCAGAGTGAGAAATTTCCTCCTTAGATAGAGCCTACTGGCAATTCCCTTCCTTTGGTGGACCTCACTGAGCTTTAACCAGGCCTCTTTTGCAGTTACAGCGGTCTGTACATGCATGAGTTGGGCATCACTCAGTGACAGAGCAATTACAGCCATTGCCTGCTCATCCCTTCTCCTCCAATCCTTCTCAGAGGTTCCCTCCATGCTCTCATCCCCCTCAATCACACCCCACAGCCCCTTTTCCTTCAGCAACATCATCATTTTGAACTTCCAGAGGTGATAGTTCATGCCATTGAACTTTTCCATCGTGAGTTTGGTGTCCAAGTCCGTGTTTGACATGTCTGAGCTGATTTGGTGAGTGGATTTGTTGTTGGGGAAGAGGTGAAGTCGTCCTGGTATGGTAGGTGGTCCAAATATGAGGTTGGGAAGAAGATAGGTCCGTCAGGAAGATGGTGTGGCCGTCAGAAAAGAGATTTGAAGCAGGAAAATATCAGTGATAGCTATCAGGGCTCATAACCTATTGAAACTTACTGCTTGGAACACTGATTTCCCATGTAGAAATCACTTCTGAAAGGCCTAGTAATGCCTGTGGCCGCTAGTAAGACTTCTGGGTGCAGTAACTTGTGGGATAACACGCTTGTATTAATTCAGAGACGTTCAAAAGTCCCCTTTATATAACCCAGTACATTCTCCAGCCTCCCTCCGCCTTTGTTTACTGTTTACATGCTTCAGCCCACTTGTTTACATGCTCAGCCATGCTCAGCGATGCTCAGCAGCTTCAGCCATGCCTTGGCAAACATTACCTGAAGATCTAGATCATCACAAATCTTCCAGACCTTCTAAGAGTGCTTACATGATGATTTACCCCTTTAAATCATTCCCACACACGTCTGTGATCATTCTGATTATTCTAAGTCCAATTCCCCATGTTGTAACTTAGCCAAATCAGATGTGAACTGTCTAATGACATCCCAGCATGATCTCACATGATTTATAGATCATACAGCGTGGTTTAAGCCTGAATCTCAACACATGTAAACAAGTGGGATGAAGCATATAAACAGTAAACAAAGGTGGAGGGAGGCTGGAGAATGTACTGGGTTATATAGAGGGGACTTTTGAATGTCTCAGGATTAATAGCATGTTATCCCACAAGTTACTGCACCCAGAAGTCTTACTAGCAGTCACAGGCATTACTAGGCCTTTCAGAAGTGGTTTCTACATGGGAAATCAGTGTTCCAAGCACTAAGTTTCAATACTCTGGTGTCATATCTGGTCTCTGCAGGGGCCATGTATGGTAGGTGACTGGTCCCATGCCTTTCCCATAGATGGCTCTGGCTAGAAGAGAGGCCTGATTGAAGCTCAGTGATATTCACCATAGGAAGGGAAGTGGCAGTAAAGGCTGCATGGAAAGGAAATCACACTGTATTGAAGATAGGGGATGGATTTTGTAAGTGGAAAAGAAGACAAGGCACCACCAATTTCTACAGCCTTTCTAGAGTGATTGGCAATAGGCAGTCTCTTTTGGAGCCAGAAACAAATCTCTACCTCTGCAGTTTCTAATGTAACCATTGCTGGCTGAGGAAAAATGGCTGAAGAAATATGGCTGAAGAAGCATGGCAAAGTATTCTTCAGCAAAGATAGTGGTCAGAAATTTGCAAATGACAGGACAGCCAAGAAGATAGCTGAGAAGTGCTTTTACTGCAGCAAGAAGCCCTACTTTAAAAAGAACACAGTGACTTTTAGGGGAGTCACCAAACAAATGCCAACACAAGCCAAGAAGCACATTCAGCAGCCATTCCTCTTTCTTGCTCATGGTTGATGACAATCCAAAAGGATTTGAAGGCACAGTCTAGTGCATTGAGACTAGGTACCTCACAGCACATGTCTTACAGGTAAAAATTGGATCATAAAATACACATCAGTATTACCAGATTAAGTTTGTCTGGTCAGCCACACCACAAAATACTTCAGGTGATATGGCATGTTTTAAATCACCCTTGATACACAGCAGATGCTGTACTCCCAAAGACATGTACTTTGTTCCCCAGACTTGAAAATGAACTTGTATGTGGTCAGAGGGCCCATTAAAATCAGCAAGGATGCTGTATCAGGCTATTAAGCAGTTATACTGTCATTGTGGTATTTCAAATTGATGTACTTGCATGCCAGCCACATCAAAACCTTTGGCAGGAACCTGCTAGCTTGCAGTTAGAAGGCTAAAAGGGTGTGGAAATATCACCATGTGAAGCATGTGCCATTGGCAAGAGACAACTCCTGAGGATGATTTATGATGATGTGTGTAAGTCCATAAAGTTCCAAATCAGGGTGGTAGAAGGTACATTATCACACACACACACTATTGTCAGTCAGGAATTTTAGCAGTTTAGCTTTACAACAGAGATTTGAGATACACAAGAAGTTGAAACAGTCCCAGCTGGGTACCAAGAAGCAACTGCTCCACTGGTCAGATTTATAATCAGAATGATGGTTCTTACATTGGTGCTTTGCTGGTTACCAGACCAGAGTAGCAGCCTGAATGACAATACAAACACTGAGTTCTTAATCAAAATAGGCAGCAGGTCAGTCAACTGGCAAAGCAAAAAGCAACCCACATCACCCTCCTATTACCTGATACAGTACTGCATCAGGCCAAAAGGAGCTATCCCTCTCACAATACTTCTTGGTGAGTTAGGCCACACAGGGACCAAACATATTCTTTTCTAGCACCATTTCATGGAAAGCTGTTGAAGACAAAAGATGTACAAACAGACTGTCAATATTCTTATCAAGGCATTACCCAAAGTCAAACACCTCAGTATTATAAAATAATAGGCTATATTTTTATACTAGTACTTGACTGAGTGGGTGTTGGAAATGTAGCTTGAATGTCTGTGGTTCATTATAACACTTATTAAATAATTTAGTTGGAAAGACTGGCACCCACAACTCTTGACAAGCTGCTTACCACCATCTACTACTATTATAAGCATATCAAGCAGAGGTCAAAGTCAGGTAGAAATTCTATGATCTCCATTTCTTTTTCTATAGTATTGCTTATTCACTACTCCCTCTCAGTCTAAGTTGCTGGAGATACTTTCTAGTACTGGGACAGTATAATATTATTACTCTTAATAGAATTAGCAACCTCAAATATACTGAATTGATTTTGGGAAGGTGTACTTACTGCAATATAACAATATTATCACTTCAAAATAGCTTTCTTATTGCTATCCTTAGGTCAATATGAACCCTGTGATTGATATCTCTGGACCAGGCATTAATATATATACCCCAAAAGCTCCACCTCATTTTCAAACTAATCTGTACTACCTATCTCTTCCCCTCATTGCTAAAACCCTAGTTTAAAATTTTGCAACTTTTCCTCTTATGGAGCCCCAAACCTGAACCCTTTAGTTTTGATTTACCAATCTCATTTTCTACTTGGTGGATACTTAAGATCCATTGCCTGGTAACTGATGCCCACCCATTTTTACTGTTTAAATCTGCTGCATTGCTGTCTATAATTCTAATAATAAGCTGGACATATTCAATAATTTACTTTTTCCTGATGTCACTTAGTCTTGCCCTTTCATGTACCTTTGTATTTTGAAAGAATATAAACTATATATATTTAAGTCTTGCCATTATAGGCCAAACATGTGCAAAAGATTTCCAATCTTATGCAGCCTGATGTGAAATATCTACCTCCCAGCAATATCATACTTACTTTACACCTACTCCAACCCATTAAGGGATTTGCAGGAGCAGTTTGCCCTGGGTTTTGCGGCCTAGAAGAATCAATCATGCCAAGTAAGTGTTCCCAGATAACAAGAGGAACTTCATACAAGGGATTTTCTTTGTACCTTCCAAGACATCATGTGCTTTTGCAGCGTTTTCAAGGGGATATATCATGGGAGGATCAATCTTAACCTGGCAACACAAATCTTAATAAGCCGCATCAGTCTGGAAGTCCAGAAAATAGGAGGACCACCTTTCCCGCTGCCATCAAGTCCATCAGCTGTTTCGCAAGTACATCAAACTCCTCTTTTGTCGTTAAGAACTCAAACAGACTAGGTCGCATTAGACGAATCGCACGTGGCACAAGTTTCATGATATCGATAGAATCCACCTGTTCAAACTTAGTCCTGAGACATATCATCACGGGAGGATTCACACAACTGACCTTTCCAGATGCATTCCCGAACGACAGCATGAACCCCAATCGCTTCAGACATGCAAGGGACTCGTCGAATGTTGATCTCCCTACGCCGTCAAACACTGCCGCCACACCTGAGAGAGACTTGAGGTTACAGACGTGCCATGCGCATCTTGCCACAATTGGCTTACCTTGGCCGTTGGTAAGCTTGCGTACCTCCTGGACGACGTCATGCTTCGTGTACAGGATGATATCATCGGCTCCTGAAGATAGTACAACGATGAGATGGAAAGGCAATAATCGGCAAACAGCGGAGTGCAAGGCACCCACCAGCCCTACGAGCCGTATCAGCCTTCTCTTCAGAAGAGGTGGTTCCAATCACACGAGCACCTAGGTGCTTGCATACTTGGACCAACATCTGGCCGGTACCACCAGCCGCCGCCTGACGTAGTCACTTTGATCAGGACAGTGTCAAGGATTCAAATGAACAAGCAAAACGGCTTTTCAATTACATGCACAAGTACATCATCGCCCGGTTTGACTTCATACGCTTGCTGTGCCAACATCAGTGCCGTCAATCCTGTAAAGACGTTGTTAGAAGCAGCCTGAGTGTACACGAATAAGAATCCTCACCTTGGAGCAGCAAGGCAGCCCCTTGCTCCAGCGTCACTTCAGGAGGAAGTCGAACTACGTTTGCTGCAAAAAGGAAAGTGCTAAGCATCGATGCTCTGCCAACTCCTGATGTGATCTTGTAGTTTCAGTACCCAGGGCACTTACTGGGAGGAGTCGCAGTATATTGGGCGTAGGTAGATGCAGACAAATATGCGACTCTATCACCCTGCGCGAAACCGCTGACCTAGAGTTGGGTGATTAAACTTGGGGTCCTCTAACCCCACAAGTTTTGAACATACCCCTTCACCAACGGCTTCCACGATCCCAGACGCTTCACTTTGTTGAGGCGATAAAAATGTTTATTTGGTTCGTATCAGGATGATTTAAATCCCAGGGATGCTTACCGGCCCAAGATGAAAGGAAGCTCAACCTTATAAAGACCACTGCGATGATAACTACGGTTTTGACCCGTTTTAAGAAACTCTTGTGGGCACGCAAGCAAAGTCCGCAAAGTTGAAACACATTACGTATCAATGAAATTGACACCGACAAAGGAATTCTTGATTAATAGGCGGCCTGTATTTCGCCAGCAGTATGTCAGTCTAATATTTAGCTTAATGCTTCGGGAGAAGAGTTTTTGTCCACTCAACGCCTACCTGCCGATACCGCTGGCTTGTCTACGTCGACATACTGGAGGACCGAGGAGTCCCCTGTGTTTCGAACTTGGATGGCTTTCATGCTCGATGGGCAGGCGTTCGTGTGGATGAAAGTAGAAGCTCGCAGAATCTGAAAATGATGCAGGGGACGCTGCTGGGCTGGAGAGGAAAGAACTCTCCTTATCGCTTGCATGAGTCATTAACACAGGCGAGACCTGTCCCCAGCCTGTCCCGCTTTAACTACGTGCTTTGTAATTAGAAATGCAGCTAATTTGTCATTCCAACACGGTTGCGAACCCTACTTCTTTCAGGCACAACGAAATTTACAAAACTTTCTGTTAGCACTCTGCGTTTTACCGCTGAGGGAGATATACAGGTCCCCCCGGGATGGGAAACCAATTTCGAAACGTTGGTGCAGGGAACCAATTCCGCATGGAACTATTCAAGGGAGCATCTACAACCCCATTCGAACAGGCACATTGACTATACTTGAGTAGCCTGCGTTTATCCCTGAGCGATACATAACAGACCTGACCATCCCCTCAGAGGACGTAATATTATATTCTGAAACGCCGGCGCAGGAACTTTAGAATACAGTCCGGATCCCAGCGGTTAACCAAATAGTCACAAAAACATTTACATTCTCATAAAGATTCTCCAGAGGTAAAAGATCATACATACAGATATTGTTTGAAATGCCAGCTCTGCGACATGCTTCTCATCGACCCTCATGCTGTCTCGCCCCATCCTGCCTGTCGCGATCTACTTCGTGCAGGCCAGTACCATTCTTTAACGTACTTGACGCGATGGGCGCATTTTTGGGTGGAGATACAGGCGGTGAAACTGGAATCGGTTGAACACTGCCTGAAGAGACTGCTTGATGGGATGCAGCCATTGTCCCCAGCGATACGCCACCTGTGCTCGATGTGGATCCTAATATGGGCGGACGTGGCGCTGACTGTAGAGGGTGGGAAGTCGAATGCTGGTGGTACGTGTTCGGGGAAGTTGTCGCTGGGAAATACGTAGAGGGGTACGATGTTGGCATGGTCACATGTGAATAACTTCCATTCGATTGGTGATGTTGTGGAACGTAGTTGTTTGCTGAAATCTGAGGTTGCGCCGGTGATGTTGTTGACGGGGAAAGATGTATCGGAGGATTGTGTGGATGGGTTTTGTTCGCATCTTGCGCTCGCTGTTGATGCTGATGCTCCGGTTGCTGCTGATTCTGTCGTTGAGCTTGATGATATTGCTGGTACTGCTGGTAGTAGTTGATCTCCTGGGCGCTCGGGTATGCATGCGCATACATTTGCTGTTGTTGAGAGAAACCTGCAAGAACCGATGGAGGTGGAAGAACAGCACTCGGGCGGATGGCAACTGTCTCCGAAGGGCTACCTCCTGTCGAAAGGAATCCCGGCGGCCGCACGTTAGGGGCACCATGATCCTTCTGGTCCGTAGGATATCCATCTACTGTCGGTGATGGCATTCTCCCAGCATGCCCACCTGCGCCAGTTTTATTGTGCATCGCGGCATAGTGTCCAGGTGCCCGGCCCCGGACGACCAAGGGAGCGGATTCGGTGATTGCTATTTTGATGCGGGACTTATCTGAAAGCTCAGCATACAACTCTGCCACAAGGACATGATACTGTTGTGCGGCACGTCGCTTGCCATTGTTAGCTGTAGCAGCCTTGAACTGAAGTCGCTCGTAGGTCACGCTATGGAACGAGTCCACTCCTCGCGTAGCTGTGGTCATAGGATCTTGAGGTTGACAGAGCTTCGGCTCGGGTAGCATCTGCGGACCTTTATCCCGTTTTGCCGTGTGCTGGACAAGTTCGACTTCCCGCTGACCATTTGAGGTACGGGCACCAATGCCAACATGGAACGCGGTGACGGTATGCAGCTGACCGTCTAGCGCTACCAAGCAGGGCATTTCCACGCGATGTCCCACTGTATCCATTGCCGAGAAGCTGATGCTGACCTGAAAGTAATTCCGACGGTAACAGGTCCAGTCATTATCCGCCAAGAAGAAGCCTCTTTCTATGCGCGGGTTGAGTCGAATGGAGTACCTGGTGCAGGCATGAATACCTTTGGCAACGACTCAAAGATGTAGCATACTACACGTACGATTTATTTCTATCCATACTAAGGACTGCGCAAGATTGCGTGGTTGGCCGCCAAGAAGGGGCAGAATCCATCCAGCGTTGCCGACGGAGGATCGGAGAATCTACTTCATTAGAGGCCGAATCCGGAAACGGGCTGCCATACACGTGTCAGAAATTGACAAGAAGGCACAGCCCATATAAACGAGACAACTCTACCTTTGGCTAACATCCCGATGTCTTTCTTCGTCGTCGGCATTGCCAGTGGCAGGCGGCGGCAGCCCATTGGTTCCCTGCTGGACACTGGAAGTAGGACCGACTCCAGGTGAGAACGCAAGGGAAGTAGGCGAATAGATAGGTACGTAAGGAGAAAAGGTGGAGGGCGGTGGGGCTGACCGATTCGCATACACGTAGGAAGAGTAGGGCTTTGCGGCAGCTGATCCAGTAGGGGCGTGTTGAGAAGACGTAGACGTTGGGGATGAGGTAGAGTTTGACGTAGGACCGTTCTGGGAAGTTCGATTGCTGTAAGCAGCATTGCCCGTGGACGACGGATAGGATGCAGCAGCAGATGCCATCCCTGCTCCACGACGACGGTGGTGTCTAACACGATTGCTGACGTGAGGACTGGGGAGAAGGTTACCCAGAGTCGCACAGCTCGTCTTTTAAATTCCCAGGCTGAGATCGCGGCTGATTGCTGATGGAATAATTTTGCACGACAATTGACTATAAATAGTAACTATTATGCCATAAACAGTCATATTTGTGCACGCCACCAAGAGTTGGACCCCTGCTGAGCCTCCGCTACTGTCTCCACATATGGACATATGATGCACTACAACCGATTCGATGAGGTTGATTCCAGCAGGGTGCTTTGGACGCTGACCACATCACTCACGATATCTGGTAGGAATATCAAAGATGCTTGAGACTCACAGATACAGTAAGATGGGGCAGAAGGCAACTGGGATAATGGTATAGGCCAAATTGGACTGAAATAAAGAAGTCTAAAAAAAGTCTATCTACACAATTGCTGCGGTCGCGACGCGACGTACGCGACCGAGCTCATCTATCCTTCCAAACAGTTTGTACAATCCACTGGAAGCCCACAAAACGGACCACCCGCAAGAAGAGTGTTACATCAATACTGGTTCGTCGCCGACCCAATCCCTCTTCACAGTAAAAAAGACGTCCGTCCCAAGGCCTTCACGAGACTGCAGAGTAAGGTCCCCCTTGAAATATCGCGCATACTACATAAAGAGAGAACATTAACAAATCGGACAGATGAACTGATCAACACTTTAATATAACGCTTACCAACTGACTCAACGGTAAACCGTATCCGAATCCGGCCATAGGAGCTCCATCAACCTCCGACCCATGAAAGTCCGGATCTATAGGTGCTTGCTTCGCCGTGGTGTACGCATACTGGAAGGCCCTGTCGACTTCTCGCACTGGAATGCCGACGCCCTTGTCTGATACCCTTATAACGATATCGTCACCCCTCACTTGGACATTGATCACCACAGGCGGCAGATCTTGTCGTTTTGCCTCTCCCCGTCCCACACGGGTCTCCTCTTTCTCAACCACCGCCCGCATGGCATTCTTGCATATTTCGAAAATGATATGGTGCATATGAGAGGGAACATAAACAAAATCTGGCACGCCTCCTTCCGGTATTTGAATCTCAACAGGTGGTGACACCCCGTAAGATTGCTCACACACTTCCGCTGCATCAACTGACGCCTCCGACGCCACATCCACCACGCTTGTACGGGTGCAAACAATTCCAATGTGGTGTGGAAATCTATGCTGCCGCTGTAGTGCGAGATGATGTCCAATGAGAATTCGTACACCAACTCGGTTACGATGAAAGCGGTTGAGAAATGATTGAACTTCAGGGTGATGCTCGGGAAGGTACGGGTGCGACTGAGTGAGCTGCCGAACACCTTTGCCGACAATGACAACGACCGGATTATGGCGGTCTACGATTCTCTTCAGAATGGTGTTGAATTGTTTGTTATAGGCAGGTGCGGCATTGACAAGGTGCGGAGATTGGCATTGTCCAAAGTATGCACTAAGTCAAGAGACAATGTCAGTTGCAGAGCCAGAAAAATATGAGAGTGAGCACAACATACAGGCTATCGGCTTCCGCAGACACTTGGTTGACTGCTGGCATGACAGAGGGGCGTGTCATATCCAGAGCTGCAGTGCTTGCTAAGCCAGGTGGTAACACATCGAACTCATCTTTCCGACCACGTGCTCCACCGATCAGCTTACTGAACCACGATCCCATGCCCTGCATTCCATGTTCACTTTCAAACTTGCATCCCAGACTGGGATTACGACGATGGGCGTCGATCACGTTGTAAAATTCGACCAGGTCCTTGAAGCTCTCCGCATACCAGCTTTTCACTTGATGAACAGCATGCATTTCCTTAAGGCCATACGGCAGCGTTTCCAGTTCCGCATATCGGTGAGCTAATCGGACAGATATTTCATCAGCCAGGAACTTTGCGGCTTGCAAAAGAGTTGACTGTGAAGGACGCTCGCCTGGACAGATATAAACACTTTAACAGCAACTCTATAAAACCCACACAGCAAGCAAGTACCCACCAAACTTTAGCATTTCCTCAAATCTTACAGGCCGTGGTGTTCTCTTGGCATAGGCCGCCAAGCGGGGGGCGACCCAGGAAGGCGATGGAGGCATGGACAACCAAAAATACCGAAACAGGAGTGCAATGAAAAAGCGATGACAATGTGGGAACAAAGTCAAGGGAGGCGAAAAGGAGAAGGTCCTTTATATCTATCGTTGTATCTGCATCACCCCGTCGAAGCGTGCTGTCGCAAGATGGCGAGGATTGGGCACACCTGACCCAACAAAAGGTCGATTATTTCGGCCGGCGCTTTTCCAATGGGAGCGCGTGACATGCAACTGTTACACAAACCCATGTGGAATTTGAGTTTTGTTTGCGTAATGTCACGTGCAATTCATGACTCACGCTCCGACCGAAGGCTTTGGTAAGCCAAGATCACTGGCTTCTTTCGCGGAGCATATGGATGGCGTGCGATTTGAACAGGAACAGCATAGAGCCAGAATTCATCCTAGTTTACAGCCTACGTGCTGAAACTCTAATCATTATCAGCTGGACGTGTGTGGGAGTCGTCAATGTTTTATGAATATTACATTATGTCCATTTAGTGCCTCCAATTTGCATTCCTATTTACAGAGTCGCCTTAGCGACTGTCGCCGTCCCGTATTATGTTCCGCTCCATCCAATTTGTTCTCCTTGTTCACCAAATGGCCATGGCTCTCATCGACCGAGACTATATCCATGCTGAGTCGCTGTTTACCAGCCTTTCCTTTGTAGGTCCTGATGGTCTCCTTTTTGCTTTGCGGCACCAGTGGTTTCCCAGTAAGCGATGCATGCTCTCCTCGCATGAGCGGAGCACGCGATTCTTGTCCTATATCTTGGACCTTTGCAACCTGTGCTACTTCTGGTATTATGGTAGTTTGATCATCATCCATGTCCATGGCTGACGCGGACAATGACAGCAATGCCGCAACTGCGTCCACTTCCTGCGTTGCCACAGGACTTGAAGGGGTTGGATCGCCCTCTTTCTGTGTCGTGTTATTAATTTCAAGACATCTATGATCATCCTGGACCGGCAGGGTGCCAGCTTTTATGGCTTCAGACTTGAGAGAACGACGTACTGATTTCCGCGTGCCTGCTTGAAGCTGCCTGTCGACACCGTCGGAACCGGCACTCCATGTGTGTGATGATACTACGGAATCAGTGCTCTTTGTCGTCGACTCTCCGTCACCGCCAGCGCTCAAATCGCTCCGGCGATGATTCCGTATCCCAGGGCGACGAGAGCTCCGAAGTGTCGATAAAAATCCATCAGCCTTCGTCCCCGACGAATTCAGAAGACCAGCATTTGAATCTACGTTTCCTTCCGGGGATGTCTCACATCCTGACAACGACTCACTACGGTCTTCAGCGACTGTTTCCTGACGTGCTTGGGCTACTATTGATCTACGCAGCGCTCTTGCAGCCCGCTGTTTCGAGAGAGGTTCTTTTCCCATGATGGTATCATCTCTAGACATAGGCGATTCTGTCGATGGGGTTGCATCACCTAAGATGTCAGACTTCTTAATTCCTCGTTGCAACGATGGAGATACATCCGTGCTCAGGTAACCTCGGGGACGTTGACGGGACCCTGACTGTCGCGCAGCACTGCGGGATAATTGCTGCTCTGCATGCGAGAGCGCCTGGCGATCAGGGGTTACAAGCGATCGTGGGAGTTGGGTCTTCCTTCCGGGACTTCTCTTGGCTGTTGAGGAGATGAACCGTGGGGATCGACGCGTTGGCAACATTTCATCGTCGCTTCCCTCACCCTCAGAATCTTCTCCCAGGACTGCTCCGCTTCGACTACTGGGAAAATGGTTTTCGGTATCAACTCCGTCCCGATGACCACGGCCACGCAAACTCCTCCGTTTACCAGGTAGTTCTGAAGGAAGGTTCCCGGAGTCGTTCTTAATATCATGCACTCTAACGGCGGCTGACCGTTTCACAGACTGTAGTGCACTGCTTTTGCCGGGAGTAAGCTCTGTCTCGCTTTGCAGTGCTGGATGCCTTTCGGGAGTTCCCTCTGCGTCGCCATCACTGTCTGACTCGGTGCTCGATTCATCAAATTCATCGTTGTCACTTTGTTCAGAGGAAGCAGCTGAATCACCTGTCTCCACATAGCTGAGTGACATGTCATCGTTATCACTCCAAGGCTCGAGTTCTACGTCTTCTAATGTGCCCCGGTCTCCAATATTGTCTCCGATTCTATCACCGGGGAACAGAGCTTTCCTCACTAGCCACAGATCTTCAATGACAGCGTCCAAGCCCCTACGCCTTCGCCTTACGATATCCGGCGATAACTTTGGAATTGCATCAACAACGTCATCATCACCACTTCCGGCTCGTCGATTGCGGGTAGTACTAGATGTCGAACCGCTTGCAGCACTCAGATGACGCTCACCCAATTCCTTTGCCACCACGCTCCTCATATTCCGAACCAAAAACAGCCCAGCATCTGCATAGAATCCACGGTTCTTCAAAACATCCTTATACTGACTAGCGAGCTTTTCTCTCTGATGTTTTCGCAACCAAAATTCACGTTCGTATGATTTGACTTTGATACGTTTAACTTTGGTGGATTTAGCTTTCGATTTCCCTTGCTTTCCGGTCTTTTTGGATTTTGCTTTGAATCAAAGAAACAAATGAAGGTAATAAGCGAATGTATAACGGTCAGGATACATACTTCGCGAAACATGTAATTTTACCAGGATCTTGCTTTGCCTCAACCTTCTTGTTCAAACCGATAAAACCTAGCAACCATCAACCAAGCGATTGTTAAAGACTCTTGGGAAAATTGCACACCATCATGAACAAGTAATCGTGACTTTATTGTACCTCGGCAACTTTTGGCCCCACACAGGCACTGTTGCATGGGTCCGAACGCCTCGAAACGATAATCGTAGGTAAGCTCGGAGCCCGCGAAAATATCCTCAGAAGAGAAGAGGCCGACGCAATATTCCCCATCCACCAGCCTAATATTACACACGTTTGTGTGAGAACGACTAAGGTGATGACCGCAGCTCGGGTGAAACAGAAGATATAACCAACCATTTTTCGATGTGACAGTTGGGTTCGCAACTATGGTTGACAAACCTGGCCTCTGTCCCTTTCCGGCATGCATCGATGACTTCTCCTCTGGCATAGTTCAGAAAATAGTAATTCTCAACATCCTTATAGATTGTTTCCATCCTCTCAATACATGTATCCTGCGATATGATCTCGCCACGGTACTCTATGACCATACTGCCACGCGGGATGTTGACCTTCGTTCGAAGGCCATGTCCCCGAACAGCGGTCTACAACGACCTGAGTTAGAATGCGAGGTCATTCAATGTGGAGGATAATGGAGACCTACCCACACAACCTCCAGCTCTTTTATTGACTCTCGCTTTTGAAATCGCTGGTTCGAACACCTTTCATTCGCAGGACAGTGCTTTGGAGAGCACTCTATAAACATGCATCTAAGAACGTGTGAGCCCGTCATCACACGCGTTGTATAATACTTCCAGTTGCGCACCTATTCAGACAATTATCCCTACAAGCTGGGTCATTATTGGACGGGATCTCGCATTGGCAAACCGGAACTTCTTTTCCCTTATGGGGCTTTCGATCAACAAAAATATCTGAAAATGCAAGCGTTGATATAGTAACATGGACAATTTGAAGACGTAATGAATGCTCCTTACTTTTCTGGATCCTGTAAAATGGACTGGGCGATTTCTTGGTAGCCTGCGCCTTCAACTGCAGTTGTGTCATGAATCGGTTTTCATAATGTTGCCCAATGAAACTGGTGACTTACAGCTGTCGGACCACCAAGAAGAGCGACATGTGTGACGATATCATAGGGGAGTTCAAAGTCAAGTTCTTCCTGCAGTAGGGTTGCTCCATGATTCATTGGTAATGGAAAGCTGAAGCGCGCTTGATATGCACGCGGCCGTAGTTTGGACAAGGCGTCGCTCTTGTAGACGGAGGAGTACAGCCCTGCTTTGAGATACCTCTTTTTCTGGTACAACGCCTTCATTTCCTCCGGACCGTCCCATATTGCCTCCGCTTTTCGCGCTAGCGCACCAGCCAGACGTGTCCACTGTTGACTTGATTTGTGTGCTTTGTTGATGGGGCGCTTCTTCTTGCCTAATCTGCGGCGCTTATGTTCAGCGGCAGACCCTGGCTAGAGTTTACCTCCAGGTCCACGCTTCGGCAGCGCATTCCCGTCCGTGGATTAATCGGGTCCTCTTTCTGCAACTTGACCCTCTTCCGGGCCCGTTCTATTGTCCCTCGCTCCTCGTCTAACACCCTTCTTTCTGCATACGAGACCCATTGGCTCAACTGCGTCGGCATACGTCCCCACCCAGCAGCATGGCGTAGGTCGCCACCGATATCGGCATCCACTAGTTTGCGGAGATGGTACTCCATTAAAATACCGCCCAACTCCCAGCCGTTGTCCCCAGTGCCGCAAAACAGGGCCGGCACCGGTGAAGAAAAAAAGTCTTTGATCTGTTGCGTAACGGAAGAACCCGACGTTCTGGCTTCCGGGAGTAAAACTAATGGAAAGATAGCGGGGGATACATCGGGGTTAGCCGACCGTCCCTGAAATGTTGAAGTGGTACGCGATTTGCGCTTGAATGTGGTAGTCCAAGCGTCCTCATCTTCAAAATCACCTTTAGTGGATAGTTCAGTGCGTTGCCCATCGGACCTCAGTCGTGGTCTTTTCCTGACAGGTGATGTAGGAACTTCAACGGATTCGGGGGTTATCGGACCGTCGTCAACATGGTGATCAGGGAGCGGGATCTTAAATGTTCCCTCAAAAACAACAGCGTGTGATGAATGGTTTGGTGGATCTCGGCGATGTAAAAGTCGCTTTGATCTGACAGGGGTTCCATCGGCGAGTAAAGATTTGTCCTGAACCATGGCGGTGAAGTCGCTCGTCGACTTGCTCTGTTAGTCACCGGAGCGAATGCTGCAGTGATCAACTGTTAGATGGAGTGTATAAGGCAGGCAATCAAACAGCAGGACGGCCTCAAATCCATCTAGTCACAGAATTGGACATACCTGCGGGGTTTCTTCCAATAAGCTCCTAGTCTATATTTTGCGCTTAAAGGCGAATGTGGATTTAGTGACTCCATCGTCAAGCGTCACGACAACAAGCGAGCATCCTCGGAAGTCCTTACATCTACTTAATTAGAGCGTCTGTGGCCCTCACACACACACTAGTTTCCCAGCTGTGCACACAAGACACTGATTGGACTGAAGCGATGAATAGGGACATGTTAGCAGAGAGATCGAACTGGATGAGCTACGACAAAACTAACCGTCGGGGTGGCAAAAGAATGGACCGGTGTCGAGAGACTAGACGGTTGTCCTTTAACCGTTGCTTCCGCGCAACGTCTGCCTCTGCGCGGCGCCCTTTCTGCTCTACTCGCAACCTGGAGCGCGTTACTTTTTTACGTAGGAGTTTCTAGAGCCGTTTGTCCGAATTCACGTGTTTCGGAACAACAAAGTCGGAGCGCTACTTTGCTGCTGCTGCTCAAAACATTCTAAAGTCAGAAGTCAATGGCACGCGAGGTTGCTCGCAAAGATGCTCCTCCATAGTAACGAGTGCTACCAAAGATCATGCTCTTGAATGGCCCAAAATTGTTATGTGGTTGGTAGCCAGGCTGGGCTCCACAACACATGACCAGCTTGAGGGCAGTTTGGTATCAGAAAAGGTCGATGTAAATGCCAGCGAAATAAGCCGCCAGCAGGGTAGTAGCTTAATCAACAAAGGCTTCTAGCTGTCGTGGTAATTGTTCTTGCGTGTTGTCGGGCAAGGTTTTGAAACCAGCTGTCATTGGACATCTCGGCCAGCTGGTTATGAGTTGATGAAGATGGTTTTCGGCGACTTTTGGCCAACATAAAGTTGTATTGCGCCCTCGTTAGTAAAAGATACGGAATACTTTTATATTTTCTGTGTAGTGTATATCACGACCACTTGGATCACCGCGCGATGGGCGGGTGATCACCGATCATCATGTGTCATTTCCAGTCATGAGCCCTTATAAAACGTCCTCAGAAACCAAAAAACAAATAACACTCTTCTCCTCACGCAAAATGCCAGACATTGCAGCAAAACCTAACCATGCGAAGCCGAGAGGCAAGCCAGGCGTTAAATCCGAGGATCGGCACTCAGTACCGGTAGACGAACAACCGATTTTGCAAAAGCTGTTTCAGTTCAGGCATGATTGTACGTAAAATTCAGTTTAGTTATGGACATGTTAGGAACGCTTTTTGACAATCAACCAGTTTCGAAACTTCGGCATCATACTCGCAATAATGTGACCTTGAATGACTTGAACAAGAAGGCAGACGAGCTCGCTCTTGTAAGTTTAATCATATATTTAAGTAGCTAGAAAAATGTTCACGAAAACTGGAAACATGCTGCAATAGATCATGTTCGACTTGCGTGCGGTCCGCGAGTCCAATCCTAATGCAGAGCGCAATCGCATTGATGAGGTTTTGGATACCATCTGGACCATGTTATTCTACACCTGGGGGAAAATTAGTCGCATCGATGAAGACCTTTACCCCGTCTATGAGCAGCTGGCACTTATATTACGTCGCTGTGCAGAGATGGACCAGTCTGGTGCTTTCACAGCGGAAGATGTAAATCATTTGAAAGAGAGAGTGCTAGAAATCGAGAGAAAATTCATGAGGAATGGGGCGTTCGTCAACCCTGACCGACCTCCAGCTCCTCTCGCAGATACATTAGGATCAGAATTGCCGACGGGGCAAGCTATCATGATATCAACGTTAAATAAAATTCGTAAGTCAGAACATGTCCAGTTGCCAGACTGATTTTGATCTTTCCCCAATTTTTGTCCACAGATCGTCTCCTTGGCCACCTTGATAACCTCACTGAAGATATTGATCCACAGCTAATGGCAATTCACGATCGTTTAGCGACCATCTCCAAGCATTTGTCACATCTCGCTGCTCACGAGGATTGCACATTGTCCGACATTACGCCACTGGAACACGAAGTTCAAATGATCGACGCAGGCCGCGTAGACGGCGCTTTTGTTGTACCAGGCCAACCAGCCAATATGGTTCTTCCGGGGCAAGGAGCTCTCAAAAATCTTTTTCACAAAGTATCGGAACAAGTCTATAATATTATGATTCGATTCGAACCGATCGACAAAGAGTTGCTTCCCATTTATGAATCCCTGCGGTCGCTAATGACGGACCTGATGACTCAATCGGAATCTAGCCTAGTTCTTAACGACAGTGATGTTGACACATATCTGGATCGACTATTCGATATTGGGTTGGCAAAAGACGGGGATGTTTTTGTTCCAACTGGACAAAAGCAAGAGGAAATGGAGAAGGCTCACGGGCAGTCTGTCTTGCAGTATTTGATGGAGAGATGTCAGTCATTGATACATGAAATACTTTGCCGTTCGGCAGGAACAAGGATGTAGGGCTAAATAAAGCATGAGCATATTCTGCGGAGCGCATCTATAACTGTAAATCCGCTTGCATCAACATGATCATAAGTAGCGTTTTCGCTGAAACATCCTCCGACTAAGAATTTCGGAATCAATGGGCTAGTAGGATTTCTCTCGTGGTGGTGGGCTTAGTTACCCGGTTGACCAACCGTTATGCATGTGTAATTGGGCCTAGTAGTAGTTAGTTACTTGTAAGGAGTTAGCTAGTTAGCTTTTCCGAACTGGTTGTCGCCGGTTCATTCCCTGGTGTGGAGGCACTGACATTTGTTTTTGCCAATACACTAAGTAGCGTTTTCGGACATTTATTCATATTAGAACACGTGAGCTTAGCTGCGCGTGCTCAAGATCTTGGGGCAGGAAGGACCGGCAGAACCTTGAAAACCAAAAGGAGAGCCCCAACATTCATCCCGGATTTACAGCAGTCAAAAATGCTTTAACCGGCACACAGTGGAACTCATTGTCACTGAGACAAGGGAAATAGCCCAGGGCCAAACATCCAGGATTATCAAATGCAAAGGATACACGCTTCTACAGCACTAATACTCTGGTCGGCGGCAGGTCCAGTCGCCGTTGACACAACCTACTCAGTTCCTCAGGCCCCCATCCTTGCAAGTCCCACATAATCAGTACCTTAATTGGCGAACGCCCATCGTGACATCTGGTGTATCACTGCTATGCCAAAACTGCGTTGCTCAGCAATCGCCGCTCCCGCCCGCGGGTTCCTCTTGGGCGTATTCTCCCCACAACGTTTCGCGTCAGCCCGCCATGTTGCGTCTCGCGTGTTGCTTCCCCCAAAAGCTCTCAAAAGCTTGGGGCGTGGAAGGTGATACAAGACCATAATTTCCCCATATTTGGGGCCTGTGGCGCAGTCATGCATAGCGGATTGCGTAATGACCAAGGTAGTTTGTGGGGAGAACGCCCAACGCTTTTCCTCCAGGCCTTTGACCCTTTGCCCCATCGATGGGGTTGTCCTTCCCCACACGCTTCCCGCTGCATGTTTATAAAAGGATTCCACTTTTTGGTTTACTCGTACCTCACAAAGCCTCCCGATCGACGTACTACATCTCATCTTTTCATCGATCTTCAATCACAATGGTCACAGCAACAAACTTGGGGTTCCCCCGCATTGGTGCAAACCGTGAGCTGAAGAAGCTGGTCGAGAATTATTGGAATGGAAAGCTTGATGAAAAGGCACTGCTTACCGGTGCAAAGAACTTGCGCGCTGAGCACTGGAACATCCAAAAGAAGGCTGGCGTACAGGATGGTCACATTCCTTCGAACGACTTCTCTTTCTACGACCAGGTCCTCGATCATTTGCACCTTTTCGGTGTCATCCCACAAAAATACCAGGGTCTGAAGTTCCCCCTCGAGGCCTACTTTGCTATGGGCCGAGGACTTCAAAGGCCCGACGAAGGCATCGACGTTCCTGCAATGGAAATGAAGAAGTGGTTCGATACCAACTGTAAGCATTGTATCTGTCTCATCGCTTTGCAAATGGCACCAAGCTAACATAAACTTCATTTCAAGACCACTTTATCGTACCCGAATTCCAAGCAAACCAAGAATTCACACTTCGCTCGCGCAAACCCATTGACGAGTTTGTCGAAGCCAAGGCTCTCGGTATCAAGACCCGCCCAGTTCTTCTTGGTCCAGTCTCCTTCCTTCGTCTTGGCAAAGCTGCCAAAGGTCAATCGTTCGATCCTATTAGCCTTCTTGATCGGTTACTTCCCGTGTACGAGAGCCTTCTTCGTGAATTGGCCAACGCCGGGGCCGAGTGGGTCCAGATTGACGAACCAATCTTGACCTTTGACCTTCCCGCCGAGTTCAAGAACCACTACTCCAAAGCTTACACCAAACTATCCGCCGTGTCTGGCATCAAAATTTTGGTCGCTAACTACTTTGGTCGTCTTGGCGAGAACCTCGACATTGTTGCCAACCTGCCCATCGCGGCTCTTCACGTCGACCTCGTTCGGGCTCCTGAGGAGCTCGATGCCGTTCTCAAGATAGCCCAAGACAAGAATCTTGCCCTTTCCGTCGGAGTCATCAACGGTCGTAACATCTGGAAAGCGGATCTGGACGCCGCGATCGCCACCGTCCGTCGCGCTGTTGGCCTCCTTGGCTCTGACAAGGTCTTTGTCGCCCCATCCTGCAGCATGCTGCACACTCCTCACAGCCTCGAGGCAGAAACCAAAATGGATAAAACCATTCTTGACTGGTTATCATTCGCCGTACAGAAGCTCAGCGAAATCGCCATTATTACCAAGGCTGTAAATCAAGGAGAAGACGCAGTCGCGGATGCTCTCAGCGCCAACCGCAAAAGCATGCAAGCTCGCCGTACGTCACCGCTGATTCATGACCCTCAGGTCCAGGCTGAGATGAAGGCTGTCACTGAGGAGATGTTCAAGCGCAAGTCTCCCTTTCCCCAGCGCGCAGCCGCACAGCAGGCCAAGCTTAACCTTCCCCCGTTTCCCACAACCACTGTTGGCTCCTTCCCTCAAACTAAGGAAGTCCGCGTCGCTCGTCAAAAGTTGAAGAAGGGCGAATGGACCCCCGCCGAGTATGAAGCCTTCATCAAAGCAGAGACTGACAAGTGCATCAGATTCCAAGAACAAGTCGGCCTCGACGTCCTCGTTCATGGCGAGTTTGAGCGTAATGACATGGTGGAGTATTTTGGAGAGAATCTCAAGGGTTACGTATTTTCCCAAAACGGATGGGTGCAGTCCTACGGCTCCCGGTGTGTCAAACCCCCAATCATCTACGGTGACGTCTCGCGTCCCAACCCAATGACCGTTGAATGGTCCAAGTACGCCCAATCCAAGACCCAAAAAGCGATGAAGGGTATGCTCACTGGACCCGTGACCATGCTCCAATGGTCCTTTGTGCGCGATGACCAACCGCGCCGGGACACTGCCTTCCAATTGGCTTTGGCGATTCGGAAAGAAGTACAAGACCTTGAGCGCGCTGGCATCCCCGTCATCCAGATTGATGAGCCTGCCATCCGTGAAGGTCTTCCCCTTCGTCACTCTGACTGGCAGGAATACCTCAACTGGGCTGCTCGTGCCTTCTTGCTCTCCTCCACTGGGGTTGAGGACACCACTCAGATTCACACGTACGTTATTGTTTGATGATTGCATATCGGCACATGCTAAACTAATCGTTTTGTTATCCAGCCATATGTGCTACTCTGACTTTAACGACATCTTCTCCACGATCCAAGCTCTCGATGCTGATGCCATTACTATTGAGAACTCAAAATCCGATCTCAAGCTTCTTAATGCATTCGAGCGATATGGATACACCAACGGCATTGGGCCTGGTCTCTACGATATCCACTCCCCCCGTGTTCCATCCGAAGAAGAGATGCGGGAACGCTTGCAAGAGATGCTAAAGTACCTGAAAAAAGATTTGGTCTGGGTTAACCCCGACTGTGGTCTTAAAACGCGTGGGTGGCCCGAGACTGAGCGCGCGTTGAGCAACATGTGTAGAGTCGCCGAGTCTTTCAGGAAGTCTGCATAATTTTTGTCAACGACGAAGGTGATAGATACGGTTCATTGTATATAAAATATTTGCCATAATTAGTATTTTTGCCCTGGTATTCTTGCATCTTGCTCCGATAATATCCTGTGAACAATACATCACGTTCTGTTGGCATGCTGCTGTCTGGGGATAGAATTTCGGCCTCTTTCCAGTTATCTGAGCCTAAACAGCCTGAACTTGCGGAAGCTGCTGTGCAGATCCTTTAGTTGGTGCTGCCGAATTATGGGGACAATCCTGTCGGCTACGACAGTTTTATCGCCAATTTATTTCGTGTTTACAGCCTTTCATGATCGTCAGCACCACATTACGTGGAGGACAAGTCAGGTTGGAGAGAAACCTTTGAACGAAAAGATGTTGAAAGCTGCAGCATCCCCGCTGTCGTTCGCGCATGTCATCAACACACATCGGTCGACGCGTGGCGAATAGATTGATGATGTCACGACACTAGGCGGAAAATCAAGAAGGTATAAATACAGAGCGCTAGCTCAACCTTAGACTTATTCTGCCAGCTAAAAGAACCTATCAAACAAAAACAGGAAAGGAAAACGATGACATCCTCACCATCAGCGCCGACCATTATCCGCACCCTGGATGCATCCATAACCACGTTTTCAAGGCCATTTTCCAGGTTTAGTGTATTCCCCGTAGGCATCCGTATGTCTGCTGTTCGCCTGGGGAACGGCGATCTTTTTCTGCTCTCACCCACGCCACTCGACGCTCCGACAACGGAAAAGCTGGAGCAACTTGGACGAGTCAAATACCTAGTGTGTCCTAATGTGGTCCATCACCTTTATGTTGGGGAATACAAAAAAAGATGGCCAGAGGCCAAGATCATTGGGGTCCCTGGACTGAGAGAAAAGAGGAATGATTTGGAATTTGATGGGATTATGGGAGAGAAGGGAAGCGAGAACAAACTGTACGGGTTCGAAAATGAAATCGAACATCGACATTTCGCTGGATCTGGAAATCAAGATACCTTGTATCTCCATCGTCCAACCAATACACTCCTCACGGCAGACCTTCTCTTCAATATGCCGCCTACCGATCAATATCCACCAGGGCATTCCTTCAACGTTGTTTTGCGCGCTATTTACTCGAAGCTGAAGCCTAACAGCGGGATGCATCGATTCTTTTCTCGATACATGAATACCAGCAATGCCGCGGAAATGCGGAAGGATGTAAAATACGTAGCGGAGAACTGGCGGTTTGGGAGGATAATACCATGTCATGGTGGCATCATTGAGGAGGGAGGGGAGCAAGCTTTTCGAGAAGCGTTCGCATGGTTTTTGTAAGATATTAACCAGGAATATAAACAAATGTCTGTCACGTGCCTACCCACCCTGCGCCAGCAAGCGCGACAGGCAGCTGCTGTTTGTGATCGGAACGTTTTACGTAGCATCAATAGCAGGGTTCCTCTCTCCACCTCTAGAGTCTTTATTCACATCATCGCGACACTACCCATTTGTTGTGTGTATAATGTCTTCTTGGGAGACGGTACCGGTTAATAAGAGAACGAAGAAGGAGGGCGAGTCGCCAGCAGGATCTCCGCGTTCCAGTAGGAACAGCAGCAATACGGGTTCCAAGACACCGTTGAATAAAACTTCCTCTGGCGCTAGTGGTAGGTGCCGTCTGTCTATGTGAGCAATCCCATCCATGGTGCTTGCTCGTGCTTAGCCCTCGATCTGCGTCCCAACAGGGTATTTTGCCGCACTTGCCACTGCACCGCTACCGGATGGGTCAGGGCTCCGTCAACGTTCTTTAGACGACGAGCACGAAGTGACAGACTTGACTGGGGAGCCTGACTATCCTGAACATATTGTTCCCGATGTCACAAACGCGACGTCCATCCGAACAGAGACACGACCCCGTGCTGCCACGCCGCAGCCAGCCATATCAAAGGAAAGCGCTAAAAAAAGTGAGAAGAAAGCGGATTCGGGGAACCCACATACGGAGGGTCTGGAAGGGCTGACTAAGGTGAGCAGATAGTTGAAAGCAGGATGATGGGGCCGAACTATCTGTTATTCCGGGAGGGGACCCATCAATGTCCACATTGTGCCCTCAGACGACTGACATTTTGATTTTCGGGCGGCTCGTAGCTGGATGTTGCCAGTATTGAAAGTCTAGTGGGAACCTTTGTGAAGAGGCGTTCCCCGGAGCCTGTCAAAGGACTAGCAGAAGCTTTGGATCAGATCATAGCACAACAGCTGAAGCTGCGCGTGCCAATATTTGGGAAGAATTTTTCATTACAAAAGTGGGAAGGGCAAGGTTGGTGCATCCACTTTAGACTTTTCCTGGATAACTGAGGTAACTAAGCGGATTCTCAATCGCCAGGGCCAATAACGTTCACGCCAGAGCCGGTTAAGCGGGTGTTAACAGGCGCCTTGAGCGACCTGGATGTCGCTACAGACTTACCCGGAGTAGTGAAGAATCTCATTGATTCGCAAAAGAAAGGTACGCGCTGTTGCCTGGGTCTCAGTTTCTTCCGATTTCTGTGTTCCTAACTTCTAGAATACTTGTACAGCGCTTGCGACCGGGTCCTCATTTAGCAGTGCTTCTATCGGCTACGCCCTCATTCTGCAGCTCATCGCATCGAAAGATGAGGATATGTTTTTCGAGGATGTTGTATCCGAAAAATCAGGTCGAACGTCTGCGGACGAAATGTTCGAGACATACTCTTCAATCTTGGGAACCAACCCGGCTGTTGGACATAGCCTTATATGGATATGTGCCCAACAGCGAGTTGCTGTCAGCAGGTACGGAAATGTGGGCAGAAGTCCCACCCATGTGGCGCATCCTGCGGGGCTCAAGTGTAAGTGTGAACGAGAGCCAGTGTCACTCAACTAAATATTCACCGACCTATACCCGCGTGTGTTCAGATTGGATGAAATTCTTGCTACCACTGTTCTCCACTCCAGACATCGCGTCGCCAAGAGGAAGGACAGGAATTGACGACGATTCTACGGTCGGCAGCAGCATCGCGATTTCCGTTCAACAGGCGGCTTTGGATTATTTGCAGCGTTTGCTGCATAGGTAATCAGGACGTTTTATTAAACTGCATTTGCAAGTGCTAACTCTATTTCGGAAGCTTGGATATAATACAGCTATCAAAGCGCAGAGAGGATCGCAGAAAGGGGTTACCCTCGATTACCGTTCGTGACTTTGTACTGTTGATGCGAGTTGCGGTCTCTGAACAGTCTGCATTGCGGAGAAGAAAGAAGGGAGATGAGATGCAGGCAAACATTAGAACTGCGTATGATATGATCAAGGTACCGCGTGCAATTCCATGACGTAGAGCACATGAGGTGGCAGGCGAAGCAGCAGGTCATGACTGATCTGGAACATTAGCAATGGACTTTTGGTGTCGATACGAAACCACGCCTTGTGTATACCAATGAAACACCCGAGAGCGCATTCACTTTTCTTTTGGATGAGGTGCGATGTGAAAGAGATACCGTTGTGCGCAACGAGGTATGCCGTTTTGTCATCCTTTCTTTCTGCAGTCATTTTGTGATTAATATTGCTACAAAACAGCTGCTGGACACCTTAACCTGGATTATTGCATCCGACACCTCGCAAAACCCACTCCGAAGAACTGCCGCGAAAGGTGCACAAGGTCTGCATTCGCGCGTGCTTACAGCTTGGACCTCTATGTACGAACGCAACCTGAACGAGAGCCGACTACTGGCGCGAAGGCTGACAGAAGAAGGCAAGAAAAGACCTCGTGGCAAGGTCTGGCAAATGGTATGTAGGCTATTGGAGGACAATATGCTATCTTGTAGCTGATTCGTATTTAATGGAACCAATAGATACGCCTTTCCGAAGTGTGCTACGCCGTTCGCGACATCAAACAAGCCAATGAAGGATTGCTAAAGAGGATCGCAAAGCGAAGAGACAGAGAAAGATCAGGACATAAGCCAACAGAGATTGCGGTAGTCCATCCGGATCATTCTAAACAAGACCTACTAGCTGCCAATCGCGATCTAAAAGTAAGTATATGAATGTATCTACTGTTGTGTTAATGTGTTTTTTTTCCTAAAAGTAAACAAATCTCTATGACAGGCACTGAGTACGATGCTCTCACAAAAGCCGCGGAGCGCTCTGCGCTCATTCCTCCGGACGTTCGTGTGGGTCGTGCTCACTATTTACTTGTCCCGCTCGCTTTTGGATGTTATGTGTGAACCAGGCTCCAACAGAGTGTGTCCTCTTGATGATCCACGTGTGACTAAGTTCCGGCAACAGATTTGGGACAGTCAGGTGCTACCCGCATATACACTTGCGAAAGATGAAGTCCTCAAGCACAGTCAGCCCGTTCTCGTCCCTCTATATGAGAAGGTCGATGTGGTATTGCATCCTGCCAAGGATCGCGCACAGCGTCAATGGACACAGTTTAAAAATACCGAGCAATACCGTGCGGTTTTGGACTTTGGACGGTTTTATGTCGTCCCATGGCTGGAACGCGTTCGACAAGAGTGGCGTGACGCAATGGTGGTTTTGGTGGACGTTGTCGCTCCATCCCTGCGACACGCATTCCGTGACGCGAAGGTTGCTTTAAAAAACAATTTGCCAGTTGCTCGAGCACGTATTGCGGTATATGCGCGAGATGCACGAGCGCTAACGCTTCGCCTTTCTCAAACTGCTGAGAAGGAGTTCTTGCATTTGTGGGATCGCCTACACCTTGCGGAGAATAAGGCGTTGGTTAAAGTACGTGATGTTGCCCTTCCATACTGGAATTCAACCCGCGGAGCGCGAAATACGCTTCAAGAGGTGATATCCAAGTGGGTTGATGGGGTTGATTTTCTGTGGCGCGTGGTGGAAGATCGGGTGGAGAAGAGAGAGTGGACAAAGATCGGGAACTGGGGGAGGAGGATATGGAAGACGGTGCAGGGTTTGAATGAGGATGAAGATTGGGATGCCGATATGGACGTGGATGACGAGCAAGAAGAGAAGAACAGGAAAGTTCAAGGAAAGACGCATTGACGTAGGAGTCATGCGGATGTTCATCATTTTGCACGGGCGATATTTTTATCTAGGATTTGTAGTCCCAATAGCTTCCCCGGTCGTGGCAAGGCACGGAAGGGCTGGCTGTCATTGACTGATGATCATAGCTTGGGCCAGCCTCCGTCGCCTAGGTACACAATAGAATACCTCAAATGGATCATCCCTCTAGAAGGGTGGATATATCTTAAATGCACAAAGAAGCGTCGACGTGATATCATGTAATTCTTGGAGTATAATACAGCTAATGAAAACCTCTTAGTCACATTCCAACCTTCTTCTACCTTTACCGACCACTTCTCCCATTACTACGCAATGCAAAGCAGTCATTACCTCTTCCACCCAATTCAAGCGGTTCCGTGTAACAGATATTCGTAACTCTTTTTCCGCTTCCTGGTAGGTTTGGTTATTTCGTGCCATGATAATTCGAACCAAAGCTTCAGGAAGGAGAACCAGGCGGGTAAATTTGTCGGCTTTTAACGGTGTGGAGAGAAGTGCAAGAGACGATGATGAACCGGATTCTGAAATGCAGGTTATTTGATCTTCGCTGTGAGAAATGTCTCTCTTCACCTCTGCTGGTTTGTCATGCTTGATCCCATGGGACGAACTGGATGCATTTGGCTCTATGGCGCTGCTTTCTGGTTCCGCTGTGGCAGGGGGAATATGTCGTGACTGAGATGGTGGAGGAGAAGGTAGTCGCCCAACGTGGGTTTGCTCCTCAGATGCGGAAGTCTTCGCACTTTCCCTTTCTAGAATATCTCTTGGGTCCCGGTTCCCCATCGAGCCCTTGTTGTCCAACTCATCCCCTTCGTCTTCCGCCGAGGTTCCCCCTTTTGCAAAAAGACTTGCAAAAAATCTCTCCTTCACCACGCGTACCACCATATCAATCTGATCTTTCTCAAATGGTCCATATGAGAGATTGTGCTCTAATTGCTTCACTTTTCCATTGAAGAATGCGTCAGCTCTACGGCATTGATCCACAGGACCAGAAACCAACAGCCCAATGGCGGGCAGCACGGCGTCTAGTTCGCACGCGAACGGAGAGTTATTTTCATGGCGACGCGGTGACTCGTTTGAATGATAATAATAACCCCGTATATCGCCGACCTGGAGGCAGTGTGTCATCGTGGCAGATCAAGTTGGCAACGGGGAAAGGATTCATCTCTTACCTCAACCATCTTGAATGCCTTCTCAAATTGAGTATGGAACTTGTTTCTTGGCAAAGATCTGGTATAGCCTTGAGCGAACGAGACTTTATACTTGGCCGTAGTAGGATTATAACTCTTAATTTGGGCGGGATAATATCGTCGGTCTTCGGCAAAGAACGCCAGCACAGCCTCTCCAGGTATTCGCAGGCTGCACCGATAAATATACACTTTTAGAGGTGGACAAGGAAACCTGACCATTGTAGCAAGCACGCTGTGCAAACCTCGCATCTCCTCGATCTATATCGCTGTCTGATCTGGAACGAAGGAGTGAGCTTAGATCACAATGACGATAAGATCCGCGCCCATGCATACCCAGCGCAACCATTTACATTACTTTCCGCTACCGAGGAGCTCCCTGCGTGATAATCTCGCTTTCCTCCCTTTACCGCAGGCTTGCTCGTTCGCTTTGCTGTAAGGTCGAAACAGAACTTCAGTATCTCGAATATGTAGGATGGTCCTCAACCATTCCATCATTCTTTCTGTACCTTTACAAGTAGCCCGGTTTTTAGTCTTCTTCGACGGAGAGCTCCAGAGGACGTCACTTGGGTCCATCACCAAGTCTGCATCGTCGTCACTGTCGTTCATAACTTGACTCTCTGACCGCACCGTGCCCCCTTGAGTATGCGATTCCAGGGCTACATTGTGGAGAGGAGTCTGAGCTCTGCCTTTCGACAAGCTGTCAATTGTGCCACTGCACCCGCGATCTTTCTGGACTTTGGTGCACATCGTCTGCGGCCGTCTCAGCGCCGTACCCGTCCGAGAAGATTCAGTTGTCCTCCCTCTCCGCTTCCGCTTCTGTCCTGCTGCGAGGCTTTCCTCACATACATCCGCCGAACATGCAGTTCGGTCAATAGACGCATGCTCGTCACCATCCTCTAGTCCTCGGATGATCCTTCCATTCTGAAACTTGCTTTCCCGGCAACGATCTACTTTTGGAGTAGCAAATGTCGCCTGTTTGTTGGTATCAGAGGCGGCCTTGCCGCTTTTATGATGGACGTGCGCGTTTCGTAGCCGGGAAGAACGTCGGTGGGACGCGGCGACCTCTGATAAGCGGTTATCGCTTTCCATTCATACAAGAGAGGATGTTTTCAATACTGCAATGTGGAAGAGTTGTGCGGTGTATAATGGGTAGGTTAGAAATCGTATGCTTTACAATGGCCAATGCCGTTACATCTAGATGGTAACAAAAGAACAGTGAAGAAAAGAAATTCGTAAAGCCTCTCGGACCGTTTGAACGGTCGGTCCCCTGCAATACTGAAGACTAGTCTCCGCGCTCAACTCTTTAAGATGAGTATAATTTCATTTCCGACAAATCACAGCACACAAAGTCTGAACTTGAAGGTGAACGCTTGCTAGTCATCATTCGCCACGTGATCAACTCCCGTGTTTTGTCCAATCCTTCAACTGCTCACTAAACAACAGGAAGCTCCTATTTACGTCTCTTTTTTTCATGCTATTCTACCCACTTTCATCGCCAGCGAATTCAACGAAGCCGACTTGTGCGGATGATGGGGTTCAAGCCTATAGTAAAAGTGCCCAGACAAATGTGAGTACTTCTTGAAGTTTAACCATATCAATCGTACACGGTCTGGATACATTACAGCTGGGTGTTCCCTGGCTACTTCTTTCGCCGTCTCGGCATCAATTCCCTTTTCGCGGGCAAAGTCCTCAGCTGAAACCACCTGCACGCAAGGGAGAACTAATTAGACATCCCCTATGGCATCAAGCGCCGAGGTTTGATGGATACTTACATGAACCCGTTCCTCGTACCTCTTCAAGTCTTCCGCAGAAGCACGATCCAACTCTTCCTCGTTCGTAACGCTCATATAGTTACTATCGCCAAACTCTCTAGCAAGAGGCAGCTCTTCTTGGATCTCGTCAGCCGTTCCCCAATTGTGTTTCCCTCCACCTTGCTTCTTCGGAGCGCCTCTAGCGTCTCCTCCGTGACGTTGAAGGTGCCGGTCGTGAATAGCTGCAGCGGGGCCTGCAGAATGGGAGTGCGTACGAGTCATTATTTGCCGCTGAGACTTTTTCCTATGGTTGTGACCACGATAGTGAAAACTAACGTTGAAACAAGCGTTGCTTCTCAAGGCGTTACACCTGATGACCCTGCATCATGCTCTGCAAGGCATGACGCGTATGCTGAAGTAATAGATCACATGACCGCCAACCGCTTACGAAGTCACAATGACGACACTCGCTTATGAGCTGATATAAAAGACGGGCAATGCGAAAGACAACCTTCCTGCATCGACGCAAACAAACAAGAAACGCACACAACGAACCCCACCAAAGTCCTTTTAAACACAATGTCTTCGCAACCACAATCAGGTCAAGAGCACCACCAACCTCCGGATCCTTCCACCTTTGCTGTTCCCTCCTTGCCAAAACCCGCTCCTATGGCCAATGCTCCCACTCAAACGATACAGGAAAGCGATGAGCGACTTACGCACGCATATGCATCTCCCGTCGTCGCAGATCCGATTCGGTTAGGCAGAGTGGAGGATGTGGTACCCATCGATTCTACATCTGAAGATAAATGAAGTTTTATTGTACATTGACTGTAATATATCTTTACATGGGCGGCCATTGTTTATAATTGCTTTTCATCTGCACGTTTGCAGCGTCCTATAACACGTGACTGGTCGGATGGGGGACGCACGTGCGTCATATTGTGGCGCAGGCATCGGGGCAGGATCTGATATCACGGCCTCTCCTTCTTGTGCAATCTTCTTCCATCAATGCTGCGTGACAAAGGACCATCCCTCCTCCTAGCCCTGCTGCTGCCGTTGCTGGCAGTCGCAGCACCATCTGCCAAGCCGCCGAGCCACGTTTCCAAACGTTTTCGTAGGTGTCAAAAAGCTTGTCAAACACGCGACTTGTCTAATTGCCTCGTTCTTACTTGTTGCAATAGTTCACATCACTGATATCCACTACGACCCATTTTATGTCCCGCACAGTGACCCAAGCACCCAATGCCATCGTGCCCCGGCGTCACAGTTTTCAAGCGATACTTCCAGCGCTCCTTCAGTCAGTCACTATGGTGCCTTGGGGACAACCTGCGATAGTCCGTTACCTCTTGTTGAAGACACGTTCACATCCATCAAGCGGGAAGTCCTCGCTAACCAAGATATAGATTTTGTGTTTTGGACAGGGGACTCTAGTAGACATGATCGAGATAAATCTTTTCCTCGCGATGCATCGGAAGTCGTTTCACAAAATTTGGAGATCGTGTATTACCTCCAACGCACATTTGATCTCTCCCGAACCATCATTATCCCCTCTATTGGTAATTGGGATGTATGGCCTTCCAATGCTCTGGATCCCGGGCCAAATGTTGGACTCCAGCGATTATACAAGACTTGGCAGCCGGTTTTAGACGAAGGCGCCAGCCCTGATGACAACATCCGTACAACATTTGAGGAAGGTGGCTGGTTCAAACGTACTCTCGTGAAAGGTCAAGTTATTGGCCTTAGTTTGAATACTCTGTACTGGTATGAGGACAACCCGAGTGTATCAGGTTTGTCGTCCTTGCAACCAATCCAATTTCTTTTACGCTAATGGAAACGATTCAGACTGCTCGGTCTTCGAGCGGGGCAAGGCTCCGTCGACATCACTTCATCCGGGGGATGTCCAATTTACTTGGCTGGAAGCACAGCTCAAAGCTGCCCGCGTTGGTAATGAAAGAGTATTTCTCCTTGGCCATGTACCTCCAGCCGACTACAGCAATTCACCTTTATACCGACGAAACTGTTATAAATGGTACCTTCATCTCACGGGAGAGTATTCGGATGTCATTCTTGGGGCATACTACGGCCACGTCAATAAGGACGTTGTGAGTGTGCTTGTGCGCGCCGCGCATGGTACGGTGAATGAGATCAACGAGACGCCGTACAGTCTTCATGCCGTGACAGCAAAGACGTTGAAGAGGTTGAAAATGGACAAGCTCAAAGTTGTTGGTAGGCCTCAAGTCTCTTAAGGAGATACTCGCATGAATTAGGATTGACGCGCTTGGATTATCCAGGGACCGTAAGGACTTCTTCCTCCATCGTTCCTGTGCACAATCCTGGATTCCGGACAGGGATAGTAGACATCGGACGCACCGCAATTATTTCTGAAGAAGTGCTGTGGTATGCGGATCTTGTTCGGGCTAACGAAAAGCATGCCAAGGACCCAGGAACCGATACACTACAATACCGCAGCGCATGCAAAACCAGATCCAACTTTAAAATGCATAACCTTACAGCAGAGGGGTATACCGATTGGATACGCCGCATGCAGGTTGAGGAGGGTATCCTTCCAGACATATCGAAGAAACCGAAGAAAGACCGCCGGCACATGCTGGAGTTGTACACACTCTGCATGGACTCTAATGAAAAGCTCCCGAGGGAGGAGGAGGATGATTCTTCCCACTTGACACTGTCGCCTACTGCTGTACGAGCGATTTTATTGACCGCCACGATCACCTTTTTGGGTGGTTTGGGAGGTTTTTTCTTTTACGTTCGCCGACTGGAGGAGCGCGGCACCGTATGGGAACGACAACGCCTATTGTTCACGGAAGTAGAGCCGGAAAGCGTCCGGCGGGCTCAAAGAGCAGCGTTACGAGTGAGGGAGAGGGGAGTGGATGTTCATGGCGTGACCATTTAACTGTATTTTCCGTATCCACCACATCAATGTTCATGACCCTTTGGAATTATCTAAATCATATTTTGGCCCATGCGGATATCGCCATGATTGGCGTATTCTGCAAGAGGAACCTTTCAGAATAGTTTGAGAATAGCCACATGTTTTCTTGAGTTCACAGCCATGCGTTCTTATCATGGCCAATCAGAACGTTGTGTTTTCTGTTTGCCTTCAAGTTAGATCAAGAGTCTTCGCTGGCAAAGAGCACAAACCCCCCTTCCACGTTGAGACCTTGGCGATTGCGAGAATTGTATGACAGGTAGAGCAGGGGTCGAGGAGAAATGGCCCGAACGCTATGTGCGTAAGCGCAGGCATTGTCTTGTCAAGATGTGTAGATAAACATTGTAAACAAACGTACTTTTGCCAACGACTGTATCCACAGCGTGGAAAATGGATACATTGTGCAAGGGGTGTATTTCTACATTCTACACCAATAAATTCCTTCAGCTTTGGTCCGTCACTAATCTCTTGACGTCTCCAAACCATTCCTTGCACACCTTGCACTTTCCACCTGTCGCCTGCTTCATTGCACACGCCTTGCACAGAGATATATGGCCGCACGTCGATGGAGCATATGTGGCTATCTGTGCGCTGCAAGCCAGGCAGCGTGGGGGAGGGCGGGACGGCGTCGTTCCAGACATTTTCCTCCGTCGTGTGTGTCGGAAGGAGAGGAAAAAAGGAGGAGGAAAAGAGCGGGGTCTTTTAGCAGAAGTTTAAAAACGCGTCTGTTGGAAATAACACTTTTGGGGCGCAGCTCACCCTCCGAAGGTTCCGACGAGTCCAGCTTGCCGCCCGCGCACAAAAGCACATCTCCCCGCGCAACACCCAAACGTTCGTCAACACACCCGAATACATAAGCGGAGCATTGCCCTGCTCCCATTCCCTTCCTTTTTACCGTTCGCAAGTACATGCCGAGTATCATGTCTTCGATTCCACATGCTGTTCGCACTGCAGAAGAAGTCAAATGTCGAAAGGCTCACGCCCCAATGCGACCAGCTACCCTCGAGAGGCCCACGAGCCTCGAAACCCGGTCTCTGTTAGCTCTTTCCGTCGACCACTCTGATACGAGCTTTGAACAAGAGTTGCGCGCCATATTAGAGGGACACGACTGGGGAGTCGTATGGAAGGACTTTCCCCGCTTGGCACATAGAGTGGAGATTTGGGAGGGCAATGAGCTTGTGCAGGTGGAGGAGCCAGGCGTTTGGCAAGGCCAAGAGGACGAGAAAGTCGACAATACTCTTGTAGAATCGGAATATGTAGATCAGCTTGACAGTCGGCAAAGTCCCAGCCCACACCTGCTACCTGACACTACAAAACCAGACTCTATTGAGCAAGATACCAATCCAGCTTCGTCAAATCATTCCAGTAGTTCTGACGCATCATCCCAGAGCCGTTTCAATAACCTTTCCACCCTCCTTACTCTAGCACGACATCTAGAGCCTGAAGCAACCCTCACAGCGCTTCGGGATGAGATAAAAAAGAGTTCATATTGCGCACAGGGAGACCACATCGCAGTCAAACACCTTGTCACAAATATTCTGACAACGAGCTCGCCAACGGCCCGACTATTAAGAGCACTCAACCAATGCATCGTACTCACTGGCGCATATTACCTTCATCAAAACCTCCTCGGGCCTTGTGGGTTAATGGCAAGGGATGTTCGTGGACCAGAGGGATGGAAGATTATTGTCAGATTTTGTGAAGCGATTGAACCTTCGGATGATAGGGACAATGAGATGCAAAATGATGAGAGTGAGGATCCACCTGTGCCGGCCACAGCATCCGACATTCCTGTCAACTTGCCCCCAACTACCCTGCCATCACCATCATCGCAACCAGTACATCGCAACCGTGCTATCTATATCTCACATCAACGCCGAGAACGCTCTCTGGACGGTGCACCGGAGAGATTTCTCTTGGACTGGTGTGTGCATCTCGCATTCGACCAAACAGCTCAGTTTCAAGGAGCTATGCTCAAAGTCGCTCGTTTCGAAGTCGATCATAAAGGAGTGGACCCCGCCCGTCGCGACGAACTGTTGCGAAGGTTTTGCGGAACTGATGGCCTTGTCATTCAGCAAGAGGTGGTGAATGGCGTAGTTGGCTCTACATTACCTCGAGGGGGGCGGGTTATGAGAAGAGATTCTCAACGAGCGCGGAGTAAATTGATGCCGGCGTGGCTAAAACCTTTGAGAAAGAAGGAGAGTAGGGATGGTGAAGGGCGAACGGGTTTCCGAACCCTGCGGGGTGGCATTACCGCCTGAGATAGGTTGAGGTCATTTTCGCAAGAGCGTGGGAGCGGAGCTTTCCATGACGAGATGGTTGTGGATCGCTGCGTCAGTCTCCTTATCGGATTAGTGTATTGTAAAATAGAGTTGAATATACTGAACATATCTTTGCAACTTGTCAATTTTTGTTACCAATGCGATTGTCGACGACACTTGTAGCCGTTGAAAGGCAGATTCAAATACACTGGTTGTAGAATGCACCGCTGAAAACCGTCAGCTAATCAGTTGAAGTCGAATGACTAGGTCGCTTGATCGGCTGAAGTGACCAAGTAGAAGCTGCGTCACCCGGTAAACATTGCAGATCCGAACCTGCCCGTAATAAGCGCACTTACGAAAAGTTAGGACATTGCATTTATATGTGCACATTCTTTACTCTGGACACCGGATTCTAATCTGGTGCGCACAACCCTTTTATCAAAAACTAAAACCGTGGTATATGCAGGACGTATACTAGCCGCATCCCGCGCATTGTCCATCATTTTACCGCCCGATGGAAGACCAAAACCCATCTACCGCCCAACATGGCTTGGGGCGCTGAAGAACCCCACTTGAGAAACTTTTTTGCTTCTAAAAGCGTTCAGTCAGCGCCCTGAGCGAGAGATTGCATAAGTGTCCATGCGATTTGTGAATTCGCGAGGTTTCACACATGATTGCTTTTGGTTCTCAAAAAGTTTCTGGGAGGGAGACAGATCTGAATCCATCCCCATATATCTCACACAAGTTGTGGTATTCCCTTCCCGTCAGCTCCAGCTTGTCTTCTGCACAATTTCCCTCACAAACACTGACACCTATGTGTACTTCCTGAGCACTCGCCAAAGAGGCCTTTGGCTAACTCCTTGTGGGAGGGACGCATTTTCTTTGCCAAGAATGTGACAAGACAACCATTGCATGTAACTTGTTGAAATTAGGATTTGCTCCTGCGGTGTGCCAGGTTAAAGGAAAACGCAAGTAAATATCACGAGCATTCAGGTGTGATAACCAAGTTATCAACTATCCCTTGGTTAAAGGTTTATTCCAAACGGTTGACATTGGTAGCGCAATGACACCGACAAGGCCCGTCAAAGAGTGACTTACAGGATCTTTGTGCCCTATACGTCGCACCCTACCCAATTTTCAGTTCCTCGACCTCGTTCGCAGGCAGCAGATAATTGATCATCACTGGGGCGGGCGGACAACTGGTATCATCTTCCGCCCCATGAAGTACAGTTTTGGGAGAATGTAAATGACCTATCTACGAAGTGGGGCCCGCGCAGATACCCTGATGACCATGAGCGCTCTATGGAGACCTTTCCCCATGCCAATGTCCAACGAATTGCATAGAAACGTCATTTCGATGTTGCGAACTTTAATGTCACCTAAACTGTAGCCATTGTCCCCCAGTTCCAGTGAAGTACTGTAGTTGATGTTTTTAGTCACATATATTCCAAGAAAGTGATCACAAAACGGGCAAATTCTGGGACAGGATTTTGCATGACACTCGAAAGATGCATACAATACCCAAGTGACGACTCGTTCCCATTCAACCGATCAAGTCGCCCCATTGCAAACATCGTTCTCACACATATCATTTCGTCATAGACCATGTCTCTGCGTCTCCCCCCCTCCGTCGCTTTGATGCGAGGAAACCTCCCTTAATTGGATCGATATTGACGAATCCAATCCGATATCTATCCCCTGCGTGGGAGTAGTTGGACCCAAACACCAGGATTGACAAGATCCAAATCATTGGTGCATGACTGTTGTGAATGGGAGCCATAACCCAGCGACACCAAAAGCGGTGATCGAATGCGGAGGGAGCGGTCCAAGACCCAGGATTGCGCTGATACCCATGATGCGCATTTAGCAAAAGTGACCAGAGCTCTCGTGAAGATGGCAATCACAAGAGGTACTGGGGGGCACACAAGCAAGCGTTGTGTCGCGGGTCACCTTGTGACGTAGCTGTCAGCCCCCGCGCAATGTGGAGATCGAACTCAGCGCCTTTCCCCAACGGAGGCCACTGAGAACGAACGCATACCCCATAATCTACCCCACAAAGTCAGATTCAAATGCTTTTTGTTAATGATTTGGTGTACGTAATTTGAGCTGTAGAGCGCAACTCAACAAGTTGAAGAATGAACAAGAGAGCTTAAGAGTAGCAGGACTGCATTGGGGCTCATATCTAGCCATTGTAACGATGATCAAAGTAATTCAAAATAGTGTAGTGAGCAGCAAGTTATCCATATCTCGTTGTTCGTCAATATAACCATGAAAAATATTTTAATTAATGAATTATTGATACACGAACTATTAAAATCTAATATAGATATATACATTTAAGAACAGCACGAGGTCCAACCTATGTAATATAAAAACTTGTGAAATACCAAAACTTCCTTATCAATCCTTGCCAGCTCCGCCATAGCGATCCAAGAGAGTGCGCTCCCAAACATTTCCCAAACTCTTGAATGTACGTCGTGCGGATGCTGCGTAATCCTCTGTTTCTTCTCCCAGGTCAGCGAGCGGGCACGCCTGGTTCTTCCTCTTCCGTCGCTGGAGTGGGCAGATTTGCGCAATTGTTTTCTTAACCTTTTTCTTCAGCTTTCTCCAAATGTTTAACTTGGGTTTTCTTTCGGTGTTGTCCAATTCAAATACATGGCGAACGCGCACAATGCGGGCAGCAAGGACTGCTCGCTGGAACTCGGTCGCGCGTGGGTTAGATTTGATATCGGCGATGTGCCTTTCCCATGCCGAGACAGCTCCCTGCGGGTCGTTCGATAATAGGCGCAGTGCACCACGGCAATAATGGAGGGAAAATCGACTTTGTGGCAGGGACCGAACAGACTGGGATACAAGGCGAATGATACAGTTCACCAGTTTGCGGCAGAGGTGCCGATCACGTTCCAGCGTCTAGTAAAGACCGGACCACAATGGTTAGAAAATGCAAATGTTACATTCTGCTGTTTCAGATGGCTCACCTTGTCGCCTTTCTTTAAACCCTCCGTGATTAGACAGGCCCAATCGACAAGTACGCCCACAAACAGCCAATTCATCGCCGCAAGGTAATACATGCCGGATTCCAACTTTTCCATGATACTAATCAGCTCTTCGGCCATCGTTAAGATTTTATTTCTTAACTTTGCTCCATTGTCCGCAATATCTCTCCCGTTCTCCCATCCGCCATCGCCCCACAAGACAAGATGAAGGCGTCCGATCAGCAAGCGTAGAAAATATCCCGCATTGATAAGGGTGAAATCCAGACCGAACCCAATCGTCGCACCTGTTCGGCGGGCGGCTTCGATGCGGAGCAATTGGGCCCGGGAAAGTTCATACCAGCGCGACACATCTTCCAAAGGGCGTCCGAGCGACCAGTATGCATATGCTATGCACATCGAAGTACGCTGCGTATGAGGCGACTCAACATCCACGTCGACAGCCACCCGGTAGTACTGTTCTGCGACTATAGAAAAGTAGAAAAAGGTTACCAATTCTGCAAAATGTTCGTACATGAATGCTCTGCGTGCAAACCTTCTAGAAACTTGGTCAGATTCCCATGTATGGAAAGCACGCCCAGTTGGACGTTGTACATGTCGATGGCCTCCCTATGAACATAGAGGACATTTAGGATGCTCGAACATCATAAATGGCTCCAGTGTTAGCGACACTCACCTAGATGCCTCAGCCCCGTCCCTGCGCAAGATGCCCAAAACTATTTCCACATCCTTTTCCGTTTGCGCCCAGTCTGCACGAGCATACGCCATAATTGCGATTCGACCGAGAAGCCTGGCCTTCTCTCTGCCAGATACTGACGACCAGTTTCGCTTCACCAAAGTCTCCGCCTTTTCAATATATGACTGAGCAAGATCGGGGAATCCGATTGTCTGGAGAGTCATTCCTAGTTTGCCATACGCGACACTAAGCTTCGTGGGTGCTACATCCCGGAGGCATTCCGCAATGTTGATCATGAGAAAGAGAACGAGCGCAAAGGAGAGGATGTCGTTGAGGTGAACCGTGACATGCATTGTGACGTCGAAGAGTTCCAGGCACTCATCAGCAATGCGGTAGAGGAGGTCCGGCTCCTGTGCATAGCGGGGGAAAATAGTCCTGTAAAGATGAAACAATGCCGCATTAGAGTTACAAATAGATAGTGGAAAGACTGAGAATATATACGTACCCTAATGCTTTGAGGGCTAATTTGCTCCTCTTACCCCCCGATGATTCCACTCGTTGTAAAGAGTAGAAAGTGTAGATTCTGCAAAGCAGATATTAGACTTTCCATTCCATCTTGGCACGACGAGGAAAACGCAACTGTATCTTAATGAAACTTACTGTCTCGCTACAGTTTCAATCCATCCAATGCTCTTAGCCTTCGGGAGTACAAAGCCCAATTCTTTCAGTGCACGGGAAAAATGATTCCAAGCATTTGGGTAGTCAACTTCCGCCGAGCTGAGCTCGCACATCCAGCGATAAACGCTGACTCTCTGAACGGGATCGAGGACTTCGGAGGCGGCATCTGGATGCGTTTCTATGAGTCGGGCCAACCGCTCATACGCTTTGAACGCTTCAGAATTAATCGCTCGAGTCGCGTACATCCTGAATGCTTGCTCGGCAATCGTTATCTGGAGGGTCGGACTGACATGGCTAGGGCAATGGTCCAGATGAAGAATGCAAGCAGCGACGACTCCATCACGTTCGCCACCTTCGGTAAGATCGCAGTTCTGCAGGACCCCCGCATAATACTCTGCGTAGTTCGCATGCAGTTGGGCTCGGCGTTCGGGGACTAGGGTGCCGTAAATACTCTGATGCACTACGTAATGGTGAAAGGATATCTGCATGCATTGTTCTTTCATGGATCTTTCGGATTCCTCGCTATCAGTATCAGGCTGGGCCTTCCACGTGTACTCCAGGAAATGGAACACATCATTCGCTTGCAGAAACTTGAGAAGACGTTGTCTACCTTCTTTCGTTTCCAGTCCAAAGTCGGTTAGCTCTTTCACCGGGTTACGGATTAGCATTTCTGCTAAAGTGTGCAAATGGAAATATTGTCCCGCAACTGATGCAACCAAGAGCACATGACGCATAGTCGAAGAGGTTCGATCAAGCTGTGCGATTACTGCTGATTGAGCATCAACAGGTAGCAGCTCCCCAATGCTTGCAATAGCCTTGCAGTTCGCTACTCGCAAAACGTTATCTTGCACCGTCAAATCCAGCCGGTCGAGCATGCTGTGTCCCAACATCTCTATCATGACCGGATTTCCCGACGTTCGTCGGTAGATTTCCTCGACGAGCCTTGTTTCAATCATTTCTGCCTGGAATTTCCCCTTCACAATCTGCAGTAATAGCTTGCCCGTCTGCTTTACATTCAATCCACCTAGTTCGATGACCGTGGCAGGCACGGCCGTCTCACCCGATTCAACCACAAAAGCCGGTACCCTTCCACTTTTGTGCCCATCGTTATCCACATCAACTCCCTGGACGCCGCCTGTCTGTACGCGCTCCATAGCGCGCGCGAGAACAGTGCACGTATACTCGGTCACTGGGCGCGTCAAAATAGCAACAAAAACTTTTGGGCATCGTCTCGAAATATCTCCTATGAGGTGGCATCCTATCGAATCCGTCCATTGAGCATCGTCCAATACCAGGCAAAGTGGTATCTCCATGTTCAGAGTCAGTTTGTTCATTACTGAAACTATGAGGTTCGTGATTTGCATTTTCCGATCATTGCCGTGTAGGTTAGCGGTAAAGGGCGTCGCGTGGTACTGGACAGGTATCAAGTCGTTCAGCTACATGATAGCTAACGATAAGTACTTGGGCATAGTATTTCTCAAATAACAACAAACGCACCAGTGGTAACGATTTTGGATCCTCTCCAAGCAATTGCATGACTTTTTCCACCTTTGTCGATAAGCTCTGCATCATCTTAATGACCCAGTTTTTCGTCATAGGCTTATGTACACATTTATCTTCGCAGAGAACATCTGCAGCATTCTTATCAGGAGAATGATCGCATTCTGGTCCGCACACAACCTTTTCATCCCCCAGACCTCCAAACCAGGTGAGCATCTCGGGTTCTGGCGCTACGCTGCCACGTCGTAAGGCAAACCCAGGAGGAAGAGATGTTTGGGGATTAAGCATTTCATCATCCTCGTCTTCACCCCGTTCCATCATTGCCTGCTTGTCAGTCTCCCCCCACACCGGTGGAATCCATAGAGCACTGCCATTCCTGACGCCTCCAGGTGAGTTAAAAGACTTCCTCCGTGATCCGGGGGGTGGACGAGTGTCGACGTGGTCTGCCTGATTTTCAGGAGCGGTAAGGAGCTCCGTGCCTGAACTGATTGCTCCTAAAGTGTCAAGACTACGATATCTAGCTAAGCGCTCTGTGTTGACATCGGTCTGATGATGTGGGCAGAGTCCTCCAGGAGTACCAGTCGCCTGTCGAGAATAACATACACATTCACGTTGTTTCACTGTCTTCCGTCGGTATTCGCGAGCGCGCTTTGCCAACTCTTCGAGATCCAACTCAGCAAATAACGTCGTGAGCATGACGCTAACCGCGTAAAATGGAACATATTTTAGCGTCTCATTGGAGCGACCCAAACTATTGTAAAATAATGTTGCTAGCAGTTAATGTACCGTTCAATTTCATTACTGATAGACCCGCTAGAAACCTTACCAGACAATGCTATTAGGCACTTTTTCCGCCTCCTCGATCAGGTAATCTCCCAAAACTGTCTTGCCCGTCCCCGTTGTACCATGAATGACAAGGGTAGGGCCGGCACCTTGCGCCCAATCACTAACGGTCTCACGTATAATGTTCTTCTCGTGCTTTCGGCCGATCAGCTGTCCTGGAGATGCTGGTTCGCACACACTATGTCGCTGCGTAGGTTTCCTAGGACGGGTTCTTATCGCACGAATAGGGAAATGGACACGTTTAGGGTTAAGGGAACCTGATAGGATAAGTGGTTAAAAATAAAATGGGAGCACACTATTACAGCCACGTTTCCCACCTTTGATACCAATGACATGAGATTCCCCTTCAAAGACAAACTGATCCTTGCAGTCTCTGTATATATCTTCTGTGGCAAGGATCCCATTCTCAGCAAGGGGGTGACACATTAGCCTTGCAGCTTCGTTCACTTTCAAGAGAACATCAACAAGATGAGTTCAACGATCAAACCATGCAGATAACTTTTATGTACATACCAGCAACACCAAGGATAGTGTGATCGCTGAAAGCACGGATAATGCATGAAGCAATCAATACGCATGCGGACTTGTCCAATGACCATCTAAATGTACGCACCTTCTGTTCAGAGACCCTATCACGCCCGAGAAGATGACTCCTTGAGACACTCCAATGGAGAATCCGCCTCCAAATCTTCTTGCCAGCTTTCGCTTGATTCTTAATGCTGCGTGCAGTGCAAATGGCGCCTCGCCCTTTTCATGTGCAAATCTTTCCACTCCCCACACCAGTAGCAATGTCGGCCCTTTGTCATCAACGTTGAACTGTCTCAAACAGCCGTTGAATATATCAAGCGTCTCGGTAACGATCTCCATGACATCCTGCGCTATGCGCAGTCCTTCGACGTCGTTCCCAGATGTTTTGGCTGCCAGATCTCCAGATAACCGCACGAAGGCAATGGCACATTTCCGAAGTTCGTTGCTTTCCGAAATGATCCGTACAGAATCGCCGGACAGGTGATGCACAATACTGGCGTTGATATACTCTTCGTACCGTCGTCCATCAGCTCCGCGGAAGAGGTTGAGCTCGCTTGGTGAGGAAGGAAGGATTCCCGTGAAAAGACTCAAAAGCCATGTCAGGGAATGACGCACATAGTTGTCCGCGAAGATATCCGAGCGAATGATAACTGACTCGTCACGAATAATGGGATTGACCAATTGCTCCAGCATACGAGTAGCGGCTAACGGGCAAGACGTTTGAAATTCGCGTTGTATCGCATTCCAGCAATCTTTGGAAATGGCAAGCTCGTTCTTTCGAGCTACGTCGAGCATCACAGATGCTTGGCGTGCCGCTGTTCCAGTTACAAAGTACTACCAACAGGCGGGTTAGCACTTCCTCAAACTTGCAACTCATTACTTGACACACCTCGCAAGTAGCTCCCGGCTTCCCAACGTGTACGTGGTTCGTAACCCCGCAGCCCAATCCTATATGCATTGTCACTCCTTGCAAGATCTGCTGCTCGGGAGATGTGGCACCTCCTTCAACATCTCGCTCCAACACATCCACCATTAATAAAAGTTCCAAACAGCAGAGAAACGCGGACGCAATATCTCCAAATGAATCCGCGGTATGGGCTGGGTAGTTCATACCGTCCTCGGTAGGATGGAGTTCGACAGGATGGTTATCAGGATCAACGGTCAGGATTTTAGAGTTTGCCTTGTCGGCTGTCGGAGCGGTCCACACCGCAACCAAACTATCTCCCGCAAACTTGACCACACTGCCAGCATGTCTATGTACTGCATCAATAATTCCAGAAAAATGGGGATTCAATAAACTTTGAATCCTAGCGCCACTATCGGCACCATAGCGGTCTTGTAGAAATGAGGCCAGCGTCGAGTATCCTATACAAAAATTTGCCAGTTAATGGATACCACGATATTTTCAACACACTCGAGTCCCTAACGCACCAGAGACATCAATAATCGCAACAGCCCCATTATCAAACTTTTCCATAAAAGGGTACGTCGTCAACCCCTTCCCTGCTACTTTTCGTACATGCTCAGCAACGAACGCTTCACGTAAATCCATAATATTCACCCCCAAGCCCTCCAAGCATTGATATTAAAGAGTCCTGCAATAAAAAGTCACACTATTGAGTGAGGAAAGGACACAATCGTCGGCGGGGCAGTCATTTCAACGGTCTCCGAGGATCGCCTTCCAGTTTCGTTTTCTACGAGTCCGTATGATGGAAAGACGTTTGTTTTTCGACAAAACTCCAAGCGAAACCTCTTGTGGAAAGGATGGAGAAACAAAACGCTCATCAAGAAATCTTAAACTGCATAATTAGGCACGTGACTATATATATCAAAAGGAGTAAATGAGATAAATAAATTTTTTACTTGTTTTTTGATCTTCAAAAGCGGAGAAGTCCCTCCGCAGAAAGTGTTTCGTGTTCTTCAAGCGGATGATCGGCGAATTCAAAACAAACGGGCTGTGCGCTGGCGGGTCAAAAAACACACTTCTGCCGCGCAGTCAAAAAAAAAAACATTTTGCAAAAGAGCCATTTTGTATTTTTAGGTAAGAAAGTGCGAATAACGATGACTAATGGTATCGGGCAGGGTTTGTAATAAAAATAAAAAAGGGAACACAGTCCACCAGCTATGATACCAATCATTCAGAGGTTGCCACTATTTAGGATGGAAATACTGGTAAGCATGGGTCGTTCATGATAAGAATAATAAAAATCAACATACATGACTGCGAGAGTAAAGTCGGTAGTGCTGTGGGCGCCACCAAGGTCAGGCGTCAGCACCTTGCTCTCCTTGATAACCTTCATCAATGCATGCGAGATACGGTTGGCGTGATCCTCAAGACCAAGGTGACGGAGCATGTGAATGGAGGAAAGGAGGAGAGCAGTGGGGTTCGCTGTGTTGCGGCCCTGGATATCCTTGCCGACGTGACGACATCCAGGCTCAAACACAGCATAGTTGCTTCCAAAGTTGGCTCCAGGGACGATACCAGGACCGCCAACAATGGCCGCACCAACATTTGACAAAATGTTTCCGTACAAGTTACCACAGACGATAACATCAAACTGGCTGGGCTTGGACACCAGCTGCATCGAAGCATTGTCCACGATCATGTCATTGAATTGGATACCAGAGCTTTCATACTTCTTTGCAACTTCGCGGCACACATTCAAGAACAGACCGTCACCCAATTTCCTGCTCGCGATAATTAACACAAGGCAGCCTGCAAATGAGAGCATGCCAACACTTACATGATGTTGGCCTTGTGAATGGCAGTGACCTTCTTCCTGCCATTCTTCAGAGCAAAGTCGAACGCATACTTGGCAATGCGTTCGGTCTTTGCGCGGGTAACAACCTTCAATGACTCTACAACACCAGCAACCGGCTACATGGGCAAAAGTAATCAGTCTTCGGATTATAAGCGTTCATGTGTTCATGTAAAGTCAACTCACAGTGTGTTCAAGCCCCGAGTACTCTCCCTCAGTGTTCTCACGGATGATCGCAAAGTTGACGTTCTTGTGGCGGGTAGGCCAGCTTCCGGGAAGGTTCTGAATGATGGAGGTAGAGGCGTAGATGTCTAGATCCTTACGCAGGAAAACGTTCAAGGAGCTGTGTCCCAAGCGTGATACGGGAGTGTAAAGGATACCTATCACGATACGTTACAGAGTTTTCTCCAGAACTGACTAGGCAAGGCAGTACTAAGGTAAACCTACCCTTCAAGGCAACCCTGTTTCGCCTAATTGAATCCATGGCTTGCTTCAACAAGCCTTCATCCTTCTTCGTATACCCAGACAAATCGAACTGTTCCCATTCAATTGGAACATGTGCAGCCTTAAAGATAGTTTTTACTGCAGTGGCCATCTCAAGACCAATACCATCACCGGGGATGAGAGTCACGGTATATTGACCGCCATACACAGTGCCTGGAACAAAGACCTATATAGCAAAACGAGGTTCGTCAGCAAAATTCACCGCTTCAGCCGGCAGCGAAAAAAGATCCCTACTCCATCTGTCGGGGGTAACGCAGTCTTGGTTTCAGTTGTGCCGAAATGGCGGACAGTGGGGATACGAGTACCTGCAATCTACAGAATCGCAAAGAATCAAACAATCGCGTTGGCAAATCTCGATGGGCCTTGCTCGTATAATTCCAAATGCAAATCCCATTTGCCCTCGCTGCCAATACTTACGGTAGCGCGTCCGGCACTAGCCCTTAAACACCGAGCGACGGGAAGCGCCGTCCTGGGCACGTTGCGGAACATCACGATTGTAGAGATGGTTGATGATGTAGGACGGTAGACTGAGTGTGCACTAGTGTTGTAGAGTGCAAGCAGGAGTACGAGTTACGCCAAAGGGCAAGCGAAAGCAAGGTCAAGAGGGATGGCAATGGAAGCGGATGAGGTTGACTGGCGGGGAAAGAAAACTGAGGCTCTTCTTATCATGAATCGCTTGCAAATGAGAAAAGGCCCCAGACGAGTGGCTTAGTAAAACAGCCATCCATGCGGCACGATTTTCTTTTTTCAACTGCCCAAGTTTTTCAGAATTTCAATGTTTTTTACAGACATGCGATTGGACATTTCTCGCAACTATCTTAGCCATTGACTACTTTGCCTCCATTAGGATGGAGTGTTTGTCCAGATATGTAACTGGAATCCGCTGACGCGAGGAACACAAAACATGTTGCCACTTCCACGGGCTGGCCGGCACGCTTCATTGGAACACTCGAGCCAAAAGTTTTCTTACTCTCATCAGTCATTGTGGAGACAATGAGTGGAGTCCAGATGGGACCGGGAGCTACGCAGTTGACGCGAATGCCCTTCTCGGCAAGTTGACCAGCCAAGGATCTTGTGAATGCAACAATGGCTCCCTTGGTGGATGTATAATCCAACAGTGTAGGATGTCCCATAAAATGGTTGACGGAAGTGGTGTTGATGATTGTACACCCTTGCCGTCCCTCAAAGTATCTGAGGGCGGCCTTTGACAAGTAGAATTGCGAGAAAATATTGACCTTGAAGGTTGTTTCGATTTGGTTTCTAACGATAAAACAATTCATCAGCTTCAATCCCGGGTCATTTACTTTCATTACGAAGAAACTTACTCTGTTAGATCCTGAATGCCCTCTACCTCTTGCTGCGTTGCAGCATTATTGACCAAGCAATCCAACTTGCCCAATTCCTTCACGGCCTTGTCTACCACTTCCTTGCATGTCTGCTCACCCTTGGACAGGTCAGCAGGAATCAGGACACATTTACGACCAGGGGCCAGTTTTTGGACCTCCGCCTGAGTGTCTCGGGCATCGGATTCCTCTGCTGAGAGGTAGGAAATGGCGACATCGGCGCCTTCCATTGCAAACAAAACCGCAACTGCACGACCTGAGATGACGTTTGCATATATTAGTTATTTGAAAATCAAACTCGGCTCAAATCGAAAGTCAAAGACGTACCGATACCAGAATCTCCCCCGGTAATCAATGCTGCTTTTCCCTCCAATTTCCCAGCTGCCTTGTACCTCTCCAGTGTCACTTGACCTTCATCGGTCGACGATGGTAACGTGGAACTTAAGGGGTTGGGCTCCATCTTGGATTGGAGTCCAGGAGCTTTTTGATGCTATTCAAGGTTCAGCAATGGCTAATTGAAAACGAACATTAAGCTTTTTTACCTGGACGGGAGGAACTTGTCCTTGTTGATACTGTTCAACAGGCATGATGGTGATTTGAGTTCAAAGTGTATGCCAAACTACAGTAAATGAGACTTGTAATATCGACTTTATTCGCAATCAAATTAACTCGCCGACAAGACCGTCGGGATACTCTTTATATTTGCTCCCATCATATCGATATTTAGCAATATGCAGGCTAATTTCGTCATTTTGGCGTCGTCCCCTGCGATCGACGGGGGAATGCCTTTGACATCACAGTGATGGACTCATGTGATCACGTGACTAGATACGAAGGAAGGCAACCAAAGAGCTTATATTTACAATTCATTAGGAAGAACCACTACCACCTTCCCTCTCGCCTTGTTTCCTTCAACGTAATCTTTCACCTTGTCAAGATCTTCCAAGCCAAATATTCTATCCAAATTCAATCTATACTCCCCTCTCTCTAGCACTCGATCCACAATTTCCTGCAATGGCACTCGTCCCATATCTACGCGATCCACCGCGAATGTCGTCAGATAAACACCAGACGGTATATCTTTCATGGGGTTGAATGTGGTAGGTTCAGATCCACCCAAAGTACCAGCGAGGCAGCATATGCCACCTGGACTTTTCAAAGCGAGGAGAGAATCTTGAACTGTGCCAACACCCAGCAAGTCAACGCACTTGTCGGCACCCGCAGAGTCGTTTATTCGCGTTGTACTCAATGTAGGTGTAGATAACTCGTCCGTCGAGCTGAACGTTTCCTTGGACGCAAACATCATCCGGACATCATCCTTGATTCCTCCCTCACGTTCCAATATGACAAAGTCTGCTCCATTTTCTGAAAGGTTGGGCGCTTTTGTTGGATCTCGCGTCGTAGCTGCTACAACCGCACCAAGGGCTTTTGCAACGGTTGCTATTGTGAGGCCAATCGATGATGTACCGCCTCGAATCAAGAGTCGGTCATGTTTTCGAAGATCCAGATTATCCAGGATACCGAATGCGGTAAGGAAGGTTAAAGGAATAGCTGCTAACTTGGCCCATGTGGCTGGATCAAGAGGGGAACCGGGTGTTGGTGGAGATACCTGAAGCGGGATGACACATTTTGCGGGGACAAGGCAATAACTGCAACAGAATTAGGTTAGCACCGTACCATGCACTGTCCTCTTCCCAAGCAAAAGTAAATTCCACATCATGAAAGACGGCAGAGTTGCTATACAGGCGCTTTAAGCACAGCAATGCGGCAAATTCTCGCTGCCATCGTACTCACTCTTTCCATAGACCGCCTTCTCCAAAGCTAAGAACGGCCACTGTTGCACCCACTCGAAGGCCCTTCACACCACCGGTATCTTCCACGCTCCCAACGCATTCAACGCCCGCGTCTTTCACGCTTGGTCCTGTTTTCAAATCTTGCCGGTTCACTGCAAAGGCTTTGACGCGTACAAGTATGTGGTTTGGTCGTGGTGAAGGCTTGATCGCGTCAGTGGAAAGAGTCAGGTCTCCGCTCGGCTGTAGTGAAATGATGCGCATTGCTAGACTCTGGTTGTTCTCAAAACAAGGTCAAAGCTATGCAGCTGAAAAGCTAAAGATGCGTACGTAGAGTGCAAGCGGATTTCCTGCGTCGTGTCACGTGACTTTCAAGCGGGAACATGCAAAGGCAAGAGTTGTAATGCAATGGTCCGCTCGATAGCCGACAAATTGGAGGCAGTCTGAATACGAAGACTGCTCCTATGTCGAGTATGATGCATCACCTTTGATTTATGTTGAGTCGTTAGGTATCTTGTAGAAAGACAGGACAAATGTTGACTTCACCTTGCAGATAAACGCTAGCTGGCATCGGCAGCACAATGAATGGATGATATTTGTGATGGTTTACGTAGACTTTACTACTCGCTCGATTAGCTATAAATTCTTCTCGTGCGTTGGACTAGTGAAAATGTATTATTTTCGCGAGACAGCTAATAAAGCCGTAGCCAGAAGATACCGTTTGGATAGAGAGCAACAACTTCACGCCTCCTTTATAACGAACTTCAGTTGTCGGATTGCTGTTTTCACATAAGCAACTATAACGGTAAGAACTGAAGTACTAATACTATTCAGTTCCATTTGCTGCACACGTTTAGATGGATCACTCTATGCAACTGAAAAAGTCATAGAAAGGAAATATATTCATCAGTTGCTTTGACTGTGAAATTCAATTACTGTGAGTGTCCTGGTGCCGATTGCGTAAAAATCACAATTATACCTGATACGGCCGAAATACAGTGAAGAGTACGAGATACAAAATAACATTTGTTGTATTTGACGTCGATCTCTTGTGACTTAATTTATGCTCGTTGCCACAAATGGGCTATGTTGATTCTAATATCGTGGGGTATGACCAGATGTCCCTAACTCTTGTCTTTGATACACGTGAGATTGTTACTTGGCCAATGGAATAGGGTCGGTGATCCAGCTTTTTGAAATTCAAAGAAGACTTCGAGGCCATCGGGTTCACCATCAGAGTGTGGGAATGAAGAAATTTGCCACGCAACCGCAAGACAGTCTGCAGCTGTGACAAACGAGACCCAAAAACTATTTTCCGTCGTGTTCTTTGGGAGAAGATTCGCGTAAGCCGTCACTGTTCCTCTGTCCTGGGCAAAGAAGAGGCCAGAACCTGGGATTGCGTCTACCGTAATACTACCGACAGATGGACATACATAAGTGCCAGCATAGAGATTGCGGACTGCAGTTGTGTGTATGTTTTCCACAATAGGAATCAATGTTGAGAAAAAGTTTGATCCAAGGCTGATGAGATCGATGGCCGTATCGCCTGCAAGTAGAATGACCCCGATATTGGTGGGAGGGTGAAAGGCAATGTGCGATTTGTGACCCCATAAGCCCGATTTAGTGATCAGCATATATGGGGTGTTAGGTATCCCAATAAGTTCCCAACCGAGAGCAAACCCCGTGCGACTGTCAGGAAGGAGAGTAACAGGCCGGGTCCATTCCGCGATAGTGGCTTCTTGGAGAATAGGTAAGCCAGATGGTGTACCATTGAGAATTAAAGAGAGAAACTTTGAGAGATCAATAGCTGTCGAATACCTCAAATCCAAATTTATATGAATCCACACATATAGTCATCGAAACAAGGGAAGGCGCAAGAATACTTACATATCACCAGCCGGAGCTACCCATTGAAGTGATAATCCTTTTATCAATTCACCATCTGGTGATGTCGGAGCCAGGTCTTTTACTGCTTCGATATCCATCCCGGAACGTTCCATTCCAAGCGGTATCAATACTTCCTTTCCTAACCATTCAGACCACGAGGTCCCTGTGAGTTTTTCCCAAGCATGTCCCAACAAAGCGTATCCTAAATTCGAGTATGCTGGTACTGAGCTCCACGGCGGTACGACTAGCTTCATCTCACTGATCCCCTTCAATACTTCAGCTTCGTCATTTCCACAAAATATTAGTGGACATGCCTCACGCGGTAGGCCAGAAGTGTGGGCCATTAATTGTCGGAGGGTAATATCATTATTATAATAGTTTTCAGCATAAGGATTCTGTATCGAGAATTCGGGAAGATATTTTATTACTGCATCGTCTAATGAGAGAGTTCCTTGCTCGCGTAGAATCAATGCACCCATTCCCGTGAAGATTTTGGTTATCGAGCCAAGGCGAAAGTGCGCATTCAAATCGCCCGACGTGAAGAGGATCTGATTTCCGTGCAATGCAATAACGGAATGAGATGTAGGCATTTCAGCTTTCTGAAGATGTAAATTCAGCTGTTGTAGAATCGCTGTCCAGGGTGCCGAGGATAAATTGTACGGCCCGAGAGGTACGATGGGGAGGGGTAGAGGACATTTGCCAACGGGCGGGGCAATGGCCGTGGGCTTGTCAATTTTATCCGCGATCATGCCAAACGGCAACATGCGAGATAGAAGTCGAAGGAGATTTAGGTTGAATTTCATTTTCACTGTCTTGAAATCAGCTGAACAAGGAAGCTGAATTGGGATCTCGTTTTATCACGTTGTCCGCTAGTTATCCGCCCGGAGAAGGCTTTAAGTGACTAATCCAGCAGCGACCCAAGATTACGAGGTAACAGATCAATTAGCCTGCCAATTCTTCAGCAGATGTCATGCCAACTTGATAGAGCTCAGGACAGCAAAATGCCAAAAACCGAGACTTTTTTTTTTCAGCCTATTGTAAACTGACATATGACTACGCAACCAAATTCGCATCAGAGTTAGTGCTCAAAGCTTTTTGATGGCGCAGAACTATATTCGGCCATCACTATGAATCGAGGCTAGGACACCAAGCCGCAAGGATTAGAGGCCGACAGCGTACTGCACATGCGCTCTTGTCATTTGCTTTGAAATTGGTCATAATGCGAGCTTGTCCACCATAGATCAGCACTCGTGGAACACGGGCTATGGGATAATGCTCGCATCGATAAAGGCCGTGAACATTACCTCACAGCTTTATACAGGTTTTCCTCCGCGATTTTGCGACTACACCAAGACCGGCCCCTATACAGTCTTGTCAAGTCTCTACTTACAACACTCGCGTCGAATGGTTCTAGGTCGAAGTAAATACCGGGATTACGAAGGACATTAGCGGCAACAATACTTCCTTTCATAATAGCCATTTGGCCAAAGCCCGTACTACTGGGATGCTACGCGATGATAAAATTAAATAATGAAAGGCTTACTTTAATTTATTGACAACATCGCAATATCCTGTGCCGTTAATCTACTTTCTGCTGATATCTCGGCCTGTCGTAATATGAATGATAAAATTAGCATCATCAATTATTCATGCAACGTATGTTTGAAGCCTCACTGAAAATTGTCTTCTTTATCCAGTCATTAATAACCAGTGATTTGTTACGGATGGAGAATAACGGGAAATCAGAAGAAAGATCAAGTCAGCATTGGCCATAGCTTAGCACGACCAACGGAAAGCGAATGTGGAACTAACGTTAAAGATGTAGGCAGACCGCCAAAATAGGAAGTTGCAACACCACCAACAGATATGTTGCCGTTCAAGAATGGCAAATCAGCGATTGCCTTGTCGGAACCAATATACCTGAATTTCCGTGCATTAATGTGTGCATAATTATAGATCATTGAACCAAGACATAATGTAACAATACATACGCTAAAGATCCTTGGTGCGAGTAGTGGAACGGTTTGTAAGTTTAGGTTGCTGAGAAGAGCTTTTCTTGTTGTCGTCCGCATTCGAATTGCTGTGAGCTTTATTGGCGGCTTCCTGAGGAGCAAGAGCAGCAAAAACACTAGCTAGGTATTTCCCTTGCTGTGCCGCAACTTGTGCAGTGGGAGCATATTTCGTGGCCGTGGCATCGCCAACTGCGTAGATACCATCAGTGCCCAAGAGGCGAAGGTGGTCGTCTACCAGTAACCCGCGCCTGAATAAATCCAGAATTTGTGAGCAGCCATAGCATATTATACATCAAGTGTCAATCAAATATCAATGAGTAATGTCAATGTACTTTTGCGTCTGTTTATCTGGAAGCTTTTCCATCAACTTGCGCGCTAATGGTCGTGATTTGTTGCCCGTAGCCCAGACCAGAAGACCTTTAAGTTAATGACAATTAGCCACAGGAAGATAAGTTCAGTTGTTTTATGCTGCTTAGAACATTTACCGTACGGAGGAGGTTTTATCTCTTTGTTCTCGTCTTCAAGTACAATTTCTTGCTGTGACATCCGTAGAAAGGTTTGAAGATCAATAAATTATCCATTAGTTGATTCATCTTTCGAACACATTGCTGATGTAAAAAATAATACTTCTTGGACTACCTTGACTAGAGTCTTGGTCAGAACGCCAATCCTTTAATCTTTGAATGTTGTTCCAGTGTAATTGATGAGCTGCTTCGAGAACATTGGTAATACATTTGGCAACGCTTCCACCAGTGTGATCGTGAATTTGTCGGCAATATCGGGGTTCCATGTTTTGAGATCTTCTACCAAGAAGTCATGAAGTTCAGCAGCATACTCGACACCCGTGGGACCGCCACTGACAACAACCATATGCAGCAGTCGCTCTATCTCTTTTGGATCTTGATTAGCGAATGCAGCTGTCTCAACACAGTCCATAAGTCGAGTACGGATTTTTTGAGCGTTCCAAATCTCTTTTAGGAAGCAAGCATATTCATAAACACCTTTGATGCCAAAGGTTTGGTTTTCAGCACACACACCAATAACAAGATTGTCATAAGGACGTTGTATTCTTGGCAATTGAGGGCTTTGAAGAGAGATGTTGCACCCCATCCGCAGTCAAGAATAATAAGGGTCTTTTTCGATGGATCAAATTCTGCCTGCTCAGAAGGGTGGTGGCTTTGATAAATTTCTGTGCATTATATTGAGATGTCAATGACAACGATACGTCGAACACGATAATTTCGTATTCATGACCGGAACTGATAGCATAAATGGCATCCGTTATGCTCAGGAGCAGCGATACATCATTCCTTTATGCCCACGGAAATACTCACGTACTGACCCAACAGCAACAGAGAGGCGCGCACTGCATACAAAATCCTTTTAGCTGTTCGCAACCGTGATCTTTTGGGTTTCTGAGAGCTCGTTGTTGTGCTGGAGCAACGTTGCAATATTAAACGTGGAGCCCAATTAACCCCGCAGTTGCTGGCCTTGCTACACGCCATGTCTGCACTACATTAAACCTTACATTAGCGACACAGACATCCATATTTGAAGCCCAGAAAATTGTAACATGAATCCTTTGCCGTTGCCGGAATGGACATGCATACATCTTAGTAACGGGAATTCCTGCATCGCTCGAGGATCTAAATCAGAGATGAGGCAAAAGCACGTTATCACAGTTGAAGAGGAAGGGTCGACTCGGCAGTGTAAGGAATGGGAATCTGGAAAGTTGGTTCTCGGTTATTGGTCGGGCTCTCTCGAGGGGCGAATTTTCTATCGTTACAAATCTTACAAAAGCGCAAAATAGATGTCCGAGCAGGGGGGGACCTTTGAGAGAGTCTGGACCGGGATATTAACCAAGGTGGGATATTAACCAGGTGCGACTGTAGCAATATTTATCGTCTATGGTTAAGGTTATTACTGCAGTAAATCGAGAGCATCACTATAATGGCACCATAAATTCGAGATGACACTTGATCTTGTAATTTCATATTGATACCCAACATCTTACGAGATGAATACCAAATTTGCAACAAGATTCATGCACATCACCGGCAAACAGGATAGAGAAGAATGAAAGCATGAATGGGTATTTTATGAGAGCGTTCTCTTTTTCCATGAACCGTCACGGCCATTTGCTATAGTCTACCACAAAGAACAAAAATCGCAAATTGCAAACTTGGAACTTTTACGACAGCCCTAATGTAAATCGACACGAATAATTGCTGAATAGTGAACATGGTCCACCCTTACAGAGAACTCGCCAGTTTCAGAATTTCTAGCAAACTAAGGAGGAGAAGGTGATACAGGTCGACGAGAGGATAGCAATAAGAGAAAGCGTTCGGTACCAAGCAGATCTAGGAATTTTTACAAGAGAGCTGTGCTTACAACTTTTCATCATGCCAACTGCTCTCAGTCGTTTTGCGTATCGTTGTATTCTTCCCGCGCTGCACCCTCTACATCTGCAAGCTCTCTCCAAACCTCGTCAAATATGACCTTTTTTGAATTCAGTTCGCGCACCTTGCCCTCCAGATAAGTATCCAAAGCATCCATCAATGTGGCTACTTTGGCTTGCTTGCTACTAGCTTCTATTTCGTATAAGGCCTCATGATAAAGTAAAATAAGTTAATTCCCCAGAGTAGGACTCTTATTCGACCATTTATCTAGCTAATCTGAAGACATTTTTTCAGATCCTCTTGCACTCTAAAATTCCGTTTCACGAAATCATCCTTGAACGAGCCCCACCGCATTCTGCATCCATCCTAGGCCTGCATATAGATCGATAAGCCGACTTCCTGGATATCTTTTAAATTAAAATAACCTCAAGCAGTAGCTAATCTAATATAGACCAAGTGCCCCAAATAATAATGAGCTGGAATTTCAAGCACCGACAAATACTGCGCAAGCATAACTCCTATGCTAGCCGCTACGGCCTGTTACAAGTAACTTACTAAGGACACACGCCCCTGCATAACAAATGCAACGTCATGACCTCGAATCCCAAAGTTTGAATGCGCAGGATCTCCGCTTTCCGCTGCAGCTCATTAGTCTTAGTCCCAAAATCAGGATCAGCACGCTTATTCCAGACGACATTACTAAGCATGTACGGATCGAACTCCTGCTCAATGTCATCGATTTCACAGTCTAGTTTCTCTGTGGCATGTTTTACTTCTTCTTGAAATTCAGGTGTGATGGTTTTATGTGAGAGGTCTGTTGATGAAGCAAATGCCAATAAGGTAGCGCGAATTGCCAAATACAGATGGTGCGTATCTTCATGCAACCGACCCAAAGAGTATGCCATCTATCAGACAAGTAAGCTATTAGTCGGGAGGACAAAAAAACGCGGCACGTATGACAATTACAAAAGTTACCCGTAGCTCAGTCTCTTGTAGCAAATCATTACTATAATTCTCGCGAAGATCCGAAGCAACATCACTGCTTTTCCAGAAAAGCTTCGAAAACTTCAACCACTGGAAATACTGATTGATTTTTGTTGTCGCTTTGGTCATGTCCTGATCGACAATTGGCAAATCCCGTTCAACAAAGAGTTTCATCATTCGTTGATTGTTTTACTACGTTCTACCTGGATATCTGCTCGCTTCAACTATGACGTGATCGTAGTATGCTCCTCCTCCAGCTGCGCGAGAGCTCTCCATGCCGTATATGCAGCTGCCTCATATTTGATGTGCAGCCTGGACTCGGCACTCAGGTTCTTGGCAATCAAATACTTGAGTTCTTTCAAGTGGGATGCCCTCGAACCATGTCGGTGAGGGGAACCTGGTTCGCACCGTCGAGACGGAACAAACCGCTGGGATACTAACTGTGGAAACCCTTGTCAACTTTGTATTCTTATCGTAGCCAGCGATCGTTTTGAGTCGCACTGAGACGTTGGCCATTGCAATGTTAAACTCCTCTTCATCCAATGGCAAGTCATTAAAGTGGAAACTTGAACGAAAAATCCTTACCTATCCCTTCTCAACATTCCTTCACTCCTTCCCTTGATAGAGCCATCATGGATTCTTAAGTAAAGCATCCAAGATGTCAGATTTTCCTGTGCTACTCTCGCCGGCCACTGGGAGAGTCATTAGAAAAGGTGCGTGGGTTTGGTGTTAAGGTGACATCCACCGGTAACTCGCAGCAGTAAGTCAGCGAGGGCGTGGTTAATGCGGCTTGACCAAGGAGGACCAGGCTGGAGATTTAAGGTGGTTCGTAAGGCCGTTGGGTACGTAAAGGGGTTTGAATCTGGGTCTTTGTTGAAAAATGGCGAACAACAAATCGCATAGGGAAACGAGACAATCATTGTAAAGAAGCTTTTATGGTGGATACGGGCGAGCCATGTAATTTCAATAATTTCATATCTGTAATATCGTCCCACTTGCTGCACGGACCGCGTGACCGGCAACCTCGTTAGTGTTGAGGTGACAGAAACTGGCACTAGCTACTACACCAGGGAATAAACCGGCGACAACCGGTTCGGAAAAGCTAACTAACTACTAATAGACAATTACACATGCAATACGAACGGTTGTTCTAACCAGATAATTGCCCACCACCACACACGGTCCCTACTAGGCCTTGATCCAGAACTCTTGATGGCATTGAAGCCAGAGTCTTCGCAACATTGAGGAGACTTGCAAGCTGGAGGATCTTCAGTAATGAAGTCTTGGAGACTAGAAAACTGCATGTCAGAAGATGACCCGATGACAGAGTAACAAAATGCCATCAGTACATACCAACCAAGCTCAACAAATGTGGCAGCATAATAGCAGTTTTGTTAATGGATCCAATTGGTTGCTGCTGGCTCTGATCGCTGTTGCTGTCGGGTGGATGAGGTCCTCGCCACCACCACATCTGCATTCTCATTTGGACTGAGTCATGATGAGCATTTGCGCAGATGCTTTGAGAGTCAAGGATGGGTAAAGAGGAAAGAGGGAAGAGACAGAAGGTCCCCTTTTATAGACCTTTGGCATGCGCCTCACCGCAGTTTAAAAAAAAACATTATATTAGCATGCCTCACCGCTTTGAGCAATAGAGGGGGTGCTGATTATGCGATATGATTAACCGGATTATCCGGATAATAGTGGGTCTTAGTGCCATTTTCAATAACCTCGTTATGCTCTTGCCCTTTTCAACCGTGTCCTCCACCTTACCGTTCGTTCCATGTCAACCAATTCCCGCTTGCAGGCATCCATTTTGGGAACCATCTTTGACAAGTGCATGTCGAAAGGTCAAAGATGCGCATCTGCAGCCTGCGACGGCCGCTATGGCATCGTCGCCCAGTCATATCAGTAGGCTGGTTAAACGTGAGGAAGTCATTGACAACGGAATCGGGCCTTAGACAGATAGGTATGTTCCAATTGTAATCTTCGTTATTTCAATAGCATAATAAGGTTCTGAAATTGTAAAAGGACCCCTTTCCGAATATTTTCGCCTGGTCTCCGAAAAGCGACTACGTCCAGATGAAGACCAGATGCGTACAATTGTTGAGGTGTGTAAGTTGCCTGGTGAAGTGAGAACGGTTATGGACGACTTATTTCTTGGAGGCAGCTTCAACGACTTTGTGAGGATCTCCTTGATTATGAACCACCCGAACTTTCAGACCTGAGTGAGCAGGTTAGAATGTGAAGATCTCGTTTAATGATTTTCAAAAGAAAACTAATTCAAATCATAGTCACCAGTCACGCTTCTTGCCAGATCTGCCATCGTAACGCCTAATGATGAGAGCCGGGATGTGGTGCGCTTAGCTGACGAAGAGGAGGTACACGGACCCAAAGGACTATGGATACATGGGGAGGTTGGGTTAGTTTTGCGCAGGTAGTTATTCATACCCGTCGAGTGAATATCAATTCCTCAATCATCAGCACGGGAAAGACCATGGCAATGGACCTCTTCTATGAGTCGGTACCTATACAAAGAAAAAAACGAGTGCATTTTAATGCCTTTACGGTGTCAGCCTTTGCCCGTATTCATGAGTGGAAGTAAGTGACCGTTTACGCGAGGCGGGGGCGATGAAAATGTAATCTGAGTGAATCCTCGAATAGCAAGCGGTCTCGTCCAAACAACCTCCATGTCACCGAGCTTGTTGCTCGCGATTTATTCCGCGATTCGTGGCTTTTGTGCTTTGATGAATTCCAAATTACGGACGTAGCAACGGCATCTGTCATGCGTCAAGTCTTCAAGAACATGTTCAAACTGGGAGCGGTGATGGTTGCCACATCCAACAGAGCTCCAGAAGGTTAGACTCCAATAAAGCGAATACCTCCAGATTTTATCGCTTACAATGAATGTTAACAGACCTGTACAAGGGTGGTTTTCACCGCGAGTATCACAGTCCTTTTGTGGATCTACTGAAGGAGAGATGCGAGATTTTGCATTTAAGAGGCAAAGTGGATTACAGATCAGAAATGTTGAAAGGTATGTTTATGGAATGGTCATATAAATCACACGTAGTCCATGCTAACCAACAAGAATAGAACATCCCACACCCCGCACGGACGACACCTACTTTCGGTATGGCGATATCGAGACTTGATCATCGCACCAACAAGTTTTAATGATTGCACAAGTTTAGACAATCCCGCCGAGGTCGATGCATTTATTGAGCGAGTGTCGAATCTTTTCTATGGCCAACAAAGTTAGTAATTTACGTTGTTCTTTAGCTCAATGACATACGGCTAATTCGTCTGAGTAGTAAAGCGTGACAAGCTCACGCTGTACGGGCGTGAGGTCATAGTGCCAAAGGCAGCAGATGGCAAGGCATTGTACACATTTGAGGAATTATGTGGATCGGAAGGAAAGGTGTGTCTAAGGGACTGTCCAAACAGAGTCCATCTATCTGACACTCTTGATTCTGTATAGCCTCTGGGCCCAGCAGACTACCTTCTGATATGTCAACGTTACCACACCATTGTTGTGCAAAGTGTTCCGCGAATGGGCTTAGCCCAAAAGAACGAAGCGAGGCGATTCATCACCTTCATAGATGCGGCATACGAAAACGGTGTCACAGTTATAATCTCCGCGGACCACTCACCAGAGTCACTTTTCCTTACCACGAAGGATCCTGTTGACGAGGAAACCGCAGATGCCTTTATGCATAAGGAAATGCTGGGCGATTTGATGGGTTCCACCCGCCGAGGCACGGGAATGAAGGAGGCAGGTGAAGACCGATTGAGTGGTTTAGCTATCTTCACTGGGGCGGAGGAACAGTTTGCTTTTAAGAGAGCAGTGAGTCGGTTGTTGGAGATGAGGAGTCAACTATGGACCAGTAGAGTGCATAGCCCTGTGAAGGTAGATTTCTCACCGGCTGTGACTGGTCTGCCTGGGGAATGCCAGCCTTCACCAACCCACCCAACGTCACTCCCCTCGGTTGGAAATGTGACCTTATCTCCATATTACGATCCCCGTCATGACAAAATTCAAGGAGATGACTTTGGGGACGAAGCATCTTATCGCGGTTACCTCAAGATGTACCAGCGATTTAACCCAGATGAGGGGCCTGTAAAGCTGGACAGGGAAAGCCAGAAACCACGATTTCCCGATCGCCACTTTTGGGCAATGGGAGACTGGGGTCCTAGGGCTGGAAAGTGGGGTCAAGGTGTGAGGGCATTTTTTGGGGGTAAAAAGAGGGAGGGTAGCGAGGGTGAAGAGGGTAGATGACGACAAATACAATTTCGCGTAGGACTATTCGACTCTACTTATAAAGGGTCCCGACAATTTTGCGTAGGAAGGACTTTTGGGCTTTTACCAAAGGGTCCCGACATCCATAAAAGTTATGATTAATGTAATCCCAACGTTAGCTAAAACGACTCCATCTAGCGATATTTGTATTCTTTGCATAAATTTCGGCAATTGGCGCCAACCTGCCGAAGGAACCTTGCTTACATAACGGCTGATCGGGGCCAAGCCTCATTGGGGCCGCATATTTGCCTTGCACTGCCACCTCATCGGAAGACTCCTGGTTTTAAAAGTAGCCGAATTTCTTTCCTGCTTAACGATGTTGATTTTTGGATTTGCGCAAAATGGGCGGCGACATATCAAAGTTCGAAGCGGTGCAGCTTCAACCCCTTCCTCATCCCATTGCCGCGGTCGATCAACGTTTCTGCCTCCAACAGCCAGTGTCACTCCTCATCAAAGAGAAGATATTTTCATTTTCTGGCGACGACTTTAGCATCAAGGATGCAACCACGGGCCAAGTTTATTTTAAAGTTGATGGCCGAGCTCTCTTGTCTCTCCGGGAGAAGAAGACGTTCCTGGACGCTTACGGTCAGCCGATCATGAATATGAAGCAGCAACTGCTGGCTTTCGTCCCAAATCACACTCTATACTATGGAAATGACTCTCAGAACAAGATCTTGGATATCCGTGCACACTTCACCTTGATGAAACCGAAACTGTCAGTAAATTTCACCGACAAAATCAGCGGCATACCGTGCGAAATTGGGCTGAAAGGCAATTGGCTAGCACGACGGTCTTTGATATGGATTGACATTGGATGTAAAGGGGAAGCGAACCGGATATTTGTCGCCAAAGTAACCAGCCCGCTTTTGACTGGCCGCACTGTGTTTTTCGATAAGTCAGATTACCTGTTGACGGTAATGCCAGGGATCGATATTGCGCTACTGGTGGCTATTTGTGTTGCTTTGGACGAACGATCACGAGACAAATGAGAGATATACTAGTATAGTGCTTCAATTTGTGTAAAATATTCAGTTGTAGTATGAATATCTCTGTACAAGATACATGTAGCGGGTAATAAAAGGAAGGTCAAGCAGTGGCTATGTGATCAGTTACAGCTCGTAGTACCCTCGTCTTCCCCGCCCGAGAATCTGGCGGGTTTGCGCAGACGCACAATCTACTACCGTCCAGAAACTTCGCAGAAGGACAGGATCACAAGATGAAGGAGATCCCAGCGCATACTCTGCCGTTTCCATTGGTAACGATTAAGATGGATTTTTTTCTTCTTTCTACGAGTGACAGGAAGTTCATCCTCCTTGTGCAGCCATGCAGCCATCCCTCGCGATGATATCTGACACGGAGAAGCTTGCCTGGATGCGGACGCTGTGCTAAACTACTCTCCACCACCAACTGGAATGTTGTCAACAGGGATCTCTTCTTTCTTATTTGTGGTTGTGATATCGTAGCAGACCTTTAAAGATGATGCTATTTTGTATCATATTCATCCCCTCTGGCTATTAGACTATTGATATTTACAACTGCACTAAACAAGATCATCGTTTGCATTGCTTGGCGGGACACACTTTGACGCGACCAACTGTGCTAAACCGCTCCACAAGCAAAAGGCGATCCATAGCAAGATCAGCAGGGAAAGGCATTTGGCACAACAGGAAAGTTGAAGGTTCAGGCAAGGATTTGCATGAGCGAAACGTGCCGTTTTCAGGGACGTGCCGTTTCCTGTGGCTTCCGCGATATCCGCGCTAGGCCGTTGAGTTGACAATACCTGACGTCGAATAGTGCAAATGCAAGGGCGTTGAGTTGTTCTGTAAACGACGTGGACGTCTCCTAGTAGCACAAGATGTACCAACTTAAAACTGAAAACCTGATAACCATATTAGCCTTGACAGTTGGCTACTGACATTGGAGATGCTCATTGCGACAGTTTGTAACCGCGTGCATCCGCTCAGTCAAGGTGCTGTATGCCTTTGCTTTGTGGCACTCCACCACCCGTCCGACTTCCCGCGCCTTGCGCTTCGAGTTTTCCTGCTTTTGTGGAGAATGTGGTCATTTCCCGCGTCGTCCAGCGTGGCATGTGTGTTCCACGTCGTCATCCACCATGCCTTGACTTGCCTTGACAGGCACGTTTGCCCGCCAGTTCCTGCAAATGTGGAGGCAGACTTCCAAAAAGACTTTTTGGTTCATTGCCACTAGGGGTCCTGGATGCAATCGAGCAAACGTTTTACTTTGCAGGGTTGGTCACTGTTACTTCCGGTGTGGGGTGATCGGCAAAATGAGGATAAGGAAACGAGGACTTCCTGGTCTATAAAGAGGCACCGGTTCTGTCAGTTCCTCCAAACTCGTCAAGTCACAGACCAGCCGAATACAAAAAAACCGTCAAAGAAGACCGGGAAACTCTAATCCTTCTGTTCTAACACACGGACGTTGTCGCTGCCATGGCATCTACTCAGAGATTCGACCGTCGTGGCAAGGCCACTGAGCTCCTTAGCAAGATTGAGAACTTTGAACGTCGTGATCAGATTGAAGATCTGCTCGACAAGCTCGAAATCAACGACGGCAACCGCAACCGCCAGCAGAAGGTACATCAACAGGATATTCAGCGTTGTCATCTGGAATACCCAACACTCAAACTAATTCTGCCCCGTTTCCACACTAGTCTACTTTCCGTGACACGCGCACCGTGTCAATGCCTGTTGATGTCGTTGCCGAGCTCTTATTAGCCTTCGCCGGGCGTGATGGCCTTAAAGGCGATCGAGACACGTTCGAGCGATTCGAGGGCAGGCGGGACCACTACGAAGACTATACCGGTCGCGACCGTACAGGTCTTCTTCGCCAGTTACTTGAAATGACATTGGACGACGATCAGTTCTCCGGCCACCGAAACAATGACACACGCCGCATCTTGTTGGAAGTGATTTTGAAACACGTCTTGCGGGAGGGGTGGCAAGGCGATCGCCAGCGAGGTGCTGGCTACGGTGGTCATCATGATGATATTGAGGATAGAATCCGGGAGGTTTGTTTTACTTGTACATGGTCTTCCGTTGGTGGATGATTGCCCACCTGTTTAACCATATGTATTATCATTTTTCAGTACTTGGGCGGGTCTCGCCGTACGGAGGATCGAATGGGTTCCCGCCATCATGCTGGTTCTCGTCTTTTGGAACGGTTCCTGGACATGATTGAACAGGCACAGGATAATGGTCAAGACCAGGACCAAGACCTCGACCGGGTATTGATGCGCATTGTCCTCGAGGCCCTTTTTGAAGATGGTTTTAGTGACCGAAACCGCCGCGACAACGACAACCAGGAGTATTCTGAAATCATGTCGATGTTGGTTCGCCGCATCATGATGCATTTGCTCAACGATGTTGAATCCGCTCGGATGGAGCTCGAAATTCTCACTCACATCATGGGTCGCCCAGCTCGCCGAGGACGAAGTGAACGTCGGAGCGGATGGGGTCTGATGAACATGATCCGGGAACACCTTCGTGACTTTGACACCGATACCCGCCGTCGGCTAACAGAGGACAACGACATCATTCGTACGATTCTCCGCCTTCGGTCCGATGAAGAAATCAGAGACAGCGAAGATCTGGATGTGTTGATTGTTCAGCTCCTGCGTAGTTGGTGCACGGACTATTTGAGCGAGCACAAGGTGCGCGGAAACCGCCGCTTTCGCAACCTCATCGAGTTTGTGCGCGAGCTCACTTCCAACCCCACCAACTATATGGATGGCCAACAAGACTACGGACGCCGTCTCGGACGCGACATTGAGGAAGCACTCCGCCTACAACAGCTCCTTGAAAGGCAAGGAAAAAGCCACTCTTGGACAGACAGGAAGTTCCGTGGTTCAAAGTACGAAGATGAGTTTCAGCGTCGTGGAGAACGCAACTCCTGGTCATCCGGAGACCTCAAAGAACAATTGCGGCACCTCTTCGGCCGCACCAGTGGATTCGGCTTGCATGGCCGCGACCGAATGCGCAACGACGGAATCTACGACCGTTGGGTAATGTGTCCTCTCTCCAGGCGTTGTCTTTTGTGTCTTACCTAGTTTCCTAATTACCGTTTCTCAGATGTGAATGGTCTAACTTGCCCTCTCCTGCATCGCCTGAACGTAAAACGATAGCATTTGACTGTGAGAATAATCAACAAATGGCATACTGCGAGGATGAGGGAGGTGACTGTCACAAGGAAAAGAAGGGTGATTGCCAGGAGTGGAAAGGAGCTCACTGCCATAACGAGAAAGGAGATTGCGAGGAGTGGAAGGAATGTTGAATCGTTGTTGGGCAGGATGGAACTTTCATTATCGGGATGTTGTTCAGCTGGTTGTCAATGTATAGCGTTTTTTGCTTTTGGATATTCAGAACATTTTGGGAGGGAGAATATACATATTGCAATTGAATCATACGACGAAATATTGCCGCACTTACTGGTTGTCATTTCCAGATCTTGGCGACATTTACTTCAGCCATTGCGCCTTGTAATCTTTTGAATTCTGTATCCTAGATTCTTCCATGCCCACGCTCATGCATTGATAATTGTATCGCCCCATAGCACATCTGATTTCACGCGCTACGATGAAACTAATGAACTGTCGTCTCGTTCTGGGGATGACTGTTAACTCGACCATCCTCATGGTTGAATCTTCAGCACACTCTAGTATATCCTCAACCCGCCAACGGCGAGACTGGCAGCTCCCGAAGGAAGTTCAATTTAAAGCATCATGAGTTTACAAAAGAGCAAGTCTCCGGTGTTCACCATGACATCTGAAATATAAATTAAGGGAAAAAAAAAAAAATAATCACTGCCGTCCGAGCCAGGCTTTGTGGAAACTCTACATGTACATCCGTTATATCTATTTCTTCTTTCCTTTCTTTCCCTTTCCCCCTTTCTTGCCAGAGATCGCCATTGCATCATTCAGATCCCAGATATTGTCGAACATGGCTTCGCTCATCCGTTCTGAGACCATGGCAAGTAGTGGTTCAGCCTGTTTGGCGGTGAAGAGGGACTTTCGGGATTTAAGCATTTCAAGCACATGCTCGGCACCTTGGGAGCCAATGTGGTTGCCGCGGAGGTCTAGGAGGGTTATGGTGGTGTTCTCGGTGCCCATCATGGCGCAGAATGTGGAAAGGGGCGTGGGTTGATTTTGGTGGTTGAGAGCGGGGAAGGAACTGTTGACAGGAATCGGGATGAGTGGGCTATTCGAGATTTGATTGGCAGCTATGTGGAGAATGGTTAACGTGCTATTTCTTCGCAAATACTTTGTAAGTGGGATAAGTCCTGAATCTCCCAGAAAGTTCCCATCAAACTGCAGTTCTCTAAACAATGAAAGAGTGGAATATCTCAAACGCTGCTTTTGCGTGTTAAGACAATGGAAACCTACTGCAGGCATCCGTTCAATGCGGTTCCCAAGCTCTCCGCTGCGGCAGATCCAGCTTCACAGTATCGAAAACTCAACCGCACCAAGGCCGATGCTTTGTTTTCTCTTATACCTGCGCAAATCATACCGACGCCTTCCGCACCTAGGGGATTGTGGTCTAAGACAAGCGTCTTCAGTCCAGTTGATAAATGACATATGGAGCGAAGGGGTCGGGCCATTTGCGGTGTTATTTGGCAGTCCATGAGGTGGAGTACTGATACGGTCGGGTGAGAGGTCAAAAAGTCGGCCTAGAATATGATAGTTTTGTGGGTTGCCATCCCCAAATTGCTTCAATACCCGCACCTACCAGCGCTTCTAAGCCTTTCGTTTCCACACTTGCCCTCCAAATATAAATCCCTCCCAACGCTGCATACGAGTGAAATGTGGTGGTTATCGAATAGACGTCATTTGGACTGAGGCTCATCGAATTGAGGATGATCTTGGGATGCACGACTGTTATAAACCAAGCGTTGGGCTCGAGATCCTTGGTAGCCCACCTTATCTATGTCCTCATATCCATCTGAGCGCTTCAGTTCCTGATCTATCCGTTTTACAAGTGCTAAAATAGCGTTCTGTTATGAAGGTCACTCCAGGTACATGTGCAATCTGGGGACCCATTTGGTTGCTTACCTGGCATCGGTTCGGTCACAAAATGCTTGCATTTGGAAGCATACTCCGCTTTCAACTGCTTGAGTTGCGCCGCCTTTATTTGGTTCACGGCCTCTTGCTCTGCCTCCTTCTTCTTTTTCGCGGGAGCCCCTTTTCCTGCCTTCTTTGGAGGCATTATTATGGTGGACGTGCGGTGATCGGCATAAACTGCCGAAAAGGACTTGGAGCAGATGGTAAATGACTTGGCTCGGTTTTTTTGAGGGTCCTGTTAATGACGTTTATACAGCTTTAGCAACGGGCAATTTTTTGGACTATTTTTAGCACACAGAGGATCATCCCCTAAAGATGCATAAGCATTAACGGAGATCTTTATTAGTTTATAACTATACCGGCGTACCAAGGGTGAAAATACAGGACGGCGGCCGCATGATGAAGTTCTACACAGATCTGGCAGTTTCCAACTGTCTAAAGAATATCATTTAAGATGGTCCAAGATCTGGTAGTGCCCAAGAATGTCATTCAACATAATGCTAAATCTTTAGTTCCAAGCTATATACAAACACAAAATGTCTTCCCCACGGTTACCGAAGATGTTCGTGCCCAAGCATCAAGTGGAAAGCAGGTTTAGAAACCTGCTCACGCCCTGAACGGTCTGTCATGTAACTCTGGATCCACAGGAGGAAATGTACTCCTAAGAATTTTAGGCCATGGTTTTTCCGGTGATACCACCACGCCAGCAGATCTGATGTTTCTTCCGCTTGTAATCGCTGGCACCTCACCATATATAGGAGCAGTTGCTGGGCGGCCTGTTCCGGTAACGTCTTCTGCAACGGGTTTAACAGTTGGCTGGACCACGGCTACGAGACCTTTTGGTCCCCCTTGTGCATATATCGAACCAGCCGTCAGAGGCCGCATATTATGGATCGCGGACCGCATGAGGGGTCTTTTTTTGCGATTCCCGGTTGGCGCTCCGGCCGTTGGCTCCGCTGCGCGACTCACGCTTCCGGGCCGGCCGTCCTGCATGCCTGGGGATCCAGTCCTGCCCAAATGTAGTTGACCAAGTACGCCGCTGCTGGTATCCCATCCCTCCTCAACGCCATCCAAGTCCATATATTCAAAATCTTCCACCGTTAACCCTTGACTGGAACGAGCGTGCGACAGCATCATCGCCCGTCTTGCGCGTGCTTCTTGGGCTTCTGATCGTGCCAAATGCCGTGCATTAGCATCCGCTGGAAAGAAGGGGCCTGCTAGGTGTTCATAGTAACTATCGCGTCGGACATCGATGGTAATCGACGTAACCGAAGGCTTTTGTGCAGCCACCCGTGGAACAGAGTTGAGCCAATTTTGAACATTGTCATGATTCTTTGTCTGAGACTCGAGAATTTCAAGATTTGTTTGAACAATCATTTCCTAGATAGCCAATGTCAGCGCCTTGTAAAATATAACAATACCACTAGCATTTCCTGAATACCCACTTCTAACTGCGTATCATCGCTGGGATGATCCACGGTAGGCAACATTCCGCATTTCATCATCGCGGATCGCAGGTCCTCCTTGTTGTTTACACCGAAGTGCAACAAACCGGTCATCGCTGTTGTGCTATTTTCATTGAAATCTATCTTGAGTTACTAGATGCGACATCGTTGACTGCATCGAATACACACCGAACATGTTCGTTCTCATCGCCCAGCCTCACAATCAATCCCATCAGAATATCCTGATGAACAATGCCGTATTGTGAGATATTTGAACAGAGTTGCGCTCGCACCTTAGACAGCATTAGATGAGAAGCCCATACACTTTGCCCGACACTAGAACAACAAACCTGCCAGTTCTCATCCCATAGACACTCCAATTGGGGTCTGATCAAAACGGCCATGGGATCTAGGAAGTCCGAAGAGAAGGTGTGATACAGAAACAAGAGAGCTTTTGATGCTTCCACTTTCTCAAGCCAAAGACCGGTTTTAAGGAGATCAACAAGAGCCGCCACTATATTCGGCAAGGTTACTTGTTTGCCCTTGAGTTCAATATTGTAAGCATCATCCGGCAACAAGGTCCTTGCAGCTACCAGGGTGTACCTTTAAGTGAGGAAACCAGAACATCCCCATTAATCTCCTTAGTCCTTCAGGAATATCCTCATCCGCAAATTCCCTCGCTCTAATCATGTTCCAACTAAAATTCGCTGCTTCACTTTCTTTTACTTGACTCAGCCGGACTAAAGGAAGAGGCTCTTCTGATCTATCTTCCATTCCAATCTCCTCCACAACCAGCGCATTTTCCTCTTGAATGGGCTGTGGTTCTTCGTCACGCTTTGCAAACCATGGTTCAGGGAAGTCTACTGACACAGGTTGGGGTTTTGATCTCGGAAGTTGAGGCTTAGGCTGGGCTGGTGCGGATGGCGGACGGGATTTTGGACGTGCAGGAGCTGGTGGTGTAGCCGGCTTTTTCAAGGTTAATTGCCTCGGCGATTGCGGTATTGCGACAACCTTGGGAAGAATCGGTTCATACTCGGTAACGGTTGCCATGCGCTTGGGAGGTGGGGTGATTTTGGGCGGCTTGGGTTCTCTTAGCTTTATTTTTGGAGCGGGTGGCGGGGACGGAGGTGACGGAAGAACAACCTTGACTTGTGATTTTGGCTTCGCTTTCTTCTTTTGCTTTCGCTTCCGGCGCACACGTTCTTTCACAACCGCCGGCTCGAACATTGGTGGAGAAGGTGGGGGAGGTACTTCGTCCACTTCATGATCCTCTTCTTCCAATTCACCTAGCAACATGCGATCTTGTTCGAATAATTCTTCCTGCACTTTGATCAAGTCCCCAATGTTTATATTCCGCTTTTGGTTCTCATAATCCTTAAATGGGTCGTCCACTTTCTTTCTCTGCACACGGGTGCGCGATGCTGGTACAACATACTTTACAGTTGCAGGAACTGTTGGAGGTTTCACGGAACCTCTCCGAAACATGATGGACGTTCGTCGCATCTTACCGACTTCCTCAACCAAGGTGCTGTTTGGCATTGCAACTCCCTGGAATTGTAATTTTTTGCGGATGCTCATACGACGGGCTTCGATGGTCTCCTTTGGAGTTGGTTCCACCGGTTGATTAGGAGCTCGAAGGATTGCGGAACCCCGCCGTTTCGCCGCCTTGGGGCGTCTTTCCGACGACTTGATGGGCCGTTTTCTTGTTTCTGGCACTTGAGAAATGTGTGAACAAAGCGGAGCCGCGGAATAGATAAAGTGTTCGTCAGGACATACCAATAACTTCTGATAGAATATGCTCCACGGACGGCGGGACATCTTTTACGGGCACCTAGAAGTTGTCGATGAAGCATTAACATCTGTTACAACATTTTCACTGCTGTCACTACTGACCACATTTTCTGTGGGTGATTCTGGTCGGATAATGTCCACCAGTTCCTCTAGGCTTGGCACCTGTCTGACAATTACAAAATCTTGATCGTCATCATCGGTTTCAATTTCAACTTCTTTCGTCGCTTTTTGCGGTGAGATACCGGATCTCTCAAAACGAGGAGCATTGAGAAACGCATGGTGCTCTTGTTCAAGGAAAATTCGGCGGTTGCGGCGCTGTCGAGTAAGTGATCAGCTTGCGAGATACGAACAGTTTATTTGTGCCCTCATTTCGTACCTGTTGCGCGATCAGCCGACGTTCTTCCAGCGCTTTCCACATGTCAGATATGACTCCTGACTCATCCGGAGCTTCAATCCGACGACGAGCGTCCCTAGAGTACAGTAATTAATCTCAGTATAAATAAAACAGTGTCGACGCGCCGATAAAGATCATGCCACTGCGTACTTTTTGACGTGCCATAACCCGATCTCTCCCTTCTCCCTCATGTCCTTCTCATACACACGCTCCCAAAAATCCACAGACGTGTCAAAAGGAAGGGGTGTTTCTTGTGGATCATCAATGAAGTCCATATGTGCCGCACGCTTCAGGTACGAATGCGGAAGGTCTGAGAGCTCGAATAGTCAGCAAAGCCGTCATATCGAAAAGAGCAGTAAAAACTCACAGTCTTGCATGCGAACAAGAGTTATTTGGTCGGAGAGAGAGACAAGAAGGTCTCCGCGAGCATTGGCAAAAGTAATGGACGGAATTGCCTCGTTGAACTGGATCTCTCTGTCACGAGAAGAGGCATGACGCCCAAAGTCGTTTTAGTGGTTAGATGCTGAAAGGTAACAGAACCCAAAACGAGCCTCACCGAACCAAGCCGCCTTCATCCCAAATCCGCACAACCCCTCCACGCTCGGCTGTTGCCCATATTCCCAGCTCAGCGCACCAATCCATATCCGAGATGCCTTCGCCCCATTTGCCCTTTATCGGCACATCTGCGTCATACTTCCATGTGGTTACTGCCCCTCCAATATGTAACCCGAGCAACATTCGTTCGGGGGCTATAGCAAGTGTTGTCGGAGAATGAAGGGGCGTGGAAAGGGTGTGCAGGAGGCTGATGGTCACTGTGCAAGGTGGAGTAAGTGTTATATACCATATTTTGATCGTGTTATCCTTCCCGATCGAAATAAGGTGGAGATTTTGTGGATCAAAGCGAACTAATGTAACTTCTGCAATGTGTGCCTGCAAAAATATAGAAAAGATGTCTCGTATGCAGTTCAAAAAGAAAATTACTCGATAAATCCCTTGCATACCTGCACACTGCCCTCCTGCAATCCCCCTTCGCCAATCCATCCTATCCCTCCACTTTCCAATCCTATGCCCAGGTAAAACAACTTTCGAAATCCAGGTGACGCAGTCAACGTCTTAGGATGATTATAGAAATCGAGTCCTGTGATACATGTCGCACGGTCGCGAGGTGCTATGGATAGATAAAGTCACCAAATGAGTAAGTGCTGTATTTTGGCCCAAATAATGATAAGAGCCTACCTATATCCTCCCAAACTCCAACGATCACACCTGGGTTGACAGCCACATCATATACCACTACATCTCCGTTTGTCATGAACGTATATACCTTTTTTCCATCAAGATCTCCCACCACATCCGTGATTCCCACGTCCTTGTGCACAGGAAAGGAGGTCACAAGTACATGGCCAGTGACGGGACTGATCAGCTTAACACTGCCATCCTCACATGCGGTCAATATACGTGGTGGTAGCCGTGGATGCACCAAACGACGGATTATTTTCGGCCGCGTTCGAAGGTACGTGAACGTGGAATGGTACCGATTCAGCGCCCAGACGCTAACTCCCCTCCGTCCCCAAACCCAAAACAAATCCTTTTTTACCCACTTCATTCCCAGGAGTCCTTCCCCTTGACCCTGACCATGTACATCAAGTCGATACAGGCAGACTCCAATGTCGAAATCCCACATTCGAATCGTGCCGTCAGTTGAAGTACTCATTACAATGGGAACGGTACCCCAGGTAGCTTCGGCACCCGTTTCAATGAGAAGTAGTGCGGTAACGTTCGAGAGGTGGGCGAAAGTATGAAGAAGGAGAAACTGCGGGCTCCAAATTTTAACTGGCCAGAAGGGACGATCAGTTACTTATCAACGCCTGATATTATCCACTTGGAGGGACCTTACTCTTTCCGTCTTTACTGCCTGTGATCAATACATCTCCAGGTTCGTAGTATGCCAAGCAGGTGATGGACATATCATGGATATCCGTCAACCTTTCTAAGCGTTCTCCTGTGTTCCAATCGTATACCTGAAAACCGCGAGGAATGCTGAGGGTTACGAAATAAATATCATGCACAAACAGATATCCTCATAGACATACATATATGCTGGTATCCACTGCCGCAAAGCATCTATCCAAGGTCCTATCGTACAAAACGTAGGATACCCACTCTTCGTCAGACAGATCGGTGGTGACAAAACGAGGCGTCGGGGTGTATATATCACGATGATTTGCTCTGTCTTTGATCATCAGCGCCATAATCGACTATTGAGTGAGCCTGTTACCACATACGTTGAGTATTCCAGTGTCCAGAACTGCGAGAACATATGCTGTGAGGACCGTTATCCAACTTTCTAAACGCAGATAAGAGCCTACTTTTATATTCCCCACTTCGCCAGTCACCAGTTCATCCTTTTCTGGAATCCAATCTAAGCTATACCAGTGAAGTCAGAAGATCTTTTGCTTCTCATTTCGCTGTTTGTTTATTTTGAGCATATCAAGCGATCCGCGGACTTACAATAAAATTGGTTTGGAATTGGAAATAACAGAGAGCTCCTCAAAATGATGATCCAATACCTAGAACGCAAAGAAGAAGCTTTAATCAACCCGAATTCATGTATTCGCTAGCACCGTGTGATTGATCGTCACCCTCAATGTCATGTCTGCAACCGCCACAACAAAGCATCTGCGCTTTTGGATCCAGCACCATCCAATCACACCAGCCTTGACCCATGTCCACTCTTCCTTTCTGATCCGTGCTCCTCCACGCCACACTGTCACGGCCACGTCCTCCAATACGACAAACATTTCGCTTGTGTTTGCCGCCGGGATGTACAAAACGTTCCGAATTATGGGCTTCGGATATGGAATGTGACGATTAAGTTGAAGCCCATGTGGAATGGTGATTGAGAGAATTGTGGTATTGACGGCGTTAGATACGATCGGCTCGGCTGAGGAAGAAACAGAGGACGTTTCGGAAAGTTCGTCCACTTCTTCTTCTGATGCTGAGTCATTTGGCACCTCGACATTAGGGAAAACAGGTTTTGTTCGCTTCATTTTCCCTCTGCTACTGTTATGAGCTTCGTTTTCTGAAGCACCGCCGAGTAGACGTTCCAAGAGACTTTTCACAAACTGCCATGGTTGGACGCCAATACCCCCTTCCGCTGCTTGGTTGGATCCCTTGTTGACTTTCCTTGGCCGATACGCGATAGTTTTCCTCCCCCACGATTCCTCTCCGTCGCGCATTCTTCGCCGACGCCGCGTTGAAGAAGAATCATCGTCTTGATCCTCATTTCCCATTACAGGCTGATCGGTTGAAGTGTTTGGAGGAAGGGACTCGATGAGAAGCCGGAGCTCGCGCCCCGAGGAAGGTAACTGCTCGTATAGACGTGCTGAGCGGCGAGGATTTGCGACAAGCGGCGACATTTTCGCGGCTGCCCCAGAGAAAGGCTCGGGAAACGGAATTGTCTCCAATTAAAAAGATTAGTATCTACAAAACACAAATCCGATGTGACAACGATCGGAAAGTTATTAATTGATGAGTAACTCCTCGCAGAAACAAGGCCGCGAATCCAAGCTATTTTCAGTTGTACTAAAATTCTCCGTCATATATCCATCCTAAAAGCAATTCTCCGACACGGAACGACTGGACCCTAAATCCCTAAAATCTTGATTGCGAATATCGCGACCATGGCACATCTATTCTTATCTACGTCGTAGCCCACTCACAGATCTCTTAGATAGAGGTACACGTTTATGTACTTAAATTTCTAGTACGGTCGATATTGAGTATAGATCTAATCAGACGACGCGCAGCGTCACAGATCCAACCAAGAAGAGGCGCTAAACGGGGAAATTGACACGCAATAGGTATTCAACGTCCTATTTCTGTGCCCTATTCGCAAAATATCCCTTCACCTGTAAAGTCGGAAAATTAGCTACAACTCGCAAGAATATATTCCAGAAGTCAAAATATACCTGATCTCCGCCAAACACCATGCAGACAGTTTGCCACACTCCGAGACCCACCCTATAGAAATGAACAGAACTTTTAGCGCGCGGCCGTTACAAACACTGCTGAGGTGTACTCACCGTGGAGTAACTCCACGATAGAAGCCCTTGAAGCCATTTTGTTGGTAAATCCATTTGGCCGCGGAGCTGATGGTCATCTTTTCCGGTCGACCAGGCGTTTTGATTTGACTCTGCATTTCCACGCGGATGACTTCAATAGGCTGATTCCAGCAAGATAGACCACCGCCAATGGCGGAAGCCAAAATTCTCTGATATGGGGACAGTGGCTGCTTCGCGTCCTCATTACCGGTGGCCTTACGAATCGCGTTTTCGGCAACTCGAGACAGACCAAACCGAGATCCCCAGTTTGTACACTGTCGAACCGCAACGGCGTTCACCCCTTTGTTAATTCCACGAATACCCTCTCGCGCAAAGATCTCACGGGCAACTTGGATGCTCGACTTGCTCGGGCCACTCCCCGAACCCTTGTGTCTAGTCACCTCAACGGTCTTCATGAACGTGCAGAAGCCCATGGTCGCATAGGCCTATCACGCACCGAAAGCAATGGTTTAGGTACAATTGAACTGAAAAAGGATGGTGAAGGTTTACCTGAGCTATACCACCACCCATACCGCCCACCACTCCTGCCCAAGCGGGTCCAGCGCCAGCCACTTTTGCAAGGTACTCAATCTCCGAAGCTGCAAAAATAAGGACTGCGCCTTTCGTGCTAGCTTCAATCCAGGCCCAGGGAATCAGGCCTTGATAGAAACCAAAAGGTCCACCACGTTTCCATGTTTTGACAACTGCTTGAGGCATTGTGTCTCCTCGGTTGGCAGCCATGTGAGTTTTAACCACCTTTTAAGAATTCGTTAAGATAAGAACGGTGCATTAAAGGCCACCGAGTCGCAACCACAAACCTCAAAAGGCTGGCCAAGGGTTGACACCTCAAAGAGATTGAGTCCCGCGCCGATAGCCAAGTTTATTGGCTGGATGGGCTTCTTCTTGAGAGGTGCATTGGGGTCCGAGGGTGTAGTGTCAATGGCCATTTTGGCAAAAGTCTTGCGCGGATGGGTTCAAAGATGATGGCGACAAGGAATGGCCGGAAGAGCGGGGGGAGATGGGATCGACCATTTTGCCAGAACGGCAATATGAAACCATTTGAACCGTTCGAATGCATGAATCTCAGAAAGTACAGTACAGTAGTCCAAGCAATATCAAAGAATGCGTTGAAAGAACCAATTTTGCGGCAATACAAAAGACGTATCCATACTATTCAGTATCTATATTTTCTACGTAAACTCCTTGAATCTTTTGAGCAACGACTTTTCCCCACTTATCCAAGGCCTCCTTGTCACGACCCAGCAGCGAGACTACCACTCTGACATTCCCCTCATCGACGCGAACACCGCCTGGTCTCCACCGCGGATATGAGCCTATCTTAATTCCTTCCAACTGCACTTTTTCCTGGATATCAGTTAGAATAGGGGCGATGTCGCCCTCAAATAGGCTTGTTCCGATGAGCACACGAGAGTAGCTTGGCAAGGACAATGTTGGCCGTACGTGTGTTTCAAAATACCGATCAATCAGGACGCGGAATAGCTTTGGAACGCCTACAGAGTGTCCTTGTTAGCTTGACAGTCTCATGGACTGGCGCAACCTGTGATTCCTACCAGGGAGAATATGAACGTTTTGATTTACAATCACCAGAGGAACCCACAACTGCGTTGACGGAAACACTACTCTTGTCCTTTCCTCGCCATTAGGGTCTACTGGGAGTAGCGCCATGCGCTTCCTGGCTTCGGTCATCACCAAGGGGGCCGGATTTGTTCGACTCTTACCATCTACCAAGGTAAGCGGCATTATCATTCTCATCTTTTCGAGAGTTGGCTCGTGATAAGCGAGTGGTAAATCGAATGCCTTTGCGATCGATTGATACGTGATATCATCGTGAGTTGGCCTAATAACGCGGAGAACTGAGTTTGGTATTTCGCTGAGACGCAAACGAATAGAACAATCTGCCAAGACATGATCATACCGCGTACCCTATCCCGCCGCTTGTAAAAACCCAGTGGTATTGCCGAGATAGCTCTCTCACCGACTCTATAATATCTTGCTCCACATCGGGCACCACTTGGATGCGTCGGAGGTCAAGTCCAAAGTCAAAGCATTTCTTTGCTTTAGAGGATAATAAGCCTCAAAATTAGCATTGCAATGAGACCTCCTGAAAGTGATTGTGCTTGAATACGAACCCAGATAGTTTGAGTTGGTATCGTGGGTTTTCCCGTTGAGGATTTCATCTCCAATAATAAGACATGCCACGCTTTGGGAGTTGGTCTCCGATTTCGGAATCCCGGAGAAGGTCCGGCAGGATGAGTAACTAACGGCCACGGGTGTGGTCAACTGGCCCCGAAGGCTGGTCAGCCGAGATATCGCTCGTTGCATTTCCCGATGCTACAAACACGTCCAGCCTGCAAAGAGCTCATCTTTGGCTGCGCCCGTCACGGGAACTGGCTCAATTTGGAATGACGGGATATAGCTTACGTAACGCTCCAGTGCAGATAAAAGGACCTCCAAAGTCGGGCCTTCCATACCCTTCACAAACAGCATCTGGACCAACATCATCTTACGAAAAATATCTCACACGCAATAGAGAATATGGCGGACATGACCCACCACAAGTTTTTGAAAGCCCCCTACACGGTCGGTATAGTAGGAGCAGCATTCTCGGGTGGACAACCACGCGGAGGAGTTGAACAAGGTCCTGCGCGTCTCGTGGAGTTTGGGCTCCCGTCTCAACTGTCTTCCCTTGGTTGGAATGTTGATATCGATGAAAAGTTTCCTACATACGAGCACCTCCGTCCACCATCCGATCAAGATATAGGGAAGCTGAAAAATGCACGATATGTCTCCGCGGTCACCAAATCCGTGTCAGACTCTGTAAAATCGCTCGTTGCAAAAGGTCATCTTGCTCTGACGCTGGGCGGCGATCATTCCCTGGCGATGGGAACTATTAGTGGAAGTGCTGCCGTATACCCAGATGTTGGTGTCATTTGGGTCGATGCACACGCGGACATCAACACTCCTGAAACGACCGAAACTGGTAACCTCCATGGTTGTCCAGTCTCCTTCCTAATGGGGCTACCCGGCGCACGAAATATCCCGTCATTTGAATGGCTGTCACCCTGTCTGCCAACAAACAGAATTGTATATATTGGGCTTCGAGATGTTGATGTACCAGAAAAGAAAATATTAAAGGATAACAACATCAAAGCGTTCAGCATGCACGAGGTTGACAAATACGGCATCGGCAAAGTCGTTGAAATGGCATTAGACTACCTTGGTCGCGACAAGCCCGTTCACCTGTCATTTGATGTCGACGCGCTGGACCCAAGCGTTGCACCTGCAACGGGAACGCCTGTCCGCGGTGGACTGACGTTTAGAGAAGGACATTTCATCTGCGAGGCGGTATACGAAACAGGAAACCTGGTTGCGGTGGATATTATGGAAGTCAATCCTCTTTTGGGTGATCAGGCGTACGTCCTTCAAACCATTCAGATCGGGTGCTCTTTGACGCGAACAGCGCTGGGGGAGACACTCTTGTAGGGTTTAATTGGAAAGATGGGCGTTACGGTCGATAATATAAAATATTTGTATATACACGAATGTTTGCTCTCTCGCATCTGCCGCTATCTGTAAGAAGCGTGTATGCTCAATCACACGTCTATTTATTGTACAGACAGCTAAGTCCTAAAGCTTCTTTCCCTGGAGAACAGTCCCAACAACCGTTGGTTGCTTGCTCCTTCCTTCATATCTCCCCGCTTCTTCTTTCCTTTCGATTTGGTAACCGGTGCCTCCTCAATGTTCTTTTCAACGCCAACCCTGAAGCCCATTCCGCCCCTTCTCCCGCTAACATCCGCCGTGCCGCCATCATTAAATCCAGACATGGACGAAACAGACCGCTTCTTTCTGGAAGGAGAGGTGGATCCCGCGGCACCTGACCCCGTCGTTGACCCACCTTTAGCGGAAAGCTTCATGAATATACGGGACGACTCAGTGGTTCGCGAGATCTACACAGACGTAAATGTGAGCCCAAACGGCACAGATATGTATGGAATCTCTGGTGCTGACCATTTCGACCCTTCCGGGGCTTCTCGCCCTTAATGCTTGACGGGAAAGTTTAGTCATGGCTCTCGCTCTTTTTCTTTCCATCATTTGTGCCAAAACATCAATTCTCTCTTCCTCGAATTGCATTGGTTTCTCAGAACTGATGCTGAGTTCGGCTCCAAAAAGCTCTCTTCTGACTCCACTCTGTCCTTCTTCAACGTCATCTGCTTCATCAGTCAATGGCCATGTGCGATATCGTTCCAACCTCGCTCGCTTTGTCTAAGGATTAGCGCCGACTGTAATCTCCAACTGTAAACAAAATAGAGACGCACCTTAGCGCCCGTTGTCACTGCCGCATCCATATCTTCCTCGTCGCTATCCTCTCCTCCCCGATCACGCTTATCACGGGTCCTAACTCGATGTACTTTTCTCGTGAGACCAACCGCAGGTGCCTTGCCTTCTGGTTCTGGATCCTCATCCGACGACAAAAAGCCCTCCTTAACGGCACATGTGCTTTGAAAGCACCTTGCAAAGGCTGCCGTCTCAGGATTCGCCGCTGCATGGCACATGAATTGATTATTTCAGTGACCGGTCGCATGGTGAAAACGCAGCACAATTGAACTGACCATACATCTCCAATCCCCTCGCTTCATCACCAAGGCTTTCCCTCTCCTCAATAAAGCCTCTCGCTCGTATCCGTGCGAGTAAGAGCTCATCATCCTCATCGCTGTCATCTAAAAATCCACCATTTTCTGACCGTCTTGCTTTGCGCTTTCGCAAATTGCCAGTGGTTACGTCGTTCAACAGCTCCGTAATTTCTTTCTCATGTTCTTCTTGAACTTGTTGCCTGACACAGCCACTGTCAATAAGTCTTCTTTACCCGTGCATTACAAAGGGTCCCACCTATGAAGATCCAAAATCTCTTGGAACCCTTGGGAAATCTCCTCGTCGCTGACGACCAGGTCCTTATCATCCTGATCGAGAGCTTCGCCAACCTCATCTCCATCTGCACCGCCAAGGCCGAAAAACTCGTCTTCTTCCTCTTCGGCCTCTGCATCGACATAGACACTCTTCTCCTTTTGTCTTTCAGCTCCCAATATAATGGTCGTGCTCGATTCCGCGCGGTTACTAACAATATCCGGAGGATCTCTCATGGACTGCAGGGAGTCGTCCAAAGGATCCGAGGTATGCAGCAATTGGGAAAATGACGTGGGAGTTGAATGCTCACCGTTGTGGTTCTCTTGATCCTCCTCCCTTGCATCACTCGGATTTTGCTCGCTATCGTCACTATCACTCTCATCAACCATGCGAGCAGCCACTTTCTTGTGCTCTACTCCCACACTGTCCTCTTCATCACTACTATCTCTCAAAAGTGCTGCAAACACGTCATCGTTTTCGTCCATGCCACTTCCAGCTTCCTGTTGTGAATTACGGACGTGTTCGTCATCAAATTGCCCAGACAGCATATCCAACAACCCTGAGTTCTCATCTAATGCGTCTCTCGCTCCTACTAGCCCTCCTATGGCCCTCAATTCTCCCGCACCTGCTGGACACGTGGCATCCATATCGTCGTTCTCGTCTGTCAATGTGAGCGATGCAGGTTGTTGTTTCGCCTTCTCAAAGAAGTACATCAAGCTTCCTGCCTTAGGCTTTCCCTCTTTGCCCTTCATTCTTCCCACCCTTTTAGGTGCGGCTGGACTGGGGGCTGGAACGACCACGGCCGGCGGTCGTGGAGGATCTGTTTCTGATTCATCAACCGGCACTGCTTGGGTGTCTTGTGTATTCAACAGCCTTAGATAACTATTAATATGAGGCATACGAAAGTGCTGTCATGAACAAAATAGTCACTTACTCTTGTGACGCAGTATCAAAACTGTAGCTGTAATTCAAATGTACTTTATGATTTATATCCTGACTCTGGACCTCTTGCCTATTATCGCGCATGGCGTTCAACAGGAAAGCCTAGACACGAGATTGACGCCTGAGCATGTGTTCTCTTGGTACTGCAATGAGGGAACCTTACCTGAGAGTCGGCAGTGTCCGCCCGGTCCTAAGAGTTTGCGATACGCCACCAGCAAACATAAGGATGGGCACTCTGCGACTTAACAGTAAGGATGATCAACTCACCTCATCTCCATCATGAACACCCGTCTCGTCTCTACGTGCTTCGGCCTCGCTCAAATCACTTGCAGCCCTGTCTCGAAACAACTCAGTGAACGGTCTCCGCGCATCATCACCGGAAAATAGTCGACGTGCCGCAGGGCGTCGGTCACTTGTCTCTACGTCATTTTCGTTGGTTCGGTCTCTCATGTCTTCGCCCTGAATTGCGCAATATTTGGGACGGTCATATTATACCGAAGGGTAGAGGGAAAGTGTAAAAGTAGCTGGAAACGAAAACGAACCTTGCTACGATGGTTAGCATCCTCTTCCGTGCCAGCTACCAGTACAGCCACGTCATCGTCCTCTGCATTGATATCTCCTTGACCCTCTTCAATTTGATCCGTCTTCCCTTCTCTCTCCGCCTTTTCTGCCAGCCATGCTGCCCGACGCTCCTCCTTTCTCTTCGCTTTCTGCTTCTCCCGCTCCTCAAGGGCAAGACGCCGCTGTTCTTCTTCTTCTTCCCTCCTTTTTTTGGCCTGCTGGACATTCCGCTGAATCAACTGCTGATTCAATAAAGCCCGTGAACTCATCCTCATCGGCTGCGCGAAGGGGACTTTATGGCTCGCTGTTGACTCGGGCTCACCCTCATTTTGTTTCACTTGAATAACTTCCAAAAAGTCTTCCTCTTCTCCTTCATCATCATCATTGAGGTCGGCTTTCAGGACCAGACGACGGGCTATTGCTCGGTTATTTTCTTCGATGCTTCGCAAATTAGATTTGGAAATGATTTTGTCCACTTTGAGGGGCAGTGGTAGATTGGGATTTCGGCTCTTGGGTAGTGGTAGTGGTAGGTGACTTTCCTCAGGAAGATGTTCTTCCGGAGCAGATTGTATAGCAGCAGGTGGTGGCGGATTTTCTTGAGATGGCGATTCCTGGAGTGGCGGCTCATGAGATTGTGATTCTTCAGGTACACTATTCGCATCGACGTCATGATTCGAAGGTGTTGTTTCAAAGTTACTAGTCTTAGTTCCCATTGTACCAGACCTTCACAGAACGTCAGCGAGATATTCTGAACAACCTTTTGCTAATTGCATTTGCCATTATTACCGACTGATACCCCGAGCAGCAAGAAAGTTTCCTATCGTCAGCTTGCTCTGCCTCTGAGGCAAATCAACAATGGTGCCTGTGAGACAAGAAACGAATGAGTTTGATTTTCCGCAACTCCATACTTTTATAAGACGTACTTCTCAATAACCGTTCTGTCTCCTTCCGTAGCTCAAGTAGCTGCTCTTCAGACGATTGCTGACATACCGTAATGACCCGATGAACACAAATATCAAGAGTACAACCCATAGCTTCATTACACTCACATCCTTCCCATGTTTGCTTCGTCTTTTGGAGCTGGATTTGGGAGGCTCTTCGTACAAAGCGTTGCCATCCGAGTCGTAGAGCACGTCAGAATCACTCTCTTGATCGGCCTCTGGCGACTGATTCCTTGATGAATTTCTCTGCATAATCCCTTCAGAGACATTTGGTAGCTCGTTATCTGAATCATCCTCAAAGAGGGAATCAATCACATCATTTGCGGGCCGATCTTCAGTTCTGCTATCATTAACATCCGCGGCCGCTGAATCTGAAGGATTATTCCTTGCACGCATTTTTTCGGCCAGCATTTGCAATTTGTTCGCTGTGATGGACTTTGGCGAAACGTCATCCCCATTTTGAACGACATTATCAGATGCTTCAATCCTTTTTCGCATCGCACCAATACGACCGCGCGGTCTAAATGATCGAATATCAGGCTCGTTGTCATCGGTATCGTCAGTTTGGCCGTCATCGTTTAGCATTGCGGTTGGCGGTGAAGATGTCGAACTTGGCGCGCGGTGATCCGTATGCTCAGGTAGAACACCAGCATCTGACGACTGAATACGTGCGGGGAATGTTCTTGTCTCATCGTCATCTTCTTCTGACCCTCCATCTTGGTGTATCAGCGAGTTCATCACGCCTTCCACCGCCTTGCCGTAGGTCTCTTCAATACCCTCCATGGGTATCGGCAAGTCAAGCAGTTGCATCAGTCCGCTGTCCATAGCATTGGATGTATCACCACTGCCTTCTCCATCAGTTTTTCTTGTGTCTTCGGCAGACTTTCTTCCATACGTACGAGCTGGGCGTCGCTTCGGAGGAACCACATCAGTTGAAGAGACATCTCCACCTTCCGTATTTTTTGGCAGAACCGCTGAAGAATCCTTCAAAATGCCATCATATGCAGCTGCAACTTTTGCACTGCAGCCTTCAGTTTCGAGTATGCCTTCGAGGTTTTCAGGTGACGTTATGTCCATGACGGAATGCAACCTGCAGGTTAGAAGAAAGATGCGACCGGTGCCGCCAGGTAATTATGCGGCCAGATACCAATAATAAATGAAGAATGAATTGGTCGCACTACAGCTGCTTTTGAGCCGTTGTTATTGTTGTCATGCCCCAATACAAATGGTGCAAATGCTGGTGAGGAAAGACGAGAGACGCGATCATGTCTGGTCTAAGCCACTGACTCAATGTCCGACTGGCACGTCCGAGGAGGCAGACGTCGCGTCTGAACAAGAAAGACTTTCTGCGCTTTTGACATCTGTTTAGCTTTTCGCCCGATGCTGGACAATTGGCATCAACTGTAGACAAAGAAGACGGCCTCCATCAAGCTAAAGTGCCTTGAGGGGGCCCATAGCTAGATCTGGCTAATACTCTTAACATTTGCATATTACTGGGGTCGTCTGTTATGTCATAACGAAAACTGACAGGAAGAGCAGAATCTGTCGAGTAACGACTAACGCATTGCCCGGATACTCTTTCCTCTTAGAATTTTATTACTGTACTGAATATCTTACTGTACATAACTTGCAAGAGGTCACCCAGGTTGACTTTTGATTCTGGTCCATTGTAATAAAAGTACTTCGTATGGATCCATTGGGTACTATTAACTACTTGCCTCTACTTTTTGAACGACAGATAACTGTGAAACAACGTTCAAATCTCATAGCCTCTCGCTCTCAGCGAACAACATGTTCAAACGTCGGGAGCGCACGTAAGCAGCGGAATCACGTTGATCATTAGTCCATATATAGCTTTATTACAATCGGTGGTTTACGTTGCCTGCTCTTCTTCGTCGTTTCCGAGGGTTTTCCTTGAACCATCTTTCTAGAGATTCACAGATGAGATATGACCGTCACCAATTCAGAGGAATATAAACAGTTTTTTAACTCATACGCTGAGGATATGCGAAAGGTATGTTTGGAGTTTTGCTCCATGACTGCCCCCGCCACACTCCTCAGACCCGTTTGTCAGGAGGCGCACCAGGCTGTTTATACAGGCATTCCGCACAAAATAAAGCATCTTCGGCATTTAATGGAAATATCTCCCTTGATTAATTCAGCGGGCATCAGTCATGTCCACCGGATCTCCCCAGCAAAACGGACGGCAGGGTCAGAGAGGGACCCCTCATCATCGAAGAAGCGACGTATAGAGAATGAGGTGAAAGGAATGGAAGAAGACACGAACGAGTCTGTCAAACAATTGCATGTAGAGATGGAAAATTTCCATTCTGAATCTGTTCCGAGCAATGCAAGCATTGTGGAGATAGTGCAATTGCTCAAACCTGAACTGTCTGACATGATTGATCTGTGCGGGAAAATAAAGAGCTGGCTTCAGGCAAGCACACTCTCGCCAAGCATTAATGAAACTTGGCTAATGGCACATGTCTCATTCAGTTCAATCTTCTCTATATCGACGACGGCCGTACATTTGCGAAGCTAGTTCACGAATCGATCTTTAAAGAACTGACCGCTGCAGAGGACTCGGCGCTTGCCATCGCAGACTCTATCCACCAGTATTTCTCCAAACGGGCAACACTTGTTACCAGCTGCGTACAACATAAAAGAGTTCAGGATTTTCAAGAAGCAGTGAAAGAACTCGATGCGCTGGAATGGTTACATATAAAGTCTACCTTCAATGATCTTTCCCTGACCTGTGAGTGTTTTTGTCTTGGCAATATTAGCATTAATCGCTGATGGACTACTTCAGATGTCGTGCTCTTCACTCGAATAACAAAAGCCTGGACGGTGCTTGAGCCCCATCGACCGTGAATACTCCCGTCATACAATCATAGACTCATCATAAACAGACGATGTTAAAGACAGTGTACTATATTCTGTCCAGTTCATTTACAATCATGTATCTAGAGAATAAAATGTACAGGTATCTGAACCAGACTAATTGGCTTTTATGTCGCGTCATCGCTGTTCTTGCTTGAAAAAACTGCTGAGGAGTCGCTACAAACACTGCCGAGTGGCTCTTCTTGCCATCCCGCGCGCGAAACAGCAAATGTGGTACAATCGTCAAACCGAGATCCCCTATGAACAAGTATTTCCGAAGCAAAGAAACAGTCTTGAGGGCATAGCAATGCGGTATTTGACGACGCGGAGATGTAGAAGACGACGCAGGCAGATTGAGAAAGTACCTAATGATATTGGTAGGTTATGTATATAAGTAAATGTGATCGATGCCACGAAAGCAAACGACAGGAACACACCGAATGCCTTCAAATAGAGCTCTATGATTTGGATGACCTGAAATCCCTCCATTATCAAAGGTGATGGCCTATGGAGTTGGAAAAACCATAAATTCTTTCGCTGCCTAAGATCATGTCATCCTCGCAACACGCACCACATCTACTTTACGCTCTCCAATGTGTGCATCGAGGACCTCTGCTATCACCGATGCCTTCCACCAAGCTTTCGGGTCATCTTGCAACTGTCTATGTATCCGGCAATTGATGTTCAGCACGGTTGCAGTCTGCATGGTCTGTATCCATGTCGCCTTCCTACGACTCAGAACTCACGGGTGGTCTAAGCAAGTCACGTTGGATGAATGTATTCCCAACTTTTTGCAACTCTCCAGAAGTTCCTTTTTTCGTACAGCGCCTATCCCATCCGCGTTCCCTACAACGCAGCACAGCTTGTTAGCGTGTACTGCCGTAGTTTCACACATGGTGCGTCAACTCTCACACCTGAAGACAAACATAATACGGAAACCTCAGCACCATGCTCAATCAATTGCACTATCGTTGGTCCGAAAAACATGCACTCGTCATCTGGGTGGGCTGTGACAAGAAGGACAGAGAGTCGATTGAATTGCTTTAAAGGCGGTCGGAGAGGTAGAGGAATAAATGAACTGCGAAATGCCGAGGTCGGACGGGAAAATAGGAAGAGAAGGTATACGAGAGGACCCGTGGAAAGCGCTATTATCAACAAGGGAAGTACGAGAATGGGCAGCATCGTGTGTAGTGTATTGGCAATAACAAATGTCACAACACAATACACCAGGGAATAGACTGGCGACAACCAGCCCGGAAAAGCCAAGTAATTCCCTCCTTACAACTAAGTACCACTAGGCCCAATGACACATGCAATACATTACGGTTGTTCTAAACGGGTAACTAAGCCCACCACACGAGAGAAATCCTACTAAGCCCTTGATTCCGAAATTCTTGGATGTTCAGATACTAATTAAACCAGAATTAGACTCGGAATACGGGCGTGGGAAAATACAAAGATAATGCATACCTGCAATCGTAGCAATATAGTAGTAGCAGCGTTTGCAAGGGGTTATGTTGTTGTAGTCGGGTGGGCGAGGTCCTTGGCACCACCACATCTGTATTCTCATGATTCGACCGACAGTCGTGATGAGAAGAGTTGCACAGATGCTTGCGAGTCGAGGGATAAAGAAACAAGAGGGAAGAAGAACAGCGGGGGTTTATATAGAAAAAAGAGCGGATAGATTGAGTCATGGAGCGTCATGCAGGTGGCATCTGCAGAATATTCCTCTCATAGATGGCTGCAAAGGGATAGTAATTGCAATCCGTTCATTTCGCAGGTATTGGACCCGTCTTTTTGTTTATCTTCGTGAGGTTCACAATAAATGTGGTTAATTCAACTGGCTGCAATGCTTCGTGGCACTGACATTTCTATTTTCCCACACCGTATGTCACAGTCCTGCTGCATTGTCCTTCGCGCAACGAGATTGTAAGGTCATGTGACAGGTTATGTAATGGGCCCGATCATGTCGCCTTCTACAATGCATTTGGACGATAGTCTAACCCTAACGCTACGGATATCTAAGCTCTCTATTTGCAAGGATGCAATATCCTAAACTGTACACAGGAGGATGAACATGGCAACGCTAGCTATTGCTTGCCTTTGCACACAACGTCCAGTGGCCTTGTGATTTGACTGAATGATTACTACTCAACCGCTTGCTTCAGGCTAAATATTTGATGATAATGCCGATCGAGGATCAATGGTGCATGAAAGCGTCCGCCCACGTTCAGTAACGTATCAGAGATGAAATTCGGATTCACAGGTCACACCGGCTTCGTTCTACTCGATGTCATCGTAACTGCTTTGGCATCTCCTCCGTTCGAAGCTGATAATCCGTAAACACCAAGCTATTGTCCAGGCCCAGTGATATGATTGAGCTTTTCCCCCGCCATTCGTTGAATTTTGCCACTATGACTCGTTTGGCTATTGCAATGCAGGATTAGTAACGTCCCTCGCGAGAAATTGTTGCACATGCAGACATACTATGGCCGCTCAATGATTGTGCAGGTCCCTGTTGTACGCCGGTGTGTCTCACTGGAGAGTTGAAAATCATGAGCTGTTTGCGGAGAAAATGGAAAGTCCTTTTAAACTTACTGTCCCAAATGGCGACAGTGCCATCCCGGATGTGGCCGAGAGAAACCAGATATCCGTTGGGATGCACAGAATGATGTCTATATTTCGTGCTATCTGACCTACTCGAATCCTCGCTCGCGCCTTCATTCAGACCAAAAGTCAGAACAACCTTTCTCTCCCGTTCATCCCATAAGCGCATCTGGTTCTTGCTTTCCGCGAATCTGGACGATACAGCACCAAAATGAGCGAATCGTTGACATGACAGGCAGTACAGGACAGGACTTTTTCCAACTTACCCGAGAAGCAACAGCTGTGGATGTGTTGGAATGCCGCTGATGTCCCTGATCTACATGATGGGATGTTGAAAAATGTTTGCGCTCTGAAAGTTGCAGGTACTCTACTTACTTTTCCCTCCATACGTTCGAATGGTAGCGTATTTCTCCCTTCAGCCAGAGACCATCCAACCAGTCGCGAGTCCAGACCACCAGAATATAGTACCTCGCTGTGCGGATTGTAATATATTCCCTGGACTGCCGAGGTATGCTCCGTGTGAATGCTAATATGATTGACCTTGGTATAGTCATCCTGATTCCCCCAAAAGGACCCATCAAAACTCCACAAGAACTGGAAAGTGAACGAGACATCCTTAAACGACGTGGCTAACGACTCAGAACACACCGTAAGACTTACGATCTTCTTGTCCATTCCACCAGTTAACCAACGGGTTTTGTTCCCCAGATTGGCGAACGGGTATATAAGGGCAATGCCTCTATCGTGGGGCATGTTGTTTCTTAGATGCTGTACTTTGTAGGTGAATTTCCCCTGTCATGCATTTGTCAATAGAAATATCGGGGACGGAGGGTTGGGGACAGTCAGCGCACCCTTTTTACTGAACAATCATAAAGGAGTGCCAATTGATGGGGAACAATGGACGCCTTATCGCCTTTGGTGGAGTTTTGTGCAGACTTGTCGGCAGCAGCAACAGCAAGGACGTTTGGGGATACCCAGGCCTGAATCCCGATTTACTTATTCAGTACTGAAGACGGTAGAAATAGGAATTGATTCACTTACAATATCTTCGGACCAGTAATTCCTCAGTTCCTCATGTAAAACTGACTGGAATTGACTATGGCGCAAAAGACCCATTAGCGACAAACGCCTACGGTCACTTTAAACAGACATGATACCTCTTGCCACGTTGGTCAAATAAATGCAGATGGCTAGAAGGAGCAAATTAGTAAAATGTACCAGATACCATTACCAAAGAGTAGCACCAATTGTAGCATACCCGTCGAGAGTAGATGCTATGACAGTATCTTGAACTGGACCTGGGTTCTCTGGTGGTAATAATAGTGATCGAGGCTTTCGCGTAAACTCTCCGACCTTTCTGCGGTTGAAATTGTACAACGTGCATATCGTGCGTTTCGTCTCAGGCTGCCAACTGGAGGACTCGTCACGGCCATTTTCAGTGCTAGATTTTGTCTGACGTCGAGAGCTCCCTTGAGGCGAACTGAGTTCAGTATGGCCTTCGGACGGCCCGGCCTGTACCGCCGCTGGCGTGTCCTGCATTTGCGACGAATGATTATGTTTGGATCGTGGAGATCTGCCATTTATTGTAGACCGCGGTGATACTTCAGACGCCGATTTTGCCGCCGCTCGTTCTAAAAGTCTTGTGAGCCTTGCAATCCTCCGAGATGCCCGGCGAGCTTTGTCGGTGAATATAATAAAGCGATGCCGCTGCCTTTCCATCTGAATGGCTAGTTGAGCAAGACTTAGTCCCTCAGCCTCTGAATCTGATGATTCCTCTCCGGAACTGGAGCTTAATGAAGATGCTTTATTTGCGTTTTCTGATCTTTGAAGTGGCATTTCATCCGCACCACGACGGGCTACCATAGAACCCACCAACTGCAGATCTTGGTGTTGTGAAACAAGGCTTTCAAATGGATCTGGAGGCGGTCTCTCCTCACGAAGGTTCTCACCATGGGGATTTGGCGATGGTGACCTTCTGCGCGAACCTTCGCGGATGACTGGCTCGGCAATGGCGACTGGCTGATCTTCCTCCTCTTCCTTGACTGGTATCACCTCTGGACTGGAAGACGGTGAATCCAGTCTCGGCCTCTTGTTTTTGACGTCATAATTCACTGGCTGGTGGCCAAAGTCATGGCGGTTAGTCCCAAATAGATTTGAATCTCTTGAAGAAAAAGGCCTCTTTCCGGTAGCCTAAACGTAAGCATGAGTCTAGTGCGCTTCTTCCGGGGTGTTGCAGTACCAATCTTCCAACCTCTCGCCCAGTATGCCAGGAAGGTGGTCTTCGTGGGGATTCGCCAATTGACTGATTTGGACAATACCGAGCCCAGTGCCCCATTTTTCCGCATCTAGGACAGGGCGTGGTCGGAATAACGTTTCGGTCGGGGACGAAGCGCCCTCGAGACCTGCTACGCTGCCCAGAACCGGGGCCATCCCATAACGGCGTATGGTCTCGAGAGTCCGCTCGGAGAATTGAGCTTTGAAATACCGAGGGAATGCTACCAATGTTACCCCGCTCCATCCTGTAGCACTGCCCAAGAGCAGAAGAGCTTGGATGTCAAAACAACTTCATTTCATACTGATTAGGCTAAATTACAAGTGGCTGTGCTTCGTGTCGGACTTTACAATCATCGACAAATGTCCTCAGTGCTTGCATGTTCTTTACGTCCAGTGTTTCCAGCAGATCTTAAACACACAGGTGTCGTCTTTACCCAGTACATCATTTTAATCACTCTCCAATCTCGAGCGGAGGATCGGACATGCAGAAATGGTTGAGAGATGGCTGCAGGAAACTGGATGGGCGGTTAGTTGTAACGTCAGATTTTTACAAAACGAAGCCCAGCAGAAGGTAAGAGAGGTGACAATGAGGGATATGCGTATCTCTTTATTAGTGCACTTCATATTTCTACTGATTGACTGATGAAAGTGTCCATTCACCGCTCCCAGCGTCGTGAAAACAAGCCTTCTTGTGTCCATATTTCAAAAAGCAGACTCTCAATGTCCCTTACGTTTGTACTCTTACTTTCAGTGCTACGGTTTACCGTTGGGGTACAGTTAGGTACTGGTATACCGTTTGGAAGGTTAGAAGCGTATCTTTCGAATCACGCTCAGTCCTGTCAAGTGAGTGCAACTCCCCAAGTCCCTTTTTAAACGATATTTGAACACTGGTTGTCCGGCAAGAACACCGCCTGATACTTCCTCGTGTAGTACTTGAGTTACTGGAATGTGTGGAGGACACACTGCAGGGTTTGGGACGAGTGCCTTGCTAATTGAAAACATTTCCAGGTTTACTTGTCCGAGCATTGAGGCAATATGAATATTTGTGGCTTGAAAATAGAATCAACGTTAACTAAATGCTGCATTCCGCCAATTTAAGTAATTTATCCGAAAAGCTTTGCAGATATGGCAATGTAAAATACCTTTGCGTTAATGTAATATCAGATACTCTATGAGCACTGGCCCCGGTCGTGCCATTTATCATGATGTCGTTCATCGTCAATCATTGGACATCATAATGCGTGCGCCAAACCAGCAACACAGCATCAGATCATGATTGTAAAAGCTTGGTTAAAAGATGACTGCCGGCGGTTTAGTATCGAGCGATCACAGGTTACATATCAGACTATTCGACGCAAGGTGCGTATACATGACTATCGATCCGTGTTGCGTGAGGTAACCGGTTGTTCCTCTTAGATATTCAATCTATACCAACTACCGCAGTATGAAGATTCGTTTTGTCTGCAGTATCGTGATGCGGATGGAGACGTGATTACGGTTGCATCAAATGAGGATGTCGAGGAGATTCGTAAGCTTGGACTTGCTGGCATTGTGCTATCTGTCCCGATCATTCTAATGACAAATAACATTTTCATAGTACGAAATGATGCTAAAGACGACTCGTCCGTTCTTAAAGTCCGGGTACATCTGTCGACTTCAACCGGTAGCTCTGACACAGGGTTGGAGGAAGTCACGGGCGCCATGGGCGGGATGGCTGTTTCCGCACCTGAGCTGGACTCAGGTATTGTTCTTTTGTTTCCGATACACATGATTATGGTTAATGAAGTCTAAAAAAGCGCTGTTTTGAACAAAGGACTGGCAGCAAGCGCGGGTGTCGACATTCTCCCGCGTGCGGAGCGATTCGAAGGAAACTTTACGGATAGGGAGGTCCTTGAAATTTTGAGAGATATATCATTGTACATTTCATGTAGAGGCACTGGTAAGATGATTTTCTTATATTATTTCGTAACATTGAATTCACTTGGAAAAGACAAGGCGCCGGTCCGCCAATGGGTGTCGTCCGAAAAGAATCTCATAAGTAGGTGCTAATTTCATCATGCGAATTCCTCTGGCTACTCGCTAACCCCTTGTTCATCCCGCAGCACCAGGATCCACCCCGTCTCCACATCTGCGTAACGCTGAGCGATACACTCGGGTACATCAGGCCTCCACGACATCCCACGTACACGACGAATCCAAAGACAGCAGCCAGACCTCGTTACCTGTTCCTGTGTCTGCCGCAGGTAATGCCATGCATCGGCGGGAAGCAGCAACATCTGTTGACGATATTGGTAATGCGAACACCAGTCAACAATAGGCCTTGTCAGATATTTAATTCTTCCGGATACATATCTGGAATTGTATCGATAACCTTAAGAATACATGCTGCTTTTGCCAAACACCCAGACAGAAATACTTTACATTTATCTTGGCCAATGCACACTTTTCCTCTCTATTTTAATGAAGAATCAAAAGTTGAATGTTTAGGTACATAAACGTCACCACTTGACTTAGGGCGCGAGGATGCCAGAGTTGATGGCATTGGCATTGCCATTTTGCGCATCATGGATTCAAACAGAATAACAGCGTCATATTCCAACACCAGGAGGTTTGAAAGCGCACCATGATATTCCAACTACTAACAGCATCTCAAAAAACCAAACCTCTCCAAACAACCTCACCCAGTACCCCAAATATCCTTCCATTCAAAAAGTATAAACAAAAGAATACAGGCCAGCTGTCAGATATAACGGTTACAGACATGAGGACACGGAGAATACATAAATACGTACTCGATCGTTCGTCCTTTACCATAACTTACCTGCTATCATCACCATCACTCAGCGGCTGTGGGTATCTCGACCTACTTTGAACAAGTAGGGAGAATAGAAATGCGGAAAAGAGGTTGTATGTGATGGTGGGTTTAAATATTCCTTTGGTGGGACTGCCGCGCAGTCGCGGAGTGATTTGTTGGAATTGGGATAGTCACGCTGGTCAGTGGAGATACCATCAAAAGGCTTCATCTTCCGAAAAAGAGACCTCCATGATATGATAGCTGTTTTAGTCTCAGGCTGTACTTGGAGTTTATCACCAGCGGTAGCCAATGCTGCGCGTTGGGAGAGGACAGGCAGTCCCGGCTATTGAAGTGTTGCATGTCACAAGGAATGTGTCCCATTTCTTTGATGTTTGGCCGAGGAGAAATTGAATCCTTCAATACTTGATCAGTACACTTTTATGCCACTGTTTTTGCTTGTCCCTCCCCTACGTATCCTCATCAAACACTCTGCCCGCCAATATTTAGGCATTCTCGAGTGCCTGCGAGGCATCATAGCAGATTGAGATACACCTGCACTTGTTCATCGTCCCTCGCCAGCTGATGCCTTCCAATTACGCTATTCTCATATGGGTTTCTTCTTCCTAGTATGATACGCAAGGTTCTTCATGGAATATTTTGAAGCAGCCTGGCTGGGGTGTGGGGAGAGCGGTTTGCTCCTCGATGTTGTTTTTGTCCTGAGGAAAGCGCTGATCCACTCGCCTCAGCTATATCATCTCAATGACGTTAAAAAAATGCGATACATAGTACTGTATCTTTGAGTACATGGCAATCAGCAGTCCAAGTCCACACACGATTTGCTCAGACATGACCCTCACCCGGATCAAAAAATCAAGGATCATTCCAAATGTTCCCAAAAAAAACATGTCAAGCCGAAACAGCATGTTCTGATATGGTGGCACGTCCAAAGCTCCTTGCCTTTTTCTTTTCACGATCGCTACTATCATGCTTGATGATGCGGTTCATGGGCAGCATGGCAGATGGTCAGCGGCTGAGAGCCCGGAGCGATTGGTGGTTGATTTGACAAGAGGTGTTGATATCCGTGCGGAGAATGGTGTGCTTTGCTTGTGTACACAGACAAAAGACTGGTGTCCTGCGACGAGGCATTTACACGCCATCTGTTTACAGCAGAGCGAAAAGTCACCTTCCAGCTTCCCTCAGCCCATGTACCGAAACCGTTAAGCGCAGCCAGACGTCATATTAAGCCTCCAGGTCACTTCCTCTTGATTCGTTTGTCCAAACTGTCATAACCTAACTACTTTTCTGACTTTTTTTTTTTGTTTTTGGCAATGATGCAGACCCCGTACCATTAGGACATATCCAAGCGACCATCTACGACACTGGTCGACACCAACCAGTCCCAGCTTCCTCCACCTCTCCGGTACCAACACGAAAGCTACTCAACTGGGGCCCTGATGATATTGATGTGGAGGGAAGTGGTGTGGGAGGCGGGAGAGGAAGATTAACTGAAAAGGTCGACGGGGGATGGAAGAAGGAATTGAAACAGGCGAGTTGGGAGGCTAGGTTTGGCGATCTGTCGCTTGGTTTGACCTTGACGCACATTCCAGAAATCAAAGCAAAAGGAGAACCATTCATTAGACGAGCCACCATCAGGGAAGGCAGATGTGCAAGTGGACGATTCCGCAAAATCCTTGTTGCGCTTTGAGCAAGTGCCAGACAACCCTGCTGTACTCATCAAAAAGAGTACGGATGCCGAAAATGCTGGGACGGAAACTAAAAGGTACTGTACAAGAGGCCGTACTCCTTGGCATATTTTTGATATAAACCGTTCACAAATGCCGCAGTACGAAAGCTTCACCAGCTCCATCTCGCCCAATGTCCGCCAAAAGACCACTTTCCGGTCGTAGTGGTCAGTCAAACTCTCACACACGTCGTTCGCCAAACCAAAGTCTTCCCTCGGCTACCGCATCCAGCGACGATCCCATGATGTCTGGCGTATCCCTGTCCAGTCTACCGCTCGCAACTGAACACAAGCTCCCTGTGACGTATTTACCAGCATCGTTGACAAAGATGCAGACAGTGCGGAGCAATATTGATCAATATAGGATTGAACAAGTGGGTATTGGAAAACCACTTTTGCACACATTGATTGAGGAGATGTTGATGTCAATTGCATTTACCTTTTAGATTGCGCTTCGCCGCCTTCGCTTTGTAATTGAAAATAACGAAGCCGAACCAGACCATCTTTCCATGATCGATCTTGTTGAGCAAGGGTAACGCTCCGCTTTTTTGTTGTGAATATGTGTTTGATCAGCTTTTGCTCATTCTTCCTGCCTTTCATTATCATCAGCAACGTACCACAACACATTCTCCGCCGCTACTTTGGCCCCGCTTATAAAAACGTTCACGAAATCCGTGTTCTCCTCCTTCAATCCATCGACCGAACACGACGCTTGCGTCACAGACCTCCAACACCGTGCAATGCTCCCCCAAGCAATGAGCATCCACATCATCTCCTTCCACGTACCGCCAGTCCTTCACCACTTCCAGATTATGTAGACCCCGACGAGGATGTACCTCTTGGACGACAAGCAGTGCGGATCTTTTCCCCTCGAAGATCCGTGACTACACCAGAGGACCTTTTGCAAATGCTGGACCAGGTAGAAAAGAGTAGAAGTGGGAGCGCCCAAAAAAAGGGAGCTAGAAAGGGGAGTGGCAAAAAGAGGACCAGCACAACCAGGACCGCTCGAAAGAGTTTATCAACGAGGGTTGAGGAAGGTGATGTACCAGGTGCCAAGCTAAACGATCCTACGGCTGCACTTTCAGGAGAACAGATTTTACGCATGATTGAGAGGAGGAGACTACGGCATTTGAAATTGTAAACTATCTATTAATATAAAGAGAAATCTTGCAAAGAATGCTAGAGCTACCAACACTTCATGGATCTACCTGGAAACACAAAAGTCCATGGCAGGCAATATGGTAACGCACCACTCTACAACAACGGTTTTTGGTGCTCCCGCTCATTCCAATGTAGACTAGAAATCAGTGAACGGCACCAGTCCTTTGTCTGATCATCGTGGCATATCTGCAAGAACGGATATCGCGATGCCGTTACGCATACAGAATCGGCCTTATTTAGCTCCATTCGATCGCGTGCGTCGAAACCGGCCTGAAGGACAGGATTAAATTATGGTTTCTCAACATTTCCACAAAAGCTGCAAGATGTGAACTTCCTACCCATGCCGTTGAACGGCTATTTGGTGACACGCAGATCCTCAAATTCATCCGCCCAGGAAGAATCATAGGACGGCACGTCAACGTATGTGCACATATAGGTGTGATCAGAATTGCACTTTTATCGGGGTGTACTGTTTTCAATTGAATGCGTAAAGTGGTTCCTAAGACCCAAGTGCGCGATATACAACTTACCAAGTGATCCACCTGCACTCAGCTGCAGTTCGTTGTCAACCATTAGATCATGTTAGCATCATGTTAGCTGTGCTCTTAGTATTGCGTCTTGTGAATCCTACCGAATACGCCGTTGAACCAGTACTAGTCGCAACAACGAGACCATCGGCTTGTATTGTGGTGAGGTACATGTTATCCACGTATCTGCAAAACAGCAAGATGATCAACGCTTGCCCAAGATACGATACTTTCATCATGTACATACAACTCGAGCATCAAAAGCCCTGGGTTGGGTCCCTGGACAGCATTAGCAACGATATCAAACTGCAATATCAACAAACAGATAACCTACTCGATCAAGGACCAACTCATTCAACACCTGCGTGCCAAAATCTGGATCCCCCGTCGGCCATTCCTCACAGTCTTTACATCCACCATTTGTCCGCACCACGTCATGCCGCGTACAATGCGTGACGGTACTGGGCTGAGGGACGGGAAGTTTCCACCGGTATACAGCACAGCTCAATCGCTGTCGTAAATTAACATGATGTCCTTCTCCACTCAACACGCTTTTGAGAGACTGTCGATATTCGTTGATTTGAAAATTTGTGAGAAACCCCAGCGAGCCGAGATGGAAGGACATGACCGGTGGGACAGCTTTCTGTAATCAATATTTCATTAGGTTGCAGGCATCTTAAAACAGGATCGACGAAAGACTTACTTGAAAGAGGCTAGCTGAATACCAGCACACGGTGCAACACTCTTATTAGAGGTTGCTGAAATATGCGTTCCAGTACCCAGACAATAACATTACCGGTGTACAATACAGTTCCATCGCCTCCAAGTGTGACCGCCAGACTTATATTCTCAGCATTCGCTTTAACCCCGTCTTCCGTCCAAAACTTGAGGCGCTTTTTAATGGTCTCATCCTTGATGAGGGAGTCATACCCAAACTCGGTCCGCTCCTTGAATGGCTCGCCCACATATACATCGACGCAGAAATGACATATTATCCATATGGCGACTTCTTTTGTTAATGGAACAAGGGAGGGCTCTCGTGGCTGAATGACACGTTTGTACTATTTTAGCAGCCGTCAAGAAAACATGATTCGACCACACACCTTTGTGACAATGATTATGGATTTTAGATGGTCAAGTTTTAGCCTCATTCTGTGCACTTTGGACAGTTTTTCGTACAAGCTACCGGGATCAAAACGGCAGAGGTCATTGAGATCGGTTTCCAGCATCATAGCAAGTGTTCCAGGCTCACCGAACGGAAGCCTCCACAATTGTAGAGATGCTTGACGTTTCCATACCCAAAAACTCCAATTGATGCTCAACCGAGCGAAGCATGCCCTTTCGTCCATTTTCGCTCCGTTTGATCGTCTCCCGCAACACCCGAAGATGGTTTTGGTCGCCTATTTGTTTCATCTGTTATACATCCGTTACTAAAAAGTAACGGTAAACCTTCTTGTTCTCACCCTTCAATTCTACATAATGCGATCCATCATAAAACTCTATTCCAAAATGTTTATGATCGAAGCCTGTAAAAGTATTTTCGAAAGCCTAAATATAAAGAATGAGCCATTTCCTCAGACTACTCGTTGCAAAGGTGTCGCTGAAGAGATACGTTGATAATCCCGTCGTAGCTAAGGTCAGAGTCTGTTGTGCATAGATGGTTATGAGGACAAAAATGCGCAATGCGAAAAAAAACAGTGTTTCTGCAAAACAACCTTTGACAAACGCGTACTTTGCGAAATTGTTGTGAAAGAGCTTTAGCTCTATAGTGTCTGGACGTTCGGCGCTCATTGTTTTACAGGATTACCACAGAGCAATCTGTGCGTTCATTCAGTGTGATGGCCAATCTTGAAAGATGGGAGATCTGTCCGCGCAACGAAATCCAAGTGTCTGGGCGCTGACGTCACAAGTCTACAACATGTGCCTTTGGTTATATAATACAGGCCGGTGCTGCCGGAGGTGCAAGCCACGAATGCTTCAATTGTTTTTCCTATTACAAACTCTTCCAGATTTTCAAAAATGTCCCATTCCATTACTTCAAGAATAGTATTTACAAGTATGAAGAGAAAAAAAAAAAGATAAATGTGGTATTCCAAATGAAAAACTACTCGACCCAGGTGCCTAATCCAGGCGATCAGACCATCCGCGACTGCACAGTTCTGTCGGGTGCGGGGCAATGAAAACAAGAGGGGCTTGGTGGCCCACAACATCCATGTTGTTAGGAGAGAACATTATCGAAGGCGTCTCATCGCAAAAGGATGTGACAATCTGTAAGTTTGGCGACATTGAGCCGGCGCACGATGAACCTGGACACCGCTTTGCGTGACGGCGGAGTTGATCATTCCGTAGGAAGGTCTTTGGACAAGTCGAGCACGTAAAGCGAGAAACGGCAGTGGCTCCTACAGCTGACGTGTCCTGGGACGTTTTGGCAATGCCGTGGACACGTTTGTGTCGCTGTAAATCCGCTGCACGATAGTCTGTTTTGGTTTAAAAAGTTAGCACCAGGGCAATATGACTGTACAAGTTAAACAAACACTTACAAGACTTATCGCAGCCTTCTTCGGTACAGATGAATGACTTTGTGCGTACAGGTGCATGTACAATGAGCATGTGCTGCTGCTGGTTGTAGGAGCGATTGAAAACTTTTCCGCATATTTCACACGGGAAGGCCTTGATGGATGCTGAAGAGCCGGAAGGACCCGAGCCGATTTTCCCCAAGGATTTTGACGAGTGCGCTTTTGACCTGGGAGATGAAGGTACTGCAGGTCGAGATAGGTGTGGAAGGGAGGCAACGGCGGGAGGCGGTGAGAAGGATTCGGCCGCCAACGGTAGAGGTGGGGATGGATACGGCTGTGGATAGGGCTGCAACAGCAACCAGTTGTCTGTCAATGCTGTAGTGTCCAGCTGGGGAGGCATGCAAGCCGTTGTCATTGACGGGCCTGGAGGCAATTCGGCAGCCGGCGTCATGTAGCGTACGGCAGGTGACACCATAGACGGCGCCGGGAAGTTGGCTGTCAAATACTGCTGGTCAAGTGGCTCGAGCAGCGTGCGCAATTCATCGTCTTGTGCGGAAGACGTAGGGGAAGGCGGCAACAGGGCTGCTGGCATAACAGGATTCCAGGTATTTCTTGCTGACATGGGCGTCGTTGGGTTGTGAGAGAAATAGTCGACTTGCTGTTGTTGCTGTTGTTGCTGTTGTTGTTGGTGCTCTTGCTGCTGCTGCTGCTCGATTGACGTGCTCGCAATAAACGTTGCGGTTTGATGATCGTTACCAAGCCATTGTTCGTAAGAGAACTCATTACCCAGCGTGGCGGCAAACATGTTTGGGTCCATGTGGGTTTGGTGGACGTTCATGACGGATCCTTTGGAACAACAGGGAATTGACAGGTCTTTGACTTGATCTGTCAAAGCGACGAAAAAAAGACGCGACAATTGTCGATGAGACGACAATCAAAACGCATGCAGCAACGAGGACCAACAAACGACGACAGGGCCGCTCTTGAAAACAACACCCACAAAACGACGAGAAACTCACAGTGTGAAAACGAGTATCAGAAGATAAATCGAACGTCAACAGAAAAAAAAATAAAACACGCGAGCAAGTAGACGTAGTGAAAAGGGACCTTTGGGCGCGTGTCGTCCTTTTAAACCACGACTCGCTCGTCTGGGGGATGAATGCAAGAAGGCCGAACACCGGAATAAAGCCTCGAACGGTACTCGAAAGAAAAAGCAAAAAAGGGACAGCGTATGAAAATCCCGGTAACAAAAGCCAAGGGTTCACGTCCCTCTCGTGTCCATCAAAAAGAGACAATGATTGCTCTCTGGATATCGATGATGAACTCTTTTTTTTTGAGTCGACGAGAAAAACGCACGAGAGAGTCTTTTGTTTGTTGCTGGACGGGGGGGAGGGGCCAAGGAGCTAGGAAGGAAGGAAGGACGGAGGACGGAGGGGGAAATGATGTTCCTTGTTTTTTTTTTTTGGTTCCTTGTTTACCCACAAGAAATGCCTGTGTGTGCGTGTGCGTTGCTTTGTGTGCGTTTGCAGGCAGAAGTTTTACACACACACTGGGGGAGGCAGAACACACAACAAACAAAACACTACGCAAGTTTTAGGGCGTGGGGAGAAAGTATGCAACTGACCAAGAAAGACGCCCCTCCCCCTCCGTATGGCTCCGAAACGCTCGCAAATCGAGATAAGCACGCGAATAAAATTCTTGAGGGTGTTTGTCGGACGACCACAACATTCAAGCCACATTACGGAATTTATAGTCACTTTGGGAAAGACACAGCCGGGGGTCGTGGAGATCCAATGTGGCCGAACGCAAATTTGCGTCTCCGGATTAGTACCGAAACGCGTCTTGGACCCTCTCCTGGAAGGTGGAAATGCACACGGCCACAAACATTTGCGGGGGACAGAACGAGTCCAGACCAAACAAGGAGAAACTTTTTAACAGGGCCCAGCGTTGCGTTTTGCGTGCTATTCAAGAAACAAATCCGCCTCCATTTAACATTTCCGTCTCCCGCGACTGTCCAAGCCTCCCACTATCAGCTTTTCTTTTTTTCTTGTTGGGGCCAAATTGTTAACGCCTCTGCCCTGCTGACTCGTCGTGAATGTTTACCCTTTGTCTTAATCAGCAACGCTTACGACCAAATCCGTCATTCAATGGAAAGTATGACAACATGATTGCATTCTGACCATCAAGTGGAAAAGAGGGAAAAGTCAAGCACGAGGGCAATCGTCTGGAAAGGTAAACACAGTGCTGTCTCGTTTGGCACCATTTTGAAAAATGGAACGAAAAAGGCAATGGCACCGAGAAACTGGTTTTCGGACCTTTGATCCGTTGGAACGGGCAATCTCATGCACGCACGAGGGATTTTGGCGTTTTGCGGACATTTACAAAATTGCGAAACTCGTATTGAAATAATTTTTTGCGTCCGTATTTTGCCGTAAAGAGGCTTGACTCTGAATCCTTTTGAAATCGTCCAGGAATAGACAAGTTGGCAAATGCATGATGGATGATGTCTTTGAAAAGTGATTTATTTGCTCCAATACATGTTCCTATTCCTGCAACGTTGTTTTGACTAGATACTAAGACAAGGGCACGAATGGAGCAGGAGAATCGGATGCAAAACCTAAAGGGGTGAATGAGCTGTAAAAAGCCTCTTTGTTCCGAGGCGCAGCAGTTGATTTCAAGGCATAAAGCACGTAACCAATATATTGGCACAGTTGTTGTGTAGCATCATTATCATTCAGTCAGCATTACACATTTTCATTCTAATCTCTTTTCATCTCATGTATGCAGATGACGGTCAAGGGCGTACTCAAAACCGCCAAGGGGCAAGCCTGCTTTGAGCCTGGCCTCCTTCATTTGTCTCGCCTTATTATTCAAATCCACGTTATGGCGCCCCTGAAATAATCCCTTGGCTTTGCCTTCATCCAAAATCAGTCGCCAGCGTCTCGTGTGGTACTGGTGCTTTTCAAGCCCCCTCTCCAGCTCTTCTTCGTCTTGTCGCGTCCACATGCGCCGACGTCGCGGCCCCGTGCCACCTGAAGAGGTCACAGAGGGTGATCGGGCGCCACTGACCTCGAGCATGCGCCGAGGGTCTGCCGGAGCTGCTATTGTCCGCGTATTTCCAGTGGGAGATGCTGACGAGAAAAGTGTAAACTATACAATAAACTGACAGGATAAAATCCAACCTGATCTTACCATTTGGGCGTGGAGTGGCAATCACTCGAGCGCGTTCCCTTTCTCGCCTTTTGCGTCCCCTTTCTGCCCGTTTTCTTGCCTTTTGTTCCGCGAGACAATCCCGTCGCGCAACTGTCTCCCTGACCTCTTCCTCATCACTGGTAAAGACATCCGATGGACGAGTCGCGGGTCTAGACCGCGGCACAGGTCTGGGAGACGGCGTCGGAGGTTCTTGTCTCGGAAATTCGGCGTCAACAGCTTGGTACACGCGCTTGATCGGATCACGTACATTCTGACTAAACCCACATGTTAAAGAAAAGCGCCCAATATCCCTGATTTGCATATCCATTACCTAAAGACTTCCCGTGCGGCATCCAATCCGTCCAAGATATCTGACTTTTGGCGTGCACGTTTCGTACGTTGTACTGGAGTTATGGAAGCCTCCTTGCCTCCGCCTTCAGTGACACGTTTTGCCTGGCTTCGAGTCGTCACACGCGTCGGAGTACGAGAGGCTTCCCGTACTTGCGACAGCGGAGTGGCCTGCTGCCGTTTTCTCGTGACCGTGCGTGTCGGAGATAGTAGGATCTCTGGTGTCTGCGACGAGCGCTTGGTCTGCCTTGTCGATTGTCTATCGCTCGTCTCACGTTCTTCCAATTCATGTACCAGCTGTCCCCTGTCAAATGACGCACTAAATCATCAGGGCGCACTAGTATCCTAATCGAGAGCTGATAACACATACAGCAGATTTGGGTCGTTGCCGAGATTGAAAGAGTCGTCATTTTCCTCATCGTCATCCAGATCGTCTTCATGGTCTTGCTCGCTGCTGCTACTCTCCTCACTTGATCTGTTGTTGTCCATGTCGTGGTCGTCATCAGAATCGCCCATGTCTGCGTCTCTCGCAGAGGAAATATCTGTCACTAGAGTGTTAGGGTTAGGGTTAGGGTTTCTCTCCTCGGCATTTTAGGTACAATGTCACATGATGTGATTTGGTAATTCAATAATAGATAAATTAGGTGAAATTGCGAATTGCGTAAGCAAACACACTTTGAACGGAGCTGGGCTTGGGGGTCGAGGTTCTAATTGAACTTTGATCTTGGATTACCTGAATCGTGGCTGAATGCGGCTGACATGGCCATTATCTATCCTTACTTACTTGTTTCTGAATTGGTAGGGCACGTTGTACCGGCAGTTTGACTGTGTGTCTGCAGTTTGAGAGATGACAAAGAGCAGACGAGCCAGGAGTTTGGAGAGTGTCAGTCCATTGCCAGACTTTGCAAAGCAAAAAACATCGAGAGACAGTTTAGCCCACCACAAAACGGAGAACTTGAAAGCAACAAAAGATTCTGGGAGAGGAAAAGAACTCATAGGCGATCTTCTTGACGTTAATAATGACTGGCTGCAAGGTGAACGCTGGAGCTATTATTCCGGCACAGGAGCACGGTGGCAGTTTCGCGCAAGTGCGGTAGCAGAAAAGCGGTATAGTCGCCTAGTGGAGCATGTACGGGATGCAATTTACATGTCTTCACTTGGCAGCCAAATGCTAATCGAACGCATGTCCGCACAGCTCAACAGATTTATTCGCCTTCATATCATCTCTTCCGCAGAGCCACTGACGGTCATCGTCGATGCCCAGGAGACTATTGAAGTAAACACCAGTTTGTTGTTAGGAATTGCGTAATGTGGATTCACATGGATGTTTGCATATTGAAAAGGACCTGGCCCAGCGTATCGAAGTCGAGCTATTTGCGAGAGCCTTAGAATCGTCAGATGGTGACTTGGATTTGACACCATTTGAATGCTGGTACTCCTCGCGCGAACTGTTTGATGTTTAACCATAACCAGGAACTTACCTTTGGCTTTTTAGCCTTTTGTACGATACGAATATGATTGCCCTGAACTTTAGCGATCGCATCGAGGACGTTCTAGGACACGACGAGGATGTTCATGTAATGACAGTAACGGAATGTAAGCCAGGCTGGGAGAGCGCGCAGATCAAGAACTGCTGATCGATTTCGCAATGTATATTCTCCAGGTGAGCAAGCCGAGCCAGCCGACAATGTGGAGGCAGTAGCAGATACCAAGCAAACGATTGGTCCAACCGAACGAAGACCTTCGACACATGTAGGAAACGTCTCTGTGACTTCCTACTATCAACGGTTGTGAGCTGACCTCTACATGGAACCAGCATGCCCGCAATTTTGAAACTGCCAAGACGCGCACAAAGCATTTATCAATGGACGAAAAGCTACAAAACGTTTTGCACCACAAAGTTGGTTTGGAGCGATTTGTTCAGTTCTGTGCATCAGACCATACCCTGGAAAAATTGCTATTTTGGATTGATGTGGAGATATTGCAAGATGTGCCTCTGGAATATGTTGGTCCTTACGGCCGTTATATTTTCATGACATATATTAACGACGGATGTCCTCTCCCTGTCAATCTTCGACCACAAGCAAAGTTGGACGTTACGAGATCAATGGCCGCAGTGACAAGGGCAACGTTTGACGAGTGCCAAGAAATGGTTTACAATTCTTTGAAAGGGCAAAGCTTTGGAAGGTTCGTAAAGCATCAGCTGTACATGGAGTATAATGAGCAAAGACTAGCTGGTACAGTGCTACGCTCTCGATGTTCGTCCATATGACCGAGGCCTGATCCCAGGAACTTTTAAAATCCAGGTGGACCAGGTTATAAAATGGGGTTTCTTCACGCATCCTATTTTGAAATGGCTCCTCCAGATTGGGAGTTGGTTCAGCAGCTGATTTCAACGTTGGAAAACCCAGCACTTCAAAACCAGAATACATTCACCTCCTTTTTTCCACCCAGCGATGGCTCGATGCCTTTTCAGGTGCAAGTCTTGACAGTAATCCTGCGACACTATTTTCCTCACATGAGTACCCCTGCAACGTACTTTCGTGACGCGCAATACGCGTCAGCTGCCAAGCGTAAGAGCAGAATAAACAAAGACAAGAAATTGACAAAGTTCTTTGGTGCTCGCCCCTCTGGAGATCAAATCCACCGACAGTTGGCGAAAGCAAATCCGCGAGTCGAGTTAGGGCATGAAGAGGTTGAAGATGCAAAGCAGGAAAACCCGGAGGAAGCGATTGTTCCTGAAAGCATATTCAAGAAGCGTAGATTTTCAAAACTACACAACTTTTTTGGAGAAAACTTACCAAAGCCGCAGCTAAAGGCACAGAATCTGGCAACACGTCAGGATTCTGTTGCCAGCCTTCAAGGGAACGAACGCAAAATCACCGGTCGGACTCGTAGTCACACTATTCATTCATATACCCCACCACTACCTCGCCGAAATCAGAATGAGCTGGATCCAACTGAGAAAAAGCGGCTAGTGAAACAAAAACTGAAAATCAAGGCGGTACTTGGAACGCCTATAGGCGAGGTTCTTTGTCCAAACCCGCTACTCCGAAGAAGATCTTACAGCATCGACTCATTGCTACTAGCATCAAAAACAGACGTTACATCTGCAGGTGTACAGCTTTCGGAGAGGAAAGCGCGAAGCGAAACGGCAGTTGCTTCAGCCGACGGTTCCAAAGTGCGATTACATAGCAAGACGGCAACGAACTGTCATCTGAGTTCTCAAGAAAGTAATCACTCCATTACACGTGGCTCTGAATTGCTGGAAGACAATGATAGATCTCGTCGTAGGAAGAGGGTACAAAAGCTTCTGGCACTTTTAGGCGAGGGTTTGCCGGCAGCAACCGTAAACGATGCCGCATCATCCGTGAGGCCAAAGTCACCAGTTACTCTATCACCAGAAGTGCGCCAAGAGCATGTGAGGAGAAACAGCAAATTAGAGCGAGTGTTTGGCAAGGTTCCACCCAGTAATTTAGTCGCCGGAAATCCCCTCTTTGATCCGCACTCTGCAGCGAGTTCTCACCAGAGGGCCATCCGAGGACTCAGCATGTTCATCCAGAACGAGAACGGCGTCGTGGATTTGATGGAAAAAATGGCAGCATTTGACGAAAGCCCACACCCGGGAAGTTCTGAAGAGGACATGGGTTCTGAAGTAGAGAGAACAAAAAAGAGAAAGCAACTCAGCAAACTCCAAAAATTCTTTGGCGATGACTTTGCCGGCATGACATTTATGCTGGAACATGCAATAGAATCCCAAATAGAAAACCCTGAGGAGCTCTGCCAGCTTCGCGCTGAGTTAAAACAGCTGCGGGTAGAGCTAAGTAAAAGAAATGAAGAGATTAGAAAGGGTCTGGATACGTGGAGAAAGTCATTCATAGCTGAGTAGATGAGATGTCTGTCTCGGCCAAAACTGTACCTGATCACAAGATCCTATGTATTTACATGTTTAATAGGTATTGATTTATGTTAAGACTAAAGTACATATAGCACACAGATGACATTCACATCGCTTCCACCGCGCATCACCGGCCCTGACGATATGTCGCTGGCCGCCTAAGACGTGCCAGAGACCACATCCATAACCTCGATAACACTTTCTAGGGTCAAGTGCATCGTTAATCTGGTCATGGCAGCTTCTATCGGGTTAGCCAGCGTACTTCGACGCGCCCGCTTGGTGGTGGCAGCCTGGGGAAGTCCCCCAAAGCTACTGGGACGCCGTGAGCCCACTTCCGGAATTGTTGGCGCCATGCTCGTACGACGAGATAATCTAGGATCGGCGGAGACAGAACTAGGTCGGCGACTTCGACCCCCAGATGGCGTACTTGCGATATCAGAGGAGGGTTGAAATTCAACTTGAACGTTTTCGAAAGGAAATTCTTCCTCCCCGGGAACAAATGTCCCAAACAAGAGTACTGACGGTCCTCCACGAGCCAAGAGATCAAACCAATGTCCATAAGACGCGCGTAGCGCATCGCAAATGGCTTTGCACTTTCCCCAAACAACCCTCCTCTCCAATAACATATCTCTTTTCCTCAACCATATGTCCATGTTTTTTCTTCGGCGAACAATTACCAAAATACGATGGCGGAGAGGGTTGAGATTGGACATTGAATTTTCAAAGCTCATGCCAGAAGGGAAACTGGACGATATACTCGGAATTTCGGAGATATCCGATCCAGAATGGAACGAATTCCGGCTCATATTGGCAGCAGGACGCTGGTATTCTCCATTGTCACGAATAATGGCACCTTCGTCTATTCGTTCCAGCTGCTTCATTGCCAGCACCATATTTCTTCCACTGCGTTTCAGCTGCAGACAGCGGAGGTATTGCAAGCGGACTCGATGTCCCCGGTACGCTCTAGATGAATCATTGGTGACAAATAGTTGAAGTATCGTCAGATAGCCTCACCTCTGAACGTAGCGAATCATTTGAAGATAAAGTCGGTATTGGATCACATTGTGGTACGCTCGGAGACATCTGCCAAGATTCCACAGTAAGTAAGGATAGTGGCAACCAGTACAGTTAAATCGTAGCTCATCCCCCACCTTTGCAAATGCTTGACGTGGTTGTCAATCCGTATGATTGACCGTATAACAGCATCGACATTTTGCGGTGGGCGATACTTGACTTTAATTTCCATCGCCTCTTCAAGTCTCTGGCCGGACAAACTGTCTTCATTTTCCACAACATTGTCCGTGTTCGTATCGGGTACAGCAAGAGAGGCGTTCAGATTGGTCTGTTGAGCTTCTCCGTCATTGACGACTTGTTCTTCTATTGCGACAGATCCAAGTACTGCTTTATTTTCCAAGGACGTATGGTCTCTGGATTTCCGTACCCGCTTTGCTGTAATTGCGGGCGATGAAGTAGCATTGTCCGGTTTCTTGCGCCGAATAGATCTCTTCTTTCGCTTTTTCTTTTTTCTGATACGGGCTACGGGTATAGTGGATTCAGTTTCCTTTCCAGTGCATTCATTAGTGTCTGTGTCAGATGCTTGTTTCGGTTCTTCACTCTGTATCAAAACATTGGGGTTTTCCGATTCTGTCTCTGGTATCATTACCGACAGTACTTCGGTGTGCCTCGGTGTTTGGACTTGTTGTTGTGGCAGATCCTCCTTCCTCATGTTACGAACGAACCAACCCTCCACCATCTCAGACGAATGGCCTTCCCTTGTTGGGGTTTGCGATCGTGGTCTGCCTCGGGGACTTGGTGAACGTCGAGGAATGCTCGTAACTGCTTCGGCTAAGGTAGCAGCGTCCAAATCCCCAATATCATCATCCAGAAGAATGGATTCGCAATCAAAGTCGCCAGTTTCAACAGCCCACCCATGAGACGTTGCGACGACAGTACCCGTCGGGTGGTGAGCAGAGGCACAACGAGAGTGCGTCCGGCTTTCAGCAGGAACGTGTATCATGGAATCGTCTACTACAATCAATGTGGGATTCAGTTCCGTGCGCAGGCCTTTGAAGGGCCCGCGTACAGAATTGGAGAGCACGGTCCGCTGGGAAGGCGCCGAGTATTCCCCCTGTTCGCGCATTGACGCAATCTGCGAATACATTCTGGCCAACGCATCCTTGTCTTCCCACATTGCAGGCGACTCCATTAAAGGGAACTCATCAGATATCCAGACGCCAGCATCGTGATAATGCTCGACTGCGGATGTAGGTCTGAGATGATGGGGAGATGATGCCCGTGCACGCGCGGAGGATGTCCTTAGCGAAGAGTCTAGTGGGACCCGATTCTCCAGCGACCATACCGACAATGCGGAGGCGGGGCGTTTCGATTTTTTCTGCATGTGCTCATTCTTTCCATCTAATTGCAGACGGAGCAGTTGCAGTCTCTCTATCAACGAAGCCGTCTCACAACCATCTGCTTCCAATGTGCTCGTCTGCAAAACAGCCGCTTGGGGAGGAGCATCTTGCGTCTGCGCTGCTGTTGTCTGTGTTGATGCAATAGTAGGACGGCGCTGTTGGGTTGGAGGGTGAAACTCTTCGAAAATAATATCTTCAGTCTCCATGCCAAACAACTCCTCAGTGGGCTCTCCGTTGGAGACGAATAGCTTATGAGTCCACATCAAATCCTTCAGCAGGGATGCGCCTGGTCGGAGACAAAGAGCAGAACAAGGACGGGCGCTCTGCACATATTCATATTGTTTATTCACGTCCACGACTGATGTAGACGGATGTGAATGAGACACAGATGACATGGCTGTCTGCGGTCGAGAAAGAGAGGGCAATTGGCTAGTCTGGCCCTGTGGTGAGCACTTCCAGGCGCTCTTTGGACGTCTTCCCTCATTCATTGCATTCGGTAGGGAGTTTTTTCTTTCGGTAGATATAGCTTCCTTGATCAGTTGAGCAAATAATTGTCCATCAAGATGTTCGACATCATCTTCTGTGGCATGATTGGACTTTGCTGAGACTGGACGATGTGTAGTGGACGGTCTGCTGCTCAGTGGCGAGGCGACGACTCCGACATGCTTCTCTTGAAGATCTACTTGGAGATTGACAGTAGTTGCAGTTTTGACCTCGCAATCAGTGGTGGTAATATTTGTACGACTTTTTCTGAGAACTTGTGGCAGAATTTCTTTCGCACTCGATGGACGACTGGATGGTATTTCACGTTTTACCGCAGTGGAAATTGAATATGCAGACCTTTTCTTGGAGAATAGTTCAGTTCCCAAGCTAAGGGACCTCTTTGGAGCCTTGCCACTCCGAACGATAAATTCTTTACTTCTTAAAATTTGCTGCGCATCTTCTGAGATACATGTCACGTCGTCCTTGCGATCTTGATGTTCATCCTCCTGAACAAGTAATGTTTCCGGCATTTTCTCCACTCGTTCATTAGAATCCACTTGTTTGCCAGATTTTGGACCGTATAAGTCTCTCTCTCGCTCACGCCTTTGGGCTCTTGCACTCGGCATCTCATCATCATCCTCCCATGGTTGTGGAGTGGATGGCGAGAGTGGTGGTACCGGTCTCGACCCTGAGTTAATCTCTACCGACACACTACGCCATTGCTTTCGCTCTCCTGTAGGCGCCGAATGCTGTCGATTTAAATTAGAGGCGCTGGACGATTGCCGCTCGGAAAGGCGTGAATTCACAGGCTGTGCGCTCATTGCCTTTGTTTTACCTTGAATGCCTCGCAAATGGTGAAGGTTCCCTTCAGAAACTGCCAACATCGGCTCGCTTTTACGAACCACGTCTGATACAGACAATCGTGGTTCAAAAGGGAACTTCCTCTCAAATAGTGTCGAGGAAGCACTCTTAGGGCGATGCAGTGGCAGTTCTCCGCAACTGGTTGAAGGATGATCCAGGTTTTTTAGTTCATCCTTTGACCTAATCTCCTCGCCGAAACTTCGAGATACATCGTTATTTGGCGTGAGTGGAAGCATTGGTTTCAGATATTCCTCGTCCATCCTGTTATCTGGAAAGCCACTCGCATGGTAGATTTCATCTTGTGCAGCATCAGGTGCTCGCACGGCCTCAAAGATTTCCCTATCGTCCAAACCAGACAATTGCTTTCCAACGGGACGTTCTATTGAAATCCTTTCCGTGATATTGGATTCTTCCCGCTGACTGCTTGATGCAGATGAACCCTGTAACCCTTGCAGCTTTTTCGAAAAGCGTTCATGCGGTGCCGTGTCGCTCTGCCCAGGGGCCGCGTCCATTTCTGCTATTTCTCTGTCCTTAGGGTAGAGTTCCTTTCCTGCCGTACCCTCACTATATATAATTGGAGCCAGCACCGAATGAACTTTCCCACCAGGACTTTCGTAGCTCAGATGTAGCCGCTCTTCCGACTGCACTATTGCTGGTTTGAAAACACTGTTAAAACCGGAACGGTAAGGAAACTGGAAGTCTTTGGTTGGCTTACCGGAACTTCTCATCTCCAAAGGATTAGCATACGTGCCACTACCGCGTTGCTCTTCCACGGTACTCGTTGCTGAGCTCTCCCTCTCAACATCTGGTGCAAGGATATTATCGCCGTGGGTTGACGCCCTAACATGACCGTCCGATAACCTATCAATGCTACTAGGTAGTACCGGTGCTTCTTGAATCTCGCCGGTAAAGGAAGATGCTACATCCTCCTGACTATGAACATGCTCATCAATATCCTTTTCAGAAATGGTGAGTTCTTCTGTGTTGACAGGCGGGGAAGCTGCATTATCTTGCACCATCATGGGAACTTTGCCAGCCTTAATGTCATCCAAGTTTGGCCAAGTCGGACGCCACTCAGCCAAACGCTGATGAGAGCGAGAGATTTCCGAGAAGGTAGCGCTCACTGAGCGCAGAACACTTTGAATGTCATTGACCGAGCTGAGAAACTTGCCGATTGGGACGTATAGCGTTGCTGGCGGTACAGCTTTAGATTCCGAGTCTGCTTCCGTCAAAGAGGAATTCGGTTTCTGTTCCTCCTCTGATTTTTGACCTTTCTGTTGCTGGTATCCTTTACGGAGGGATATGGCAGTACTAGTAACCCTAACAGCCTTCAGTAGCTTATCTCGTGATTTTGAGCGCTGGCCTGCATTATATAAATTGCCCTTTGAAGTAGATCTCTCTGTTTGCGAGCCTAAATTGCTCTTCGATGTTGATTGGCTTAACTCTCTTCTGCTTTTGGTCAATCGACCTCGTGAAGGAGTTCTAGGGATGTTTTCAGAAAGTGAGTCGCGCGACACACTTCGTACAGATCTTGATGATCCCCCTCCTTTTCCATGTAGACGATTTGTGCTTTCAAATCTATCTGTCGAATGTAGACTGCTTATACTTCCTAAGGACTTGGCTCCTTTGATCCTTTTCACCTCCGAGGACCTCAATTCTCCAGATGTAGATCCGACGGCAATGGGAGTCCCATGTAACGCTTTCCCTTCCAATGCTGGCTTCATTGTCACCCATCAGAGCTACATATCAATTACTCTGGCTCGGACATGATACAATTTTGGGCAGGTCATGGCCTGAAAACAAACAACGGAGCATCCGATTGCAGGATCAAGGAACCCTAACGTGCTTACGTGAGCTGATATAGTAAGCTCCACCGCTCATGAAAATCCAACCCATCACAGCGGTACGATCCGACTTCCACACAACCATACATGCCGTCGAGAATGAACGGCGAAGAGGTGCATTACATTCCTCTTTATCTTCTGCATCTCTGGAACTGATTCATTCAACATAGGTTGCGCCGTCCGACTTGCTGTCATCATCCAGAAGAGGAAGCTTTAGTATCCCCCGTCGGCTGTCAGTGACACAGCGGAGACCTTCGGTGGGTCTAGCTGGTGCTCCACGCCTAAGCACAGGACCTCCATTAGCCCCTCCTGTGACCGGTCCCGAGCAAAATGTCGGGGCAAGGGAAAAGACTGTCTCCTTTGCCTTCAATGAGGGAGGGGAAGATCGAGAAGATGATGAATCAGAGGATGTGGTCAATGACATACAGGAAAATGTTCTTCAACACAAGCCTGTAACATCCAAGATCTATGAGAGGAGGAAAAGCATCATGCCTACGACCTCCACGAGGAAACGCGTAGATCTATCGCCAGCTCAAAAGCAAGGTCACCTATCCCTTCCTTGGCAGATATGGGAGCATCATCAATCAACAAGCTAACAATCTATAACACAATAGAGATACGAGAGGTGTTCAATTTGTTTGATACGGACGGCTCGGGTACAATTGACGTGAAAGAACTTAAAATCCTAATGCGTGCCCTCGGGTTCCACCCTGCGCCAGGAGAAGTGGAAAGGTTGGTTGCTCTCTTCGATGTAGACGGCTCTCCTACCCTGAATTTGGAAGAGTTTCTGCAATTGATGGCCATAAAGCTGGTAAGAAAGCATAATGTGAAAACCGTTTCGTGTGGATTGAGAAGTTTCACGGGCTCAGTTGATTCTACCCAATCAGGCCGAAAAAGATAGTCGTGAAAACATTCTTGAAGCTTTCCGAATTTTCGACACTGACGCCAGAGGCAGAGTCGGGTTACGGGAACTAAAAGTGAGTGGCAATATATCTATGGGAGTTGACAATTACATGGTGTAAACATTTGGCATATCAAGCGTGTCGCAAAAGATCTGGGGGAGGATCTCACAGACGAAGAATTGCAAATGATGCTAGCAGAATGCGACAACGATGGAGACGGTGAAATTGGGCCGGATGACTGGATACGAGTTATGGCAAAGTCGGTCAGTACAGCATTAGCTGCCCATCTTGGCCACCATGTGCACTGACTCTATGACTGTAGAGTGTTTAAAGCCCAGAATATCTGGATCACCAGGCATTTGAAATCTCATCAAGAAACGAGCGTCGGCTTTGCGTAATAAACCAAGTGCCAAAGCATCAATGATTGTCAAGTTTCATCCTTTATTTCATCCTTTTTTTGTAAGAGACAAGCTCTTTTTCTTTTTTCAAGGCCCTCCTCCGGCCGGAGCCAAGAGACACCCCCACCGCGGTGAGTTGTGGCCGCCGCTCCGCCATCGCGACAGTCAGTCCTTTTCAACCAAAGAAGACAAGTGGAGAAGACGAGTAAAGAGAAGGGGGGAGGCGAGAAACGTCGCCTTTTTATAACCCTGGGGACTGCGCTTTTTTTTGCAATCGGAAATTCTCGGCGGAAGATTCCTATCTGCGTACGTCATTCTTCTGAGCACGCCATGAAGGCCCAATCATCGTCGTCGTTTCCACCTCCTGGCAGACCTCCTGGCGTGCGTTCGTTCCCCTCGCATGGCGCGCGAGTCAAGATTATGTAAACGCGTCCATGGTGGAATCATTTGTTTATCATTTTCCCACGGGTCTGGACAAGCGAGATGGGACAACGTCGGATAGGCTTCTGGAGACTGGACGTTGCTGGAAAGGACGATGAGTTGGTTTTATTTTGCAGCAGCAGCAGACCAACGGAAACCTCCCAAGAAGGCTCGGCACAACACAAAATGCATCATGCCGGATAATCGAAGATGCCAGCAGTAGCATTCTAGCGTGATCTTACGCCCAAAGGAGCATGGAAATCACGAACAAGATGCCCTTAAGGGCCTAATCGTCAAAAGTTGGCAGATCTGGAGAGCAGTCAACATGACGACCCAGAAATGACACAATGCATTTGCAACGAAGGACACCAGGACATATGACTGAGAATCTCGGGAGGATCGAGATGCAAAGACTTTTGGCGATGACATTGTTCAGGCAAACCTATATCTGGATGATTGGGTCGTGCTTAAAGGATGCATTCTATAATTTACACGTGTAATCCTGCCAATCTAAACAAACGCTTTGAAGCGCAAGTTCTCTCCAAGAAAAGTCTAAACTGATTAACCATCCGAATCCTCTTTGGAAAATACGGCTTCGTCGTCTTCATCCGAGCCACCGCGCTTGATTACAGCTCGTTGTTCAACGAGCATGTGTCTGAAACCGTCGAAAGAAGAGTTTGGTAAACCATCCTCACTCGATACGATTGCATCAAAAAGTACACACCTGGCCAGAGCATCAGTCCTGCTGAAGCGCTTGTTGCAGATGTCGCACGCGTACGGCTTGATATGAAGGTGCTTTGACCTCTCATGGCGGACTTTCTCGTATCTTAAAAGGAGCATCGCCATTGGATGTCAGTCGCGCGGTTCTGGTGCCCGAAGAACCAGGTGACACCGCATCAGGAATTACTCACTTTCTGCTGAATCGCTGGGGACAATACGAGCATTCCCAGGGCTTTCCAGAATGTGCCGAGGAATGATTTCTCAGCTGCGAGCGCTGTGTAAATACGGCAGGGCAGTGAGGGCATGGGAATCCTTTGACTTCTTCCACATCGGTCTGTGGTGATGAGGGAGTTACTCTTCGTCGCCTTCGACCGAGTTTGAGATTCTGGACTGGCGACACCATCTCTGGAAAATTCTGCAAGGGAGAGCGACATTCCTTGGGTGAACGTGATGCGTGGTTTGGACGTCTAATCAACGATGGCGAAACAGTGGCAGGGGTTATGGGAGGCGAGACGGATGCCAAAGGCAAACTGATGCCAGCTTCGTCGGGAGCAGTAGCGAGCCCGGCTGTGACCGGAGAGAGCCAAGGATTCTCATCATGTCCCGATTGCGATGGCTGACTACAGCTCGATGGGTAGGGAAACGATGATTGGTTATCGCGTGGAGACTCGCCGAGGGAGAACATACCCGAAGATGAATCCAAATCATTCGGTACATGAACTACTCTGGGAAAGGTACTAAATGGAAGCGGCAACAGTGACGGATCGGGGCTCAGAGATGGAGGGGAAACAAAAGCGCCGTCGAGGCAGTGGTAACCTCCATCTGACACAGAGCCATCAACCGTACTGCTAAAGAGTGGGTCAAGAGTTGGAAAAAAGGCGCCCACGTTGGTCTGCGTCTCAGAAGAACCGGAAAATGTCATCGCCAGACGAGCATTCTCTTGGTCCGGGGACGAAAAGGACCGAAGTTGGTGGAAAGGAGATGAGGACATGCTTTCTGGCGCAAAGGAGCACGCCACATTCGAGCTATTCGGAGGCGTTCGTTGGCGGCAGTCGAGGTGGTTGCAATGACCGCCATGCGCAATTGCGGGGGACAGGGCGTGGAGCCCGCCTGTAGATTGGTACCGTAAAGCATAGTCCGGCAAACAAGGCATTGAACCGTATTCCATGGCGACGTGACCCGGATCTAAAAAGTGGCCGTCGCTGACCAAATGGGCGTAGGGCGACACAGCCAAGATGTCATCGTAAGCGTGTGTATGCCGATGCAGCTTGGACAATGGGGTAGGCTGGGCGCCATCCAGACAGTCACAGAGAAGGTTGACGTCGAGCCGTGTATTGTGGAGCTGCCCCAACATTGCTTATAGCGGATTTTTGCACGAAGCAAAAACGACGAGATGTTTGTGGCAAAGAACTAAAAGGTTAAGAAGTTCAAAAGTGGCAAAGGATACGGTAGGAGTTAAATGAACGAGGACATGGATTTAGACAAGCCGGGGATATGAAAGTAGTCGTCGGCAGTTTCCGTTTTCTTTTGCTTTTAACTTATTAGTAGACTGAATTCAACCCTGGACCCCTTGCATTTATTATTGTCTTTTTTTTCTTTTTTTCTTTTGTCTTGGCTTTGCAATTGCTGCCAACGATGCAGCCAGCAGTTGATGCATGGCTTGCAGATGAGGACGGGGGTTTGAGATCTGCTTTACCGTGGACAGGGATGATTTTCCGTAGCGAGGATCCAACAAAACCGAGACCTCGTATCTTGCAAAGCGAGATTGACCGTTTCTGAATCCAATGACTTGAAAGGGCGTGGAGTTGAAGGGTTCTATAAAAGAGCCCCTTCGGTCAGGGCTTTCGATGCCAAATTCCAACGCCATCGTGCGGTCTTGAATCACAGAAACCCCCCAATTAGCGTCGAGTTGAAAAGGGTCACCTGCCTTCGGGCAGGGCTTGTTTTGAGTGTCGTCCTTTTGAAATCGTCATCGGCAGTGGCTTTACTGATTTGGGGCCAAAAAACATGCGCATCTTCTTTGATAAATCCCCATGCATTTACCATCCTCACGTTTGCAATGTCTTTCTTTAAATGCTGCGTGTCTGCACCGTTGTGGTTCGCATATGAACATCAGGTATGTCATTTTCTTGAAACAAGAGACGGAAAGACTCGGACCCGCTTTTCATCAGCGGTAAAGGGAGGTTTGCTGATCGCCCCAATCGACGGTCATTCAACGGCCCCTTTTTGCAACCCCGTCGCCCAAAAGTGAAAAGGAGGGCGGCATGTATCCCGCCTTGAAAGAAGCATGAAACTTAATATTGGTATCAAGGCGTTGCGTTGCCTATTGGGCGTCGATTCCGCTTAGGTTTAGGCTAATATTCCAAAAGCGCTTGCCTACTGTTGATCCCATGATGTGTTCCTTTCTAACCAAACTGCTTGCGCGTGAAAGAATGCACGCAGGTAAAGATCATAGTACCTAATACTCCTAAAACGATGAACACGTTTGCAATGACGCCCGCTTCCATCATTCAAGATTTTTCCACTTTCCTACGACTAAAGGCAGTTCAAGTTCTATAAAGAAGACAAATCGCGAGATCGCCTTTTCTGCACCCGCAGAGCGATGTTGACCGTGTGTCTTATCATCATTTAGATCCCAGGACATCCCTGAAGGGAGGTTGAAGCCGCCGCGCGCTTACAGGGTTGGGGGAAGCCCCGTAAAAGCTATCCTGGAAAAAACGGATCCAAGTCAGAAAGCTCAGGGACTCTCGTTGTCTTTCCATTAGAGTTTATATGGTCTTTCTATATTTTAGCAGCATTGGTGGTTTAGTGGCATAATTACCGCCTGCCACGCGGTAGACCCGAGTTCGATTCTCGGCCAATGCATCCACGTTTGTGAAAGTTCTCTTTCTGATTCCGTCTTAGTTTTGGGAAGGTGATCCTGTTTTGCTTTTCAGTTCTGCGGTTCACGCAAAGCCGCTCGCTTATTGAAAAAGGAAGCAGAGAGACAGATCGGGCTCCAGTGATGAAGTTTGATGCTACGTTCTTTGAGAGACCCATCAATGCCGATCGCTCGTCTCTTTTTCAAGTTCAGCACATTGGCGGCTGATATTCCAATATGTGTAATAAGCAATATCCATTGGCAAGATCCTATTGATAGCAATGAAAACAAAGGAATGTATGTACAATGTGCCGCCGATCACATGGAGCGCTACGGCTCCTTTGCAAAGGTCTGAACTCTTCCGCCGTCTCCGATAACTTTTGCTACGTCTACAGTACGTCCTTCACCGGTCTCAAACTCAACTCCCAACTGTTTCAACAAATCTTTCTCCTCTTTCGGCCCCTCACTCCCATACTCATATTTGAGAGGATTGCGGCTCTCACTATTTTTGATCGCATCGTCCCATACCCGCCACGCCTCCTCTGCTTCCTCGCGAGGAACAAACCAGGTATGATCGCCTCGAACAGCATCGTAAATAAGAACCTCGTAAGCGGTTGGGACGTACGAATCGGTATATTTTGGATTGCTAAAGTCAATCGATAAAGGAGCATTCAGAACTGTGAATCCTCGTCCTGGTTTCTTAGTTGTGGCAGTAAGAACGTGAGATTTCTCTGGATGATCTCGAATGGTAAACGTTGTTCCAGTGCGTCCAGACTCGCTAGGAAACAGAGAATCCGGTGGGGTTTTGTAGTGTAGAGTGAGTTCGGCACGAGTCTCATCCAGCGCTGAGCAGAGAACAGCCAATTAGCATCTGTCTCATGTCTCGATGGGTCAACAGAGATCAGTACCTTTCCCGCAACGGATCACGAAGGGGACATCCCTCCACCTGTCGTTATCAATATATAAGACTGCCGTGGCAAACGTCGATGCTTTTGAATCCTTTTTGACCGTTTCATCGTCCTTGTAGGCCTTTTTATTGGGATCCTTTGAAGAAGCGGTGTATTGGCCGATAATCACATCCGACGGGCGGACGGGCCGACAATCGTTAATGAATTTGAGCTGTTAAGAAGAAAAGAACTTGAATATCATGATGTTCATCTGGAGCACGAAAATAAGTAAAAAACCATACTTTGGCTTGGTGAATATCTTTGACGCTCAAGCTATTTGGTCTTTCCATCCCCGCCAATATAATCCACTGCATCAAATGATTCTGCATGACATCGCGGATAATTCCAAACTCGTCAAAGTAACCCCCGCGACCTTCAGCACCAAATGCTTCTTTAAAGTTTACTGTCACATATTGAACGTGCTCGCGGGACCAGGTAGAGGAAAGAAACGGGTTGGCACCGAATCGTAGCGGTAAAACGCTTTTCACGCTGTCTTTGCCAAGATAGTGATCTATCCGGAAAACCTATGCAGACGACAGAGTTAATTTAAAAAATTCATGTACGCGTCTCGGACGGTAACAAGGATATACACCTCCTCTTCTGTGAACAAGCTTGCCAATTTGTTGGAGAGCACCTTGGCACTTTGATAATCCTTTCCATAAGGCTTCTCTACAATGATTCGATTGATACCTTCCTTATGCCAGGCATATTTGCGCAAGTTTTCAGAAACATCCCCAAAGACTGAAGGGGGAAGCGCAATATAGTAAACTCGCAGATTCTTGCCGCTCCCAGTTGACTGGGATTCAAGCTTTGCAATCTCTGAATCGAGACGCTGGTAAGAGGGTCCATCGTCATAAGCCGAGAGGGAGATATAGGGACATTTCTCCAAGAACTTGGAGAGGACCTGTTGGTCAGAGCTCTGCTGGTTGAGAAAGATTAGCGATACTGTCAAGCATATGCCAGCAATCGACCTATAAAGACCTCACCTTAATTCCAGATGAAATCTTTTTATGAAAGTCCTCCATTTTATACTTTGACCTTGCAGCGCCAATGAAATGTGTACGATCCTTTGGGAGCATGTTATTGGCCATGAGAGAAAACAAGGCCGGGTAGGTCATTTTCTTGGCAAGATCGCCGGATGCTCCAAAGACGACAATGGCGACGTGGCGGAACGGTAATTCGTTCATCGTGAAATTTCTCTACAAACCGAAACCAAAGGAGGTGAGTATCTTTCCTCACCATGTAAACAGTATTAATTCACCAGTGTTTGTACCAGAAAATGAAATTGATGCTTCTTTCGTAGGTGAGATGAGATATCAAACAAATTCAAAAACAAAAGCCAAGCAAGAGTGGGTTTGTAAAAGCAGCTTTCAACTGTGTTTTGTCAGAGCGACCCTTCCTGACGTCAAAGCTACGCGAGGCTTGGAAATATCACTTACGTGTACTTTAAATCATTTTTCAATACGTTTTGATCCTACAACTGATTTTAACTTTAGAATTCAAAAAAAAGATATTATATATCGCATATTTACAAACAAGTATTAGCAGAGACAACACAAAAACTTTCCTACAACAATATTACAATTAACAACGATCATCATGCCCAAAACAGAAAAATTCATCATCTTCGATCCCATCGTGATTGTCTACCATTCCTTCCCCCAAGCCGACTTTGCTCCTCTCCTTGTCCAAAAATGTTCAAAGCTGGTTGTCCTGGAATACTAGGCTGCTGCTGTGGCATTCCAAATCCTCCTAATCCTCCCCCCAGAGACCCTAGTAATCCCCCAAGTCCGGCGTGTTGCGTTTGCTGTTGCGAGCTGGTGGGTGGAGGTACACCTCCTAGACCACCGTTCAGCGCCCCCAAAAGATTACCAACATTGAGATTGCCCATGGGTAAATTGGTACCTGGCTGTGTCAGCTGTGATAACAAGTTGGTGACAAGACCAAGGTTGTTTGGATTGGAAAGAAGGGTTGTTAGAAGGGAAGTCGTGTCCACGCCGTGTGATAGCTGCATTGGCGGTTGGGTGCCTGCCAATGGAGGTGGGTTCGCTGTCGTGCTTGGCCCACTCGGGAGTGGAGCCAAGGTGTCTAGCAAGCTTGGCTTGTTTAACGGAGTGACTGATGGCACCAGTAGGGGCTGCACCGCCGGAAGTATCGCTGGCATCGACGTCGTAGCGGGAATCGAGGATATTATTTCTGGTGGTCGGACCTTTTCTAAATTTGTTTCTTCGCTCTTCTTCCTTGCTCCATTAAAAGCGTGTCCGGCAGAATCAGAGCTACTCTTCGATGAGCCGGATCCAGTGAAGCCTTTGGCCAGAATGATCACTCCAAGGAGAATGTCTCGATCCCTGGGAGTTGGCTCTACTCTGCAATCGTCCAATTCCTGGATGAAGCCAGGAATAGAGTCATTCCGCCCTATTGGTACAATATACATATCTTTGATACTGACATAATGGTGTCCAACAACTGCAAGACGGCTTCGTGACTGGAAGTAGTCAAAAAGAGCACCAAATCCGTTTTGATCGTCTGGGGATGCTAATGAAGGTTCATCTTCGCCCGCTCGAAATTCGACCGCCACCACTTGTTTTCCACCACTGTACCGCTGCTCTCGTAAATACTTTTCGACCATGCCCACTGCAACACGTCCGTCGATCGAGATTGTTGCAGGTAAGATGTCTTCCCATGTCTTCACATCCCCGATAGTCCGACCACACACTTGCTTGCAGGTGCCTGTAAATTTCCCAATCTGTGGCATGTGCACTCTTCCGCGCCAAACAGTGGCATCCGGATCCACATCAGGTTGCGGAGACCCAACAAAGGGCATGTCTAATTCCATTGAATCGGCCGTTTCCGGATCGTACTCGTAGTCCTCACCCGCTGCGTCGCCCTCCAAGACCAGCTCTTCGCGAGGTGGATCATTGTCGGAATCCGGATAATACGGTTCATAAGGATCGTACTCATCGGCCTTTGGCGTCTCAGGGGGTGTCGCATTGGGGCTTTCATCTTCAGGTACAACATCTTTGGCCCCAGTCTTCAATTTCTTGGACACACGTTCCTCATCCTCCGGCTGGTTACTTCCGCTACGCTTTTCAGCAGTGCTCGTTGCTTCCACGCGGGACACATCCATTGCTTCGGTGCTTTGTACGTCGCCGAGATGTTCGATGGATCCCGGTGACTTTTGCTCCACCAGTGGGCTCTCACTGCGTGACGGTTTTTCCACCTGAGTATCTTCATCCGTTGTTAACTTTGGTGCGATGGAGGCTGTACTTAAATTCATGGAACCTCCGGCAGGTCCTTGTACAACAGGACGTACAACTTCGATCTCGCCTTTATGCGTCTTTTTGACATAGCTTATTTGATCTGTGTTTACCCTGAGAGCATCTCGTAGCGATCGTCTGCGGATTTCCTCGGCAGCGGCTTTAACCTCATCGTTGCCCAGGTCCTCCGGCGGAAGACGAACAAGTTCGTGTAAGGTGACGTCCCCGCAAAGAACTCTTCGACGTAAACGGAGATTACGCTGATCTTTTAAATTGAATTGCAGAGAACGGTATTTGCTCTTATACTGGTATATGGGGTAAGTTTTCCGAAGACATAACTATTGTTCGAAATCGAAGACTTACCGGTGCACCGCATTCTAACGTTCCTTTGGGATCTCCCTTAATAGGCGTTGCTAAAGCATCAAAGAGCTCAGTCTCCAACTGGGCAGCAAACGCTTTAGGATCCTCCAAGTCAATCTTTTCATCAAGCAGGCCACCATAAACTTCTGGATGCTCCCTTGCCTCGGTAAAAATCGTGCTAAGGGTTTCTTCAAAGTTTTTCCGTGCCATTTTCCGAACTGGATCATTCATCCATGCCGGTGTAGGCGGTGGTTTTGGACTGGTCTTCTCTGCTGCCGTAGCAGCAGCTTGTCGTGACGCAATCATCAATCTTTCCTGCTGTTCTGCATAGAGTTTCTCGCAATCCTGCCCACAGAACCTTGACCCCTTTTGAGAAGAATTGGTGCATGCGACATTTAAGCACGTCAGAGGTGGGGCCGTTCCAGCGAAACTTCTTGCACAATCTGCGCTGCAGAAATGTGCGTTTGGTATAGGAGCCTTCGTACACGGGCCAAATGAACACTTGATGGATTGAGTAACTGGGGACGCCTGTGCACAGCAAACAAGGTAAGTGGGTTGCTGCAATTTGGAAATAACTGTGTCAAGAGTACGGACGTTACTACGATAAAATCGATCCACGTCGACAGATCGTTCTTTTCTTCGTGCTGGCGTTGATGAAGCAGTCGCTGATCGAACTCCGGAACTTGCGCTATTTTGATGGCTCACGCTACTTGGCATTGCGTGGGTTTGGTTATGACGAGGGATAACAGCTAGAACGGATGACCGACGTCCCCCTCTAGCATTGGGACTCATCGCCTGCGCTGTCGTGGACTGGACATTGGTTTCTGTTATGGTAAAGCCAGGACAGGGAAGTCTGAGTTATACACGTTCATAGGTATGGAGGGATACAAACTCGCAGCAAAACACGGCGGAATGCAGGTCTACGGGATTTCCTAAAGATGTCACTAGTGCTGTCGCAACATCCTGGTCCGGATTGCTCATGTGTGTTCCAGTGCCAAACGACATGAACATATCTGATGCAGCAGACTCGTTTTGTATATGTCTTGAAGAAAACGTAGAACCATAAACCCAGCCGCGTCCCTCCTTCCATTACTATAGGCCGCCCCACACATTCTCCAAACCCGAGAAAGAAAAGAAAACTGCACCAAAGAATAAAAACGTTGTACTTACGAGAAGCATTGGCAGAGCCGAGCAATTCTTGACAGAGCGGACAGTGATACGTTGTCAGCTTTTCTCCAGCTTTCTTGGTCAAACCGACGCACTTTCCATGGAACCTACAAAGGTATGGAGTGAATACTCAGAGTACAGATTGGGATTCTGCAAATTACGACTTACCACTCCTCGCAGTTGTCACATTGAATCATGAATTTGCCATAATCTGGTTCTCTACACATACAATAAACTCTTTCACCTTCTTGATTATGCGTCGGTTTCTTTGGTGGTATGAGCTTGCTTGTAATGGAAGGGCCATCCAATAGTGCTTTATAATTTACAGGAGCCTTTCCTCGTGTAACACGCCTTTCTACTGTTGGAGTACTGGGCGTGGAATTGGCTTGAGAAGCCGGCGCCTTTGACGACAAACCAGTTGGGGCATTAGAAATCATATCAGCATCTGACACATGCGGTACAGGACGGTCTGCGGCAGCATCGGCACTATTTGCAAAAGATTCTACTGCGGACATAAGTACTTCGCCGTTGGTCGTCTCGCTCATAGCATCTCTATCGTCCTGTGCGATCTCGTGGGCAGGTGCAGTACTACCCATCCCATCATTTGTGTCAGCAGTAAAAGCACTAGTATCTTGATTAACCGAACCACCGGTCTTTTCCTGTTGTAATGAGCCGGACAAGGTGAAATCGTCGAAAGACGATTGCAGAGGAAAGGCGTCAGTGGCTTCGCATCCTGAAGAAAAAAGGATTAAATTCAGTATGTACTCCATCGTTTACACGTCGCAAAGGGCGGCCCAATGAGAACTGTGGCAACCCGATTGTGGTAGCATACCTGACATTTCGTCCAACAGAGCATGTTCGGTCGGCCAGGATAAACTCTGGCCAGAATCGGTAGGTTGTGAAGTAAAATCACCTATGCTTCTTGACGAACCAGAATCTACATCATTCATCAGCCGCAAAGAGTTTGCCCCGTCAACCGGTGCCTGAAGGGTATTAGGATCTATGGACAGTGAACGCCGATAAGTACAGTGCGTGGTGAAGTGTAGCAAACTTATTGCTAGCAGCTCAGATTCTGGACCAGTTACATACCAAAAATATCCTGAAGCCCTTGACCTTCCCAGTCCATATGATTGATATTCAATACTTCAGGAAGGTCGGAGTTTTCGAGGTGACCAGAATGCCCTTCCACGCTGTCTTCCGGTCCTTGGTGGGGTGCCATGGAGTCTACAAACTGACTGAACGTGTCTTCGAACGAAGTTATACCGTCATTTGATGTTGACAGGGAAGTTTCTGATGGAGTAACGCTGCACGTTGGAATTGATGAGGTAGCTGCCGGGAGAGAGAATGCGGGGAAGCCGGACGGATTTGACGGTGATCGAGATGATTCTTTTTCTCTTGGCTGTTCTTGGAGGTGTTGGACTGATTCTACGGATTTGGCACCTTCCTGACTGTCCGTATTCGCTAGCATTGCTAGTGTAGGACGGCCCTTGGATTCAACAGCAGGAAATAACAATACCGTAACTGAACTGGAGTTGCGGACAGTGATCTGCACAGCCTCTATATCACACTGATAATCTCCAGCATAAACAGCCTTCGTCAAGTAGCAGGGCGCTCTTGTTGAGTAAAAAATGGCAAGGGGAAACGACACACGGCGAGCTGGAGATCAAGGAACTGCGCTAGTGGGAATTTGAAACTGTCACCGTTCCCAAGATAACGATACGGAGATGTTTACAACTGTACGGCAATAAAAGGTGATCGTGACAAGTAATGTATGTATACCCGGCGCTTGATGGTGGGATAGCCTGCTTGGAAAAATAAAAGGGCACCAGGACGGGAGGCAGCAAATCGCGAGCAAACCAGACAAGCTTTTTGAACTGGAAAAATGAGGGGTTCGTTTGGATGACCAAACATCCAAAGATGGCACAGTCATTCTAATGGCAAAATAATACAGTGACTTTGCACAAAAGCTTCCAGAAGCCGCTTATGGAATCGACTTGCTCCGTGCTTTTCCCCACACTCTACTCCATTCCCGCATTTGGAGGACCAGGTGTTGTCATTAAGCAACTAGCATGGGATACTGCAAGCAATGCGGCGAAATTGTCCGTGAACCGAGCGGAGTCTGTGCCCCATGTGGAACAAAAGCTGTCGACGCAGTTGACAGCGGCCTGTCGGCAAAAGATAACCGTGGGGACATTTATTCAAATGCATATCTCAGTAGCGGTCTTAATGCGGGCGTTGAGAAGGGACTAAGGAAAATGCTTGGAGATGAGAATACCTCCGTGAACGAAATATGTATTGAATGCGGGCGAAAACTAACAAAGCATGAGGACGTATTTGTCGGGCCGACGCATGCCGGAGAGCATGTGTACTGCGAAGCATGCTATGGGAAACACTTTAAAAAGGGAGACTGCGAAAAGTGTCGGAGGCCAGTTCTGGGGCTGGGAAAAGAATATGTGTCGCAGGAAGGGAGAATATGGCACAAGGAATGTTTTGATGCCGGCAAGAGTTGTGCTGAATGCTTCAAGGTCATCTTTGGGCAGGGTGTTGAGGCACTGAACAAGTATTATCATCCAAGCTGTTTCAAGGTTTGCTTATCCTTTTTTGTAAGTATGATCTTCATAGGAACTCAATGTGAATCCGCTCTTAGTGCTTCAATTGCCATTCTGTAATCGATGGCTCCTTTTTGGATTTCAACGGAGAACCTTGTTGTCGTCCATGTCATGAGAAGATCAAGTCTGCGAGACCATCTGCTGCTGTCAAGGCAACGCCCACTCCAGCTCCAAAGACAGTGCCTGTAGATGATAACAGTGCCGCTCTGAAAGAGTTTGCCGAAAGGAAAGACGTTCCAGACCTTCATGTACGCTGTGATAAGTGTTTCGAGGTGGTCAGACATGGAGGAATACAACTTCCGACTGGGCAGCTACTCCATGAAGCATGCTTCACATGCTCCGAGTGCGGAAAAGGCATCAATGGCAAATATATAGTCGATGAAGGCAAAATCTGGCATCCCGAGGTAAGATTCCTCTCCATTTGGCATGTCTAGCTGATACCACCTACCCTATCTCAAACAGTAGTCTTCTGCTAGTGCCGAGTACTGGTGGTTAGTGCCAACTCCAATCTACAATGTATTAGATGTGGAAAGCCAGTTTCTGGTCGCTTTGTTAAACTGGATGGGAGCGTGTGTCACAGTGAGGTAAGCGGTGAATCGAATTTAGTTCCGCAGAGTGCTTGCTTTGACAATTACAGGATTTCAGTGCTTTACCTGCACCACATGTAAAACCCCACTCGCTGGACGGCCCTTTGGGGATTCGCCGTCCGGGCCAACCTGCGAGTCTTGCCTTAAGAAGGGCGGTCCAAGAACCTTCACACCAGGTTTCACCGTCAATCAAGCGGGCCTTAAAGAACTGCGCGGCCCCGGGGGCGTGAAGCTTGGCGACAATGAAGCATTAAAGAGCCTGGGCGGTTCCAGTACGTGTCCTGCATGCGGCAAGGCCGTGTACATGTCTGATCAAGTGCCTGGTCCGCTGAATACAAAATGGCATCGGTAAATGTGGAGCAGATTATATCAACTGGTTTTTTTTGCTGATGAAGGTCTCTACTAGGGCCTGCTTGCGATGTTCTACCTGTAAGACGCAGGTTGATAGCATGGCTAAAATGAGAGAGGTAAAGCCATTTTGCTCAAAATGCTTTGATAAGATAAAGTAGGAAAGCAAGTCGATAGACTCTGCCATATGTATAGGATAAAGGAGAGTAAGAGTATTTTTACAATCAGACTCTTCTACGATTCCTCTGATTGGATATGTAACAGCTTTCCACTGCGTCCAGAAAAACCCCCGCCCACGGATTGACTACTCAAATATATTTTGAGCCATCTCATAGCTGCCCACACGTCGGTAGCGCCAGGGACACCACCAGCAACCAAGTCCTCATAGGCACCTCCGGTCACAAGGCCATCAGTTTGGTACCGCAAGCGGTGATCGTCATCATCCTCTTGAGAATGTGTGTGAAAGTAGGACGAATAACGCCACGTGAATGGGGAAAGGGAGGCTACGCTCGGCGGCTTTGAGTGTAAGCTGCTCAAACTCCCGTCAGCAGAGCCCTGCAGAGAAGGAAACGTAAATCGCGAACTGAGGTGCCGGGGTGCTCTCACAGAACTTTGGACGTCGCTCGCAAACTCTGGCGCATTCAACCTGGGTGGAAGGGATATGAAACTGGGCTTGTTTGTCCGACTAAAGCCTGGAGCCACCTCTTCATTACTCTGGGGTTGCTGCTCTTGATGAAGGGTTTGTATAGAGTCTTTTACGTACGAGGACGATCGGCTCAAAGACACGTCCGTTCCGTAATCATCTGCATCGCCTGCGTTGCCACAGGCAGTATTGCGTGGATGGCTTTCCGGAGCAACCATGATTTTGTAGCTAGATCCTTCGGACTGCATTGCTTGCCCTCCATCCTCAGCAGCAAGAGCCATACACATTGGATTTCGGTCGCTCGATGGGTTGCCGGATTGATCGTTCTCGCCTTGGATGTGAATTACCACCATATCCGGGTTCTCAATGGCTTTGGATGAGCTGACTTTGTTTGTATTCGCTGATGACTCCGTGGCCATTCTATCTCCCCCTTGTCCTGTGCCCTTCGTTCCGGTATCTCCCTCTACCTGATGTTCATGTGCGAATCCCACCAAATCGCTATCCGTCTCTCGCGCAAGTGCACGCCCATGCCGTTCAGGAAAACACCGAAAGTAATGCGTGGCTTCAAATGTCTGCAATTCTACCATTTTGAACCCAGGAGGTGGAAGGAAGGGAATTCCCAAGCGATGCTGGAGATATGTAAAGAGAATAATGTCAACACTGTTGGAGTCGGAGGAATAAACATACGATTCGAATGGGATGCGAGCTATCCAATTTTGATCGAAATCGGTATCAGAATGACTACCCTCCGACTGTGAAAGAGGGGAACGTGGCAGCCCAGATGAGGATGTAGCCGGCGTTACATTGTCGTTAAACTTGAAACCAGCGTGGCGACGTAGACAAAGAATATCGCTGGGGGATGTCAAGGACGAGAAGGGGAGTCGGGAAGACTTGAATGAGGTCAGCTTGGCTGATAAACTCCCCTCTTCAGAGGGATGGGCGACCCCAAGCTGCCCCAAGGCATTCAGTATTTCCACGGCAGGCGCTGGCTGCTCCCCTTGGGCTTCCGCTTGCGCTTGCTGAGAAGCATACGTCTTCAGAAGCTGGCTCATATCACCCCTACTTTTTCTCAGCTCGTTAAACGCGTCGGACGATATTGGGATAAGAGGAAGAGAAGACCGATTCCGCTCTGCAACCATGATCCTTAAACCTCGTAAAGAGGATATCACGACCATTAAACCAACATGCTGCCCGCGCGGGATAGGACTAAAGTGATTATGCACATAAGAAGGGATGTCGTCAATGACACTTTGTGTGTGCTCGGGCTCTACTCCCAAATCGGCCGCAAGACGCGGGAGAACATGCACAACATCCGACCACCGAAACCCTTTGCCAGCCAAGAGATCTGCCCGATGCGGGGAAACTTGGTCCACTATCAGCGCTACCCATCCGTCCTGAGTTTCGAGCAGACAATCGTACAAGGCTCCCATTAATTGAAATCTTATACCGAGCATGGTGGAAAGTGTTGTTACTGCGTGAATGAGGGCAAGTCGGTGGAACGACGAAGGCGTACTAGTACTGCCACTTGTAGAACTTCCTTCAGTCTGCGCAGGGGAGGAATAATCCTGAGTCTGGCGAACAAGCTTTTGTATCAGCAACATTGTACCAAGCTGAGACACTTTGTGCGGCGAGGATCCGTAAAGGCTACCCACCGTCAAGAGTTTTTCAATCCTGCGCGAGTTCTTGCGGAACGCTGCGGCTAGCCTTCCCAATCTTCCCCAAGCACAGCTGACTTTCAAGAGCCATAGTAGAGCGGGCGAGAGGGGGCTTTTGAGACTTATATCAAACTCTCCTGTGACAGGGCGGTTAGGGAGTTTCCCGTCAATATCAACAAGCACTTGGCCCTCTCGGTTGAGTAAAAGGCAGGCCAATGTCAGTTGCTGTCCACGCTGTGAGCCACCGTACGAGAACGCATGGATGCGTCGTGCTGCAAGCGCAGCTAGCAAAAGACCCGTGACCACTGAGAAGCCTGCTCCAATGTTGAGAACTTGGGATTGAGTTAGGCTTGATGCTGAGGGGACACTGACATCTCCATCTTGGTAAAAAGCGGCGTACATGGCTGTTATCGACAGTTTAGCCCAAAAAGCTACTCTAGTCGGACCCGCGCAACGGACTGACCTAGATAATGCGTGGCGGTTATTGCTCCCCCCAAAAGCATGGCGCATCCGACCTGCTTCAGCCAGCTCGTTTGCCAGTATTGCCTTAGCTTGAAAAATGTGAACAACGCGACGGAAGTCGTGAGCCAGGCGACGATACTGGAAAGTGCGATGATCCCAGGTCTCCATCGTAGGTTAATGGTCATCGCTTTCATTGCCAGAAAATGCTGGCAGGAACAAGATAAGTCACTTTCACCCAGCTTGAAGGCCCCCGACCACGTACCATCGTGAGAACCCCAAAGGCAGCTGATGCTCCTCCTAAAGGTCGAGTAAAAGCAAGGTCACTCTGCGTGCAGTGCCGGAATGAGGAAAAGTAAGACCTACCAAGTGCAATGCGCCAAAGTGCCGGTTTGTCCGCGGCTCCGGTAATGGACATTCCAACAAAAACAGAAATCATTGGAATAAATATGCTCGTAATGGTCAGCCTGAGATAAGGAATAGTCCATAAACCTAAATATCGGAACGCGGGAAATGTTTACGGTCTCGCTAGCATTACCCTTTACCAAACATGATGAGAGGAGAAGCTGCAGTGTTTTGGAGTCTGAAGGCAGCCATGCCAATGAACTAATCAAGAATTCAAAACAGTTTACAGGTTGCTTGATGGGCGAATGATGAATCAGCTGCTAACGATACGTACATGCATAGTAAAAATGGCTAGTCCACCAAGGACAAAGCTCGCCAACAAGAGATAAACCAAATTTTGCCATCCTCTACCAAGTTTTGTGATGAGTGATAATTTCAAACAATCCTGTTTGTATGGCATCAAGTCAACAAACCTATTACTAGAGCGCAAGCGAGTCAATTCAAGTGCTACCCAAGCGCCAGCTGAGGAGACGATATAACTGGCCACGACAACCCCACCCATCCAGTGGATTATTAAAGCCATGTTCCACTGAGAAATAGAAAGATAACATGCACCCACTTGCCGCGGGATGTTCCTTCCGTGCTATGCACGCATGCCTACTTATGTAGACCTTTCTTTGGTTGAGGGCGGGTCGTCCGCATTATTTACATCCCTCAAAGGGCGGGAGCATTCAAAGCAGAACAAGAACTGTAGGGGTCTTTTCGATCTGGCATCACTTGTCTCTGTGATGAGCCTCGATTGGATCCCTAAGACCAAAAAACATCCGGACTCGACAGCCTGGCCGCGGACATGCGATTTAACAGCGGCTCCAAGGTGGTAGCATGGATTCTAGCCGGATCACAAAAGCCACTGCATTGAACAACCACACACAGCGATGATGACATTGGGGGGTCTCTCATTGCTATCCATGCAATAGCATGAGAACAATATTTTGATTTGCACCCTTACTTGAGGATCACAGATGCCATCAGCAACCCTCACGTATTTCAAATTGCAGAACCTGAATAGATTGCAACTTTTTGACACATGTTGCCACTTTACACTACGATGGCCCATTCTCATTGCAAAGACAAAGGTGGAGGATTCATAGCGACAAGTGGTAGCAAGGAGATCGCCAATTGCCGTCGTCCAAGTTCCCAACCAGGAGCAAGCAGGAAGGTGAGTTCTTACCCTTGGATGTTGGTTGAACACAGCAGTCGCTTGCGTAAGCAGCGTGGCTTACTCAGTATGCTCATTTATCCTAAATTGGATGTCGATGAAGTAAACCGCATCACCTCATCACCGTTGTTGAAAACGGGAAACCACGTTGGATGGAGGGGCGTATCCAGTGGAAATTGGGGAGAACGGGGACCCGCCTAAGCATGGCGATGAGCGCGGGGGGAGAACAGCAAAAATGTCAAAAAGCGGTGTACTTGTATGTGTGTTTCTGACAGCCCATGAACGGATCCGCCGCCAAGATGATTTGATTTGCACACACATTTGTGGAGGGTAGATCTTGCTAGAAGGGACTTGCACCTTTTGTCAATAGTGTGTCCCTACTGTTTAAACGAAACGGATAGTGTAGGCAGACTCATTTCCTTGGCAAATAAAAAGCCTTTTGGCAGCAAGCGGCGGCTGTTTTGACGTTTGTGTTGTTGAATGATGATGACGTGTAGTTGCTTAATGGCGCGCAGATTGCCGTCAAAACCTCTCCTTCCGCCTACCCCAAAAGGTTTCTCCAACTAAAAAGGCAAAACGGCACAGCATAAAAGAACCTTCCTGACATCACACACAATTTGATGATTTTGACGCCAAGTTGGGCTGTGCGTTTCGTTATGAAAGGATATAAAAAGGGAGGGCGATCTTGCATTTCCTCTCTTCGTCTTTGTTCAAGAAAGCTACTTTTTGTGAAAAGCATTAAATCCGAATCTTTAACAAGCATTTCGCAACCATGACCCAATGCTGGCAACCCGGTACCGACTACGGCAATGGCAGTGTCGTTGAATATCAAGGAAGCCATTACCGTGTGATTCAGGTAATGTATACTTTAGGAAAAACGCTGGCGATGAAGAAAAAGTCATTAACCTCCTACTCTATTCTTGCAGCCCCATCGCTCGCAAGGTGACTGGACACCCGATCGTACTCCCGCTCTCTGGGGACGCGTCGCCGACAATGAATGCGGGCAACAGCAGCACCATCATCATCAGCAACAGGGAGGATACCAACCACAGCAACAACAATATCAGCAACAACCGCCCCAGCAGCAGCAATATCAGCAACAACCGCCCCAGCAGCAGCAAGGCTACGGTTATGGACAGCAAAACCAACAAGGTTATGGCTCCATTCCCGCCGTTGTACCTGAAAATAGTGATGACCCACGCAAACAAAAGAAGGATGGCTTCGACATTGGTGGCTTCCACGTCAGCGACGATCAATTGAAGATTGGCGGTGGAATTCTGGGAACTGCTGCTGCAGTCGGTATTGGTGCCTTTGCCTGGGACAAGTACAATGATGCCAAGGAGGACAAGGCCGAAACCGCCTGGGGCGCCTCGAACTGGGAGCAAGATGCTCGTCGCCGCCAGGGAGAGTACCTCGAGGCGATCAAGAACAACCGCCCTCTCCCTCCTGTCACCTGGATCCTCACCGATGGCAACAACATTCCTCAAGGGGCTATCCGAGGCGGCCAAGAATCGGATGGAACTCCGCTATACATTGCCCGAGCCTACTACGACAAGGGTGTCCACATTGGGAAGATTTCAAAGGATATGAAAGAGGGTGCTCGTATTGCTTACGGCGGGAAAGAAGTCATCGTGCCCAAGTACGAGATCCTTCTCGGTTATGAGAATGCGGTCAAGTGGGTTGATGGTGAGGGCCACTTGAAGAATACCCAAGGCTTGAAACTTGTCGAGGGAGGTCGCGAGTCAGACGGACGGCCATTGTACATTGCTCAGGCTCACATTAAGAACAGTGTGCAGCCGGCAAAGGTTGCGGAGCATCTCGACGGCGCATTCGTGCCTTACGGAGGAGATGAAAAGAAGGAAAAGCACTACCGCTACTTGGTCTACGCTTAAGGAGACAGGCTGTACAGGAGTCAATATACCAGAAGTGTTGGCAGAAGCTGTGTATTCTTGGTTGTATCATAACGCAAAAGCGCCACCATTGAATTACTTGTAAACTTGTATAAAATAAAAAGCACCGGTCAATCACCGCCAAGTTTCTTGCCGTCGTTGGTTTCCAGTTGCATGCACGCAGTATTTTAAACAAGGATTGTCATGTTCTCGTCGTGGGTATTCTAGCAGCAAGTGTCCGTTCACGATCAATCTGCTCCAGCCGTTTGATTCGCTGCAAACCCAAAATACGTTTTCAATACGGTGTTGAAATCAATTCGGTGATCCACATTTACACCAACCTGTGCAATCTCTGTTTGAATTTGCCTTTTGAATTTTTCTCCATGTCCAAGGGCTATCATGTCATCTAACCATTGCCGTCTGTCTTCAATCTCCTTCATGACTACGATCATAGTACTTGTCACCAAAAGCAAAGACAAAAAAGGAACTGCGAGGCCAACAAACCCATGTCAAATTCATCCAAGACATCATCGTTCTCATCCTCGTGATGTCGGCTTGTTCGTTTGTTGGGTTGTGTTTCGGAATAGATATCTGACTCTGCAGCAGGAGAAGTGTGTCCGTTTGTTGCCATCAACGTCTGGAGACGGTCCTTTTCAAGTGCATAATTCTCTATCAAGAAAAAACGCGGGTTATAATGGCGACCCCATGGCAAACTCAACAATAGAGAAAATGTCTCACTTTTAGGTGTTGGTCGGTACCTCTCAATCTCAAACGCATCTGTTTGCGCAATCTGGCCTAGTGTTCGGATTTGAGGACGATGAGTCGGTGGAAGATGCGTTCGGGAGACAGTGATCTTGTCGTGTGATACGGGCGAGGATGCAGACGCGGATGGGCGGAAAGACATGCCGGGGGTGGGTGTAGCTGGAAGAGGGGCACCGCCTGTTGCACCATATCAACATGTGATAAAAGCAAGGTGAACCAGTCAAGGTAGACAAGCTCTTGCATACCTTGGAGGAAGCTGTCAAGGAATCGCTGTTGAGATTGTGAGAGTTTGGAGGATCTCATCATGGCTACAATCGGCAATGCAAAATAATAGATTAGCGGCAACGTCCAATTTGAATCCATTTGTAAACCTGTCTGACCTGCTCTCTAGACTCACACTTTAAAACACTCCTCGTTCCAGCACTCAAGTCGCTCTCCTTTGACACAGATGAATGCTCTTTTCCGGCCGCATTATTACCATTTCGCCAGGGAGGGTGCAGAGGTGCAGAACGGGTCTCCGGATAAGAGCGGAGATTAGGAATTGTGACAGGTAATGCACTTGTCAGGCGATCCGACATATTGTCTGTTTTGAAAATGTTGGAGCAACAGAAAGCTCGTTGGGCAATTTCTCCAGCGGACCGGATTACGTGATAATTAGGTAAAATGGTGACAGTTATAGTCGGTGGCATCAGAGCTCTCCAACGAGCCGCGATCCGCTGGTAAATAATCACCGTCGGGAGCCCTTTTTTTGTTGCCCGTGCAGCAAACCCTGACGGATGAGACAGGATTTGCATCGCGTGCGATAAGCCGTGCTTTGACCAGAAACACTCTGCTGAGCAAAACTCCGATCGATCGCCTTCCAGTTATTGTTTTACCGTGGTATTGTGCGTTAAACTGTCCAAGCTCGTGAGGATTGGTTTCCCATCATGTTACATCACATGCTCTTGTCAACCAATAACAGTGACAAAAGGCCAACTTCATTCTAAGTTTATTGAGTAGTATATTTCTCCGCCTTTCGCAAAACATGCACTATCTACAATGCTATGTACAAGTATCTACTTCCCGCTATATTCTCAAATGAATATGTAAGCTACTACCCGCAAGTCATGAAAGCTCAGCCATTCTCTTCATAATCATATTACGTTGATTCTGATACTTTCGTCTCACATCATCGACAGTCTGCGCTTCTTCGTGATCAATCGTTTGCAGTCGCTTGTACAATTTCGGAAGGGGTAGCGATTTACATTGCTCCTATAAGCAGATATGAGAGTGTGATCCAGCAAACCAAGTGAAATAGAGTCGGCCATACTTTGCGCAGTTCATCAAAAGCCCCATAGGTTGCCCTTTTCTCTTTAACTTCCATCAAATAGAAATGAATGTTTTCAGCATTTTGCTGAGTTAGCCAGGTTTGTTGGACGATGATGGGGTGTTCGTCTGGTAGCAGCTGCCGAATTAGTTTGCCTATAGAAAGAGTATAAGTACGGTTGACTGCACCATATGCGATATTGGCGTGAAACTTACGATGGGAAACGTCGTGTCTGGGTTCCTTTTTCCGTCCAGTTCCTGGGACCTCATGTTCCTCGTCTACCACTCGGTCAATCAGTTCACGAAAAAATTCCTCATACAAGAGCAACATTGGCACGACACCCCAAACTCACCACGGACAAACTCTGTCTCATACAACTTCCACTGATTTCCTGCTTCCTGTCGAGCACTCGCCATTTTAGTCATGCCTACAACCGCACGAACTACGTCTTGTGTTGTTGCACGCGCTAGCAGAGATAAGGAGACGGGTTCAACAGGATCTCGCTGGGATACTGTTTGCACAAAGATAGTCACTTGGTACGTTTGTTCGGAGGGCATTGCTTTTGCGAAATGTACTATCGTTGAAGAGAATGAGCCTTGTGTGTTTGATGGGCGACGTGAAACGCTGTCGGGTACATGGCTGCGCCACACACATTACATAAGCTAAATATGTCGAGAAAAAATGGAAAGATGTACTGCATGTCCGTTAAGACGAATCATGCGATCGGTCTCCATATCTCCCGGCGGGTGGTTGTCCTTGGTGCCCTTGGTGCGTGCTCTGCCAGGGTTTCCTCATGGCTTGCCAAAAGTGCGATTTTCGTTCAAAATTGGAAACCACGAAACAGGGAGATACCAAGCATGATAAATCGGCCCAGGCCCATTGCAACAAAACTCTGTTGCCGCCTAAGTTCTTCCCAAAGATGTCAAACAACCGTCAAAGGTGTGTCAGGCAACGCTTCAGAGTAGCCCTAATGCGAGTGCCTTTTAAACACTTGCAAGCCTACCCAGGCGTTCATTAAACTATGCGCCATTTCCACAATCGAATCCACTTAGGATATTGTGCCTTTCTCTATAACACGTCTGCGGTGGAAAAACGCAAATGTGCTAAGATCAAAAGACATGATTTCCTCTGGCCCATCTTTCCCGCAGAAATGCTCAACCAAAGAAAGAAGCCGCTGCATGGATATTAATGGGCGAGTAAAGCAAAAGAAACCGGGGAGGAGATGGAGGGCGTCCACCTTTTATGCTGAAAACTGTGGCGCAGGAACGCAAGCCACATTAGTCAGCAATATCCACCCAAAGTCAGCAATACGGGGTTTAAGGTCACCTTCAGGACCAGATCCTCAATTACCGCCACGATGTTGACCATGACGGTTGAAGATCGGAGGCTCCCACAAATTTATAAACTTCTGAACAATGCACGAGATTCCCCTTAGGCAACCGGTGGTGCAAACGGGTCGTTGCCTGTAATGACTTCCCAGGAGGGCCGACTTGAAGAGGGATTGACCTCGCAGCAATTACCACAAGCACTATCAAAGGGAAGCAACCTTGGAGGACACCGACAGAAAGATTCATTCCACTGTATGCGTTGGATCGCCTCTAAAGTCGTAACTGCAGAAGGAAACCAATGGTCCATCCATTCTCCTTGGCAGGTATTCATTTGGACCATCATCCTGTTTGGAACAGGCTGTTTTTCCTTGTGGCTTCGTATCGGAACCAAACCTGCCGTTTGGATGCCGAACGGTATCATGATCGGTGCGCTTGTTCGATCAAACCGCCGAGTTCGTATTGGGTTGCCTTTCGGATACTTTGTAGCAGTTTTTGGCGCTCTATGGAGAGTACATCAAGCTGCCTTAGCGCTAGGTTATACCCTAATTGGCTTGGTGGAGTCCCTCGCTGCTGCTGCAGTGCTCCTCCGCTTCATTAAAAACCGGCCGTACCAGTTTGACATCCCTCGGGCAGCAGTGGTCTTCACAGTGCTGAGTCCCCTCGTATGTAGCCTGGCTTCCCTGACTAGATCATGGTTGAAGCAACAGTTCGATCCTGAGCAAAATATATTTAACAATATCCGACAAGATTTTCCGATCGATTGGTTTGGAATAGCGGTTCTTGCTCCTTTAGCCGCTTGTTTGAACATGGATCAAGTGCAGGCATTTCATTACCGTGGATCTTCCCGACGAATAGAAGTGATTGGCGCTACGCTGGCCTTTACGACTTCCTGCATTCTCCCAGAGGTATTCGCAAAGACAATGTCGGACCTAGGAGTTGTCGTGGAATGTTCCGTCTTTACGAGTTTCCCGTTGATGCTGTGCGCAGGGGTCATCTTTGGCATACCTGGCCTGTGTTCAACAGCGCTGGCGGCAATGATAGCGCTGTCAACTTCTAGTACTTACATTTTCAATGACCGAGACATGGACGATTCATCTTCGTCGCCACCACCACCTCCTCCCGGCATTCCCTTAGGCCCGCCTCCCGGTAGCCCGACGTTCCACATGCAGCCGTTGCAGCGAATACGTTTCTGGTACGCAATGCTGATTCTCGCTGCTCTCTACGTCGTCGCTGTGGTGGCGGAAAATCAACGAGTGATCAGGTCAGTAGAGAAGCTAGTGGATCAGCGGACAGGCGAATTGCAAGAAGCACTGGAATGTGCCGCAAAGCTGCGTGATACTGAACAGCAGACTAGTAAACTCAAATCAGCCTTCCTCGCTTTTCTCTGTCATGAGCTGCGTAATGTACGTTGCATATTCTGCGCGCATAAAACCTAATAAGCGACATGCTGACCTTTTCACTGGAATAGCCGCTCCATGCAATCCTGAATATGAGTTCATTTCTCCTTGAGACGGTTTCAACTTCTGGTATCAAGGAACAAGACAACAAGGACGGCGATGATGTCGATGTCGAGCGTTCAGCCCAGGCAGTCAAATTAGCTTCTGAATACATGCTGAGTCTCGTCAATGATACTCTTGATTTGGGACGCTGCGAGAAAGGCGACTTTCATTTTCACAGTCTACCTGTGGACGTCCGACGTTTGCTAAATGACACCTTTACATGGGCAAGTGAACTTGTAAGGCAGCATGCCATCAACTTTGTGACGATCGTGGATGAGAGCGTTCCAAAATGCATTTTGGTCGATCCAGTTAGAACACAACAGGTACGTTTATGAACCTGGCATCTTCCAAACAATAATTGAACCTATTATCGATGGATTTGGTCATTTAGGTCCTGAATAATATGATAAGCCATGCTTACAAGGTACGAGAGCAGAATTTCGTTCTGTCGGATTTGGTATTGCAGCTGAGGTGTCAGGTATTCCCCTCCTCAGTTTGCACCGTCTTATTCTCGCATCACTGTACACGTATCCGCGAACCCGATACCAAACGCAGAAGACAAAACGCAATTATCAATGAGTGTGTCTGATACAGGCCCCGGAATGACTGCCGCCGAGCTCGATCTCCTCTTCCGGCCGTACGCGCTTCATCCAGCTGGAGCAAGAGAATATGGAGGGAGCGGGCTTGGATTGGCGATCACGAACGAAATCTCCAGACTCATGGGGGGTAACATCCATGTCAGTACTGTACTCGGGCAAGGAACAACCTTGAGGTTCACGTTACCGGTCACGGTCGTTGATGAGGTACTGGAGGACGGAAGTGCCATTCAGGGAAGCTCAGATCTGAGGTTTGAAGCACTCACAAAACAGGTCATGAATGAACCGCTTGTAGCAAAAGCACTAGAGATTTCGACAAACATAGGTAGACAGATGGACAGAAGGAGGAGTAGCTCGTTACTGCATGTTGACCCAAGTAGACATGCCGATCCATCTGCATCTCGACCACATAATGGATGGGTCGCACCAATGGGACACACCGGAACGCCCAATGCACCCAAGATTTCCAGAACATGTATAGATGTACCAGAGATATCCGATCCAACTCAAATATCCACCTCGAACGGGCTTAATATTTCACCTCCACCTGTCAAGTCGGCATGGGAGCATCCCGAATATCCTAATAGTAGCTATGAGACGGTCAAAGAAGCCATCATGGTTGTGGACGACTCGGGGATCAACCGCCGAATATTGTGCCGCCATCTGTCTAAATTAACTGACCTGCCCATCCATCAAGCTGCTGATGGGCAAGAAGCAATAGAAATGTACGAAGCAGAGAAGACCACCCGATACGCTATCATTTTTATGGATTGTATGTGCCTCAATTACATTAGTGGTTGTGGTTATGAAACTCATCTTGTCCTCAACAGTGATGATGCCACAGGTGGATGGTCACGAAGCAACGCGCTCTATTCGAAGCATGGGCTGCCAGGCGCCCATCGTTGCAACAACAGCCTCCGTGGTACCTGGCGAGGAGGCCAAAGCTTTGACCCAGTTGCGTCAATGCGGCATGTCGCATGCGCTGCCGAAGCCCTTTACCAAAGAACAGATCGAAAGCATATTGAAGAGTTATGGTATTCGCAAACTCGATACTACATCGAACGGAATCAAGATTGATGCTGAAGGAAGTCAACATCAACAGCGGGTTGCTGAGGTTAAGGAAAATGATGGGAGACTTACCGCTACAGCGGCGATTCAAGTCATTGAACCAAGTGCAAACGGTGGCATGAACGGTCGTCAGCTTGGTAAATATTCATTGATAAGTGCCGTACGATCTCTCCGCAGTCTCATAGGGTTTACCTTTTTAGATCCATCAATTGATACACTCTACCCGGGGGCGAATCACACGATTAGCGCCTTGAAGCCAAGCCCTCTTTCGACACCTTCCAGCTCAATGTCCAATCTTTCAATTCCACACAGTCTACTCGGAGGATCACAATTTAAGGACATATATGTTGATCCGCCCGATAGTGGTAGGATACCACCGACTATCAGAGAATTACAGAGCGATACGATACCTTCGGGACGAAAATTAGTTCTGGTTGTGGATGATTCTAGTGTCAGTAGGGATATTCTATCAAAGATGCTAGAAAGCTTTGGTTACGAAGTGCATGAAGCAACGAATGGATTTGAAGCTTTGCAGAGATGTTACTGGGCGAGCTACGTTCTCATACTAATGGTAAGTATCTGTAGAACCTTTCGAGGTTTTATCTTTGACAACTGAAAATTCTATCATGCAGGACCTTGAAATGCCAGGAATGGGTGGCCAGGAAGCTTCTGCCCGGATCCGGACAGCAGGCTTCACACATCCAATTGTGGTAACCACTGCTCATTTAGCACAGGTTGAGTCTCCCGCGGCCTTGCATCGTGTGGGAGTTACTGAGGCACTATCCAAGCCGATATCAAGAGCCATGCTTCTAGACGTGCTTGAGCGATATGGCCTACCCCCAATTGTACAGGACATGGACGGTTCACGACCCGCATGTGAAGAGAAGTCATAGAGGATACCGCTCGTGGTCAACTGAATCTTCTACATGCTCATCAGAGTGTGTCATCACCCGAAAGCTGTCTGACCATAAAGAAAGGTCGGCGGTGGTATTTCAATCGAGTGGTTTTTATATAAACGCCATGTATATGATCATGTTGGGATTTTATAAATCGAATGTTAAATGATGATGGACAATAGAGTTTTGTAATGATCCTTTCAGATACTTCCTGGAACGCTTTCCGTTCTTCCCTTGCCGAGATACAAAATGCCACTTCAATCCGTTCAGGCTGTCGTTGAGATCCGTTCAGGCGAGCGATCTCTCACGTGACGAGCGATTGCCGTGAAGAACCGGCAAAGGGTGACACTAGGATGACTCTCCAACCGACATTACCCCGACATACAAGTAAGACCTTATCTACCCTTTTAAAGCGCTCCACAAAAACAAAAGTTGCTCGGACAGCGGGGGTTCCTCAGATTTTGATATCAGCGAAACTATGCTGGAAGCCAAAGCGCGCATCGATGCCATCGCTGGCCATCTTGCTGGCAGTGATGACCTGGTTTCACGCGGTGCCAAAGTAGCCCCGGTCAACAAGGCGTGAGTAGCCAAGCGAACATGAGACTTTCACCGACGCAGGACAATGGTTGATCATCTGCTGTCACGAATGTAGGGAAGCTACGCAGTTTACCCTCACAGATAGGAAATCGGGACAGACATTTGAAATTGCAGCTGGGCCAGACACCAACCAACCAACCTCCTTCGTGCTCTTGTCTAGACGGTGAGATTGCCGCGAGCGTGCTCAACTGTCTTTTTGAATGGCCAATGATGGTCAAGTTTAGTGGCGCCCTACTAACAGTACAGATATCATGCAGGTCCAACGCCAACACTTTGACAGTTCTGGATAATCGTACCGGTAATACAGCTTCAAATCTATCACCACTGTAGCATTCTCAGCAAAATAACAACCAAACCCTTATGTAGGTAAAACTTACGAGGTGCCTATCGAGGAAGGTACTATTAAAGCGACCGACTTCCAAAAGATCAAAGAAGGTGCTGGCCCCGGCATCAGGATCTACGACCCAGCTTATCAGAACACCGCCGTGGCACGTTCTAAGATTTGCGAAATTGATGGGGACAAGGGGATCCTCCGTTATAGAGGCTATCCTATTGAAGAACTTGCGGAAAAGTCAAACTTCTTGGAGGTCTCATATCTTCTCATCTACGGCGAACTGCCCAGCAAGGTAGGAACACTTTTTGACGCCTGCATGCTTTCATGTTAATTAAAAGAGTGCGTTAAGACCCAGTATGATGCATGGACGAACCAAGTTATGCGGCATACATTTATCCACACACGGGTTCAAACCCTCATGCAGAGTTTCAATTACGATGCACATCCGATGGGAATGTTTATCAGGTATGAAAGCTTCGTGAGGTGCTGGGAACAGCCATGGCTCACTATTACCCCAGCTCGGTTGCTGCAATGTCGACTTTCCATCCAGAAGCAAACCCCGCTCTAGCTGGAAACGAAATTTACAAGAAGGATTCTCGCGTTCGCAATAAACAAATCTTACGTCTTATGGGCAAGGTTCCCACGGTTGCTGCCAGCTGTTATCGGTAAGTGCGGTTTCACGCCTTCCATATTGTCGTGCATATGATTAAATACTCTGTTTAGTCACCGTATTGGTCGTCATTTCAACAACCCTCGCAATGACTTGTCCTATACGGAAAACTTTTTGTACATGATGGATTATCTGAGCGAAGAAAACTACAAGCCTAATCCTAAGCTTGCGAAAGCGCTGGACGTTTTGTTTATCTTACATGCAGATCACGAATTGAATGTGCGTGTTACGTGGCTCATCTGTACCTATTGTCAGTGTTCTCATTGTTTTGATACTACAGTGTTCTACTGCAGCCATGCGTCACATTGGCTCTAGTCTTGTTGACCCATACAGGTAAGGATGAGACCCTACCACCCACGTACTAGGCACATGTGGTGATCGTTATTTCCCATGATCACTAGTGCGGTTGCCGGAGCCGCTTCTGCTCTGTACGGCCCTCTCCACGGAGGTGCCAACGAGGTGAGAAAGAGGCCCGAGCTCAAAGTACTTATTCATAGTCGCTAATGGACTTTTGCGTAATTGCTAGGCTGTACTTCGCATGCTGGAAGAGATCGGGTCCGTTGACAATGTTGCCCCATTCTTGGAGCAGGTTAAGCAGCGCAAGCGCAAGTTGATGGGCTTTGGTCACCGCGTGTACAAGAACTATGATCCACGTGCGAAGATTATTCGCAGGATTGCGTACGAGGTGGGAAGCAGTGGGGTGTGCCTTTCACATCTTCACGTATCTAATCGCAGAGTCGCCAGGTGTTTGACGTCTGCGGTAAAGAACCCTTGATTGAAGTTGCCATCGAGCTGGAAAAGAGAGCACTCTCGGATGAATTCTTTACGTCAAAGAAGCTTTATCCCAACGTAGACTGTAAGCATGGTTTCGTCGCTGCCGTAACTTGAAGCAGCAGCCTGACATGTTCTTTCGCCAGTTTACTCAGGATTGATCTACAAAGGTATACTCATACATTGCGGTCATGGTATCATCGTCGCGCCGCTAATGTAGCACTGGCTTGCAGCAATGGGTTTCCCAACAGACTTCTTCCCAGTCTTGTTTGCCATTCCTCGGGTGGCTGGATGGCTCGCGTGAGTTGGTAAATTTTCTAGTGTTGCTATACATTGCACTCATTTTCATTTGCCAGTCATTGGGTGGAATCTCTTGAGGATCCGGATGCCAAAATCTGGAGGCCGAGGCAAGTGTACACTGGTGAAGGGAAGCGATCGTATGTGCCACTAGGCGTACGCGACGTCAAAAGCGGCGATATTGTGACGGATTACGAGAGCGTAAGTACATTAATGCATGATGATCATGATGCTCATGGTACTGAATCGATCTTCACAGCATCCGTTTAGCAAACGGTCTCAAGTTGCTAGCTTTGAGCGCAAGTCCTGATTCATTTTAGCTAGCCTTCTTAGGGAAAGCGTCATATATTTTGCATCATTTAGTTGTAGTGTATTGGTGGATCTGTCAGGACAGATTGAGATATATGCATAATCGAAAACTCATCAGTATCGAATAAGGTTTGAATGTAGCCCTGTGTCAACCATGCTATTACTGTCAATAATTAATTCTGAAATTCGATGCAACAAATCATGAATTCATGAATGAGCCATGTTGCCAGGTTGCTCCAAGTACCGCCAAAAAAGCCAGTATCGCGATGCAAATGCTTTGCTTTACCGAGTCTTCAGCTTTACCAGGTCAAAAATTTCCTGAACGCCATGCGACGTTCATCAATCTCCCGTTCCTCACTGAGATTAGCGAGAATGGTCAGGGCAGCCCGCCTATAAACCGGCTAGTCGGCCCCGGCTATATCAAAGGGGAAGCGGCTATATCTCCGCCGTGTAATTTGACGATCGCATACAACTCAAATGATCCTATACAAGAGTGGATGGCATGTTCGTGTCGACGATTCCTTGGCAGTTTTCGCAGAAACCTTTTACTCAAGTGCGGTTTGCCGTAGTGCCGAACACTAAAAAATCAACTGAATCCGTTACATGGCCCTTCTTTAAAAAAGATAATGTCAGATGAGGGTAAATTGATGTATGCAACAAACCCCAAAAATCACACTTGCGACAACCTTAATTGCGAAATTTTCAGTTGTGCTTGTGTTAAAGTGTGCGCTTACGTACGCGTCCGATCGCTTTCAAAACGCACCTGGCCACCCCAAAGTGTTCTACAAGTGTTCTACAAGTGTCAAGTATGATGGAAAATAACCCATTTGCTTTTTCTTTTTTTCTGTCGCTTCTCGCTTGTTTGTTGTTTGGAAAAGGAACAGCTTTGTTGTCCTGTACTTTTAGCGGAGGATCGCCAAGAATTAACAAAATTCTGTAATTCTTTAAATCTATTCGACTGAATGGAAATCTTTCTCTTGTGGGGCCCTATATCTTGTGTATGACTTTTGAGAATCAAGTCTTGTAACTTGAGCATGGCAGAAGAACCAAAGCCTCCGACATCGGATTCCTTTGATGCTGCTCCATCGTTGGAACGATATCCGACGCCTAGACGTCCACTCCTACCAAAGCTTGGTCGGACTTCTCGCCAAAGAAAAATATACATTTGCCTCTTTGTCACATCCGTCTCTCTGGCTATTTTCCTACCCATCCTTTTTCTCGTCATTGTACCGAAAATTGCCCAAGCCAACATTAATGGAAGTAAATTGACGTTATCGTCAGCGTCTATTTCAAAGGCTACGTCGTCTTCGTTTGCGCTATCGTCTCAAGGTTTTGTGGAAGATGCTGGATCCATCGATGCCACAATATCCTTTGTAGACGGGACTGTGGATGTGACATGGACCGGATCAGGGACAAACGGCACAGATGTGCCATTGGCACGGATCCTAGGAATGCCCGATTTGGTGGTCAAGGGAGCAAAAGGAGATTTGGCAATAAAGGATGCCAATGTGCAAATTGTAGATACCGCGGCCATGACAAAGTTTGCCCGATTTATGATGTTGGGAGCAGACTTTGAGTGGAGATTGAACGGAAAAGCGCAAGCCAAGGCGTTCGGTATGACCATCAAAGGGCTCACCATGGACAAGACAGTGAAAATGAAAGGTAGGTCGTTCCGTGCTATATCATGTCCTTCGTCCGTCTAATTACATGCCTACTCCAGCCTTGAATGGTCTCAGAAATATCAGCATTACTTCTTTTGATTTGCCACGGAATGATCCTGCGGGCGGGATCCAGATTGTGACAACAACGCTGATGGATAACCCATCCCCTATGACAATCGAATTGGGCACCATCGAATTCTCGGTGAGCTTTGAAGGAGCCACGGTCGGCACCTTGTCTGCGAAAAACGTGACATTGGTTCCAGGAGCGAACTCATTGCCTCTCTCCGGGCGGTTACTGACTGGCACTACACCGACGGCCCTCAAAGCATTATCGCAGATGTTTACGTCGTATATTGCTGGACAGCCGGCCAACTTGACCGTTACTGGGACAAACGTTGTTCCTCCTAGTGGTGCCGCCGATTGGTTGGTTAAAGGATTCCAAGGCATCCCACTTTCCGTCTCCCTCGTCCCGCCAGTTCCTCAAAAACTTATATCGGACATTAAATTGGGTGATATGGATGTGGCATTTTCCCCGAATGATCCTTCTGGCCTCTCAGCTGCCGTATCAGTTGGCTCTTTGACAGCAACATTCAAATCTCCTTTAGCATTCCCACTCAAAATCAACCAAGTTCAACAGCGCATTACCATTACCTCCGCATCAACCAAGGAAGATATCGCAACGTTAGAAGCTCCCACCGCTGAAGCAGATGGCGACAGTACGAAAGGGACTCTTTCGACAAAGGTGGCCGGTGGCACCTTGAAGGCAATACCCGGGAAAAACGCCCAATTTGCCGAGTTTATGAAAGGACTGTTGACGGGGGACACTGTACCATTTCCGCTGAAGGGTAGTTCAACGGTGCAGGCGGCAACTGCTGCTGGAGTTGTAACAATTAGTAACGTGCCTATCGTGGACTCTCCTACGGTCAAAGGTATTTTTCTTTCTGACATGCATTCTATGACACGATAGCGCATTTTAACACTTTTGATTAGGCATGAATTCACTTCGCAATATTAGAATCAACTCTGTTGCAATCAAGGGCGGATCTCAAGCCGGCATTCAACTTGAGATTGGCACGATACTTGGAAATCCATCACAAATAAGTCTGTCGGGCCTCGGAGAAATCACATTTGATATGGTGTTCCAAAATCAGAAAGTCGGGACTGTGTCTTTGCCTGATACTGGAATCAAGGTATGTTAATCAAGGATCATACTGGCTCTCCTTTTGAAAGCAGCACTCAATGGAACTGTTAATTATCATTTAGCGTGGAGAAAATGCCATTACGGCCACAGCCCTCTTCAACCCCGCACCAGATTCCGCCGATGCCTTGGCAGCTGGCAAAGTGATGCTGACAAACTTCCTCGGTGGTCGCACCTCTACCATCACCATTAACGGCACCCCGCAAAGCGGTCGCATTGGATCCCTGGCACCTGCTCTTGCCACACTTTCCATTCCCACGACTCTCAACGGCATCCAACCAACACTAATCCAATCTACCACGTTATCCCTCAACGGCGTCCTCGGCACCATCATAAGCCAAACTGCATCTGTCACAATAGCTCTCACCAATCCCTTTGACGCCCCGTTCACATTAGTCTCCCTCGACAGTACAATCAAGAGTAGTGGTCAAACCATCGCGGCGATCGAATCCCAAACTGTCTCTCCCGCTTTTACTCTCCAAGGCAAGACATCTGGGTCTACCCCCAAGATTGACCTCAAGCTGCAAATCAATGGAGCCGCCATCACTGGCTTGTTCCAAGCGGTTGGAGGAAACCTCTTGGTTGACGTAACAGCGGAAATGAGGGTTAGAGTTGGGAGCTATGAAACCACTATCGCCTATGCCCAAAATGGCGTCAGGACGTCGTTGGGATCCCTTTTCTAGATACCTCATAGTTAGTATCAGTATAGTATATATACGATGCATGTAATATTCTGTATGTAATGCCTAAATACGTAGCTGAGCCCTGGTGGCCAGTATTTCCCTTTTGCGTTGATCTGGATGCAGTTCTAGCAAGGTTTGAAAGGCGAGGGATATAGATGGTTACGTAACAGTGTGACAGACATCTTTCATCGCGGTTCCTTCAATTGTGTTCCAGATCAGTTACATTGCATCGCACTATGGATGCATCTGGCTCCTCGCCCTCTCCACAGACTTGCACTATGGACCCGTTCCTGTATCTCCCTGTGGAACTTGCACTGCGCTGTCTGTCGTTTGTTGACACTACTTCTCTTCCCGCCGTCACTCGTGTGTGCAAACGATGGCATCAAATGTATTGTCATTCTTTTAAGCAGCGAATGTCTCTTGTACCACCCACTCACATTCATTATTGATCTTTTAGAGTGGAAAGTGACGCATTGTGGAGAGAGCGGTGCTTTATTTCGTCCACCATAGTTGCGGACAGACCTCTCCGATGGGTGCTTCCTCCCGAGGACTGCATCGACGCTATGGAAACCACTTTGTCGTCAACCTTTCCCAATCCGAATCGGGATAGCCTGGCAGTCCCCACAGCATCTAGACGGTCCCGCTCTCCGGATGTGCTCGGTTTATCTTCCACGGCTTCTGATACTGGTTCGTCGCAATTTCCCTCCTTATCTCCCCGACGGGAGGTCTCTAGACAGTCCGTTGACCATATTGTACGAAAGGTGAGCAGATCTATACCACGGCTGTTGAACATCAATTCTTATCTTGTTGAAATAGCTCCCGTCGCTACCAGACGGACGAGAGCGTTACGAACGCCTTCGACCTCCGCCAGTGATATATTCACCATCTCCAGCGCATCCAGGTACCAGTGGCCTCCCATATGTACTTCATGATGGCGATGCAAAGGACCTAGTGTCACCGATGTCACCTGCATCACCGTCCTCCTTTACGTTACCCAAGAGCCAGGATCTGCGCATGCCAGAAAATGCAAAAAAGGTCCGCTTTACAGAGTTAATACATGATCCAAAGCAATTCTTTCGGGAGATTGGGGAAGTGACTATAATGGCTGAGCAAGAGCCACTAGATCTGCTTGAGCAAGGGCTACAAGGTAGCAACCGCATCTCTCTTTATGCTGTGGTCATAGATATACTTACATTATACTGCATAAACAGCATCATCCGAAGATGATGAACAGCAGACTATTGCGTGTACCCTGGACGAGTAAGTGACATGATTAAACTCTAATTGTTGTATTATGATATCCTGCTTACCGTATATTTCTTTGCAGCTCAGCACGCACTTTTTGGTCGTCCAAAGGGACTGCTGACATGCTCTCATCAGAATGGCTGGTATACAAACTGAGGCAGCCAGTTTGTATTGTGACGAGAGTGGAGATCACTCCATATAAGGCGCGCTACCAACGAGGGTGAGTAGGGTCCATTATTGCTCCTTGTTTTTCAAAGTATTTGATAGCTAACTGAGGAAGCAGGATGCCGATATATGCGCCCAGGTACATGACCATGTCTATTGGTTTTTCACCTGAACCAGAGAATATGCATTTTATCAGTGAATTGTTTCCTGTGGAAAACCGAAATGGTATGCACTTGCTCGAGTTTGTCTTCATCTGTGTGCGCTAGCTCTTAACAGTAATTCACAACAATTAGTCTCACAATCCTTCAATATCAAACCCACTCTGGTAGTTGGGGGATATGTGCGCTTGCATCTACATGGGCGGTACCAGACACAACCAGGTAGAGTCAATATGAACAAAGAATTTATGCATCAAATGCTCAGATATTCCTTCTTTCCAAAGGTGACAACCTGTATTACACAGTTTTACAAAGTGTGAGATGCTTTGGTATTCCAATAGGTATGTGATTGGGTGCGGTAGGCAGATCCGCACGGTCGCTCATTCGCACTTTATAGGACTTGTTGCGGACAAACAAAGTTTGAGTTTGCCTCTGATGGAACTAGCCGACGTGCTCAAATGCGACTACACTCCTTGGTACGGAGTAAAAGAAATCGTGGCCACCCAAAGATTGAGTCGTTTGAAGACTTTGATGCTTCCCACGGTCATGGATCGTACAACACATGCGGAGGCGCTGGCGTCCATCCAACGGCTTTTGATGCGAGGGGAATGGAAGCATGCGGCCGATATACTGGCTCGAACTAGATGTACTGACGAGCTCCGACAGGCGGATTTTCTCGCATGGTTCTTTGAAAGTGCTGAAGCAGTTAGCGAGATACAGTCGTATTCAATGTGGAATGAGGGGCGCGCTGCTGATAAGGGGAAGCAGCCTATGGTTGAACCTGAGACGGCGGCATCCGATTGGACACGGATTTTTGCCTCCGTTGCCAGAAAGATCGCTTCAAAGAAAGAAAAGGAAAATGATCCCGTCCGATATTATCTGAATAGAGTGCTTGAAGGGGATGATGATTTGACAGAGTATGAGGCGATCAGGTTTGGTGAGTTGAAGGACTGTATGAATTCTCCGGTCTACTAGAAGACTAATTATATCTTTGCAGCCGAGGTAGCAATAGCTGACAAACAGTTTGGAGAGTTTTGGGATTGTTTAATTGGGGAACGGGTACGTCCCACCACACTGTTCAAGTCTGCGCCGCTTTCTCATATGTGGGTTACGTTTTCCAGTTTGAATGCACTGAAGATCTTGGTGACCTGTTTCGTCCGCATGACGTGTCGTTTGCGTTGTCGATTTACAGTCGAGCGAATGTTTTGGATAAGGTATTTGACTCATTCTTTATTTTCTGGTATAATCTCTGATATGCTGACTCATCTCATACGTAGATTATCGATTGCCTTCTCGCGATAGGTCAATACTACTCTGTGATTCGCCTCATCCGCGTAACATCCCATGAGTATGATTTTACACCCATTATCATGCAGTTGCTTGCCACCGCTGGAATAAAGGCCGCTGTCCAATTTTCAGCGATATTACTGAGGTAAGCAGGGTCATGGTAGGGTCGTGGATGCATACAATGGAGCGCGGATTGATTTTGTTGCATTCAGAGAGGATCCACAGCTTCGCCGAACGGTCGTGTGGGCTTTAGGTGTGGAGAAGGAAACTGCAGGGCTAGCAGACGGGGAAGATTTGGCTGGTTGGTTGAAAGTATGGGCGGACACCAAAGAAGGGTCAGGACCGAGTTCCCCGTCGAGTGTGGGATCATCATAATGGCCACAACATAATTCCATATATTTTATTCTCATTTGGTCATAATATGAATATGTACATGTGCTTGCCAAAAGGAATTGACTGGACTATCCCCATGTGCTTGCTGTCCCGAATCTTTTTGTTTTCATCAGGCTTGCGCGGCGGCATCGATTCATGGAATCAGTACTTGCTGAGTGCATTCACTGCCCCATTTCTTGCTTCCATGCTTTCCTCAGTTGCTCCTTTTGGGTTTCATCCAAGTTCTGAGTGCTTGGACTTCTATCCGGGTCTTTGGCGAGGGTGGACACATTATGGGTAACCTAACCACCATACATGAGGATTCTCAAACTCTTGAAACTTTCTATTAAAATTCCGTACCGTGTGCCCGTGCTGATCTTTAAACACGACTTTCCCGTCAGAAACTTGGGCGGCATAGCCTTGGTGTGTTCCACCGCGGTAACGGGTGCCGACGTAATCGCCTTCTTGAATCTTTCTCGTAGCTTACGTTTTAGCGCGGATGCTTTTCAAATGGTATGGAAACTGTAACATTACCTGGTTCATTCGTGTTTTGACGTACTGGAAAACAGTTTGGTCAAATATCGATGATATGAACAACCTTACCCAAAGTCGGTGACGTTACGTGATGTCCGTTTCGTAAGCCGTCGATCAACCCATGGAAGGTAAAAGCCCCCAAGGACTTGGGACCTGCTGACAAGTTCGCTTGGTCATCAAACTGAAAGTTAGCCACTAAGCCACTGGGTATTGCGCGTCTTTGCCAGACCTTTTGCTCTTCTGTCTTTTGCTTGAGCATTTTGAATTTGGATTTTCTGACCCATCACCATCGGAGAGTCAGTATCTGCCAACGTCGTCAGTATTATATCCGCCTTGACAGTTGACAGTAGTTTGTTGGTGGGCGCTCAAGCAAATGGCCGCTGTTTATAGCCATTTCACACCTTTCGAACTGCTCGGTATGACGTTCCCACCGGCAAACTCTCCATTCTATAACATTGGTACGGAGATACCAAGTAACATGGGAAACCACGCACCGCAAATGGATTCTGCTTGGCGTGCTACAAAGGATCGTCACCTGCGTGGAACGAAACGACGGAGATCTATGAGTAGGTCGCCGCTTGGTGGGCAACAGGACAGGAATGCTATGGACGAGAGTATGGCTGGACATACTGGGAAAGTGGGTGAAATGATAGATTCAAATCTTTGTGGACAGGAAGAGTCAGATGATGTGAGTGGGATACACGAACTGAGGTCGGGAGACCCGAAGAAACGCAGATTGACTGCCCAACCTCATAACGTCAATGAGGATCATCCTCCGAGGTACGCCTTGTCATTCGCGTATGATATCCTCTACGTCTCACTTGCTAACGTACCTGTACTTTTATCTCTCTCAATAGCCACCGTCAATTCCCTTTGTCCCCCATTCGCATTTCCCTCCGTTCAACCGGTCCAAATAATGGGAATGAACACCCGGAAAATACCACATATACCGCCATAAACACCCTCTTACACATCATCCACCAAGAATCGCGCTTGCACGATCCACCGCATGGACCGTCATACACATCCAATCTCTCTGAGCAGCAGGGGGTCATACCAGACTATGTCGGGGTGAACGGGATGCTTAAAAGTTTGCATTTGGCGAGACGTGGAGGTCTGGATAACTCGCATGGGTGACAGGTCTAATGAATTGGGGAAACACTTTTGCAAATGGCGCATCGTGGAAAGTTGGTTTCGTATAGTAGTGAGTGTCTGAATCTTGAGCTACACGCATTGCCGTGTAATGTAAATAGATGGTATATTCCTTCGTTTGCACATCTATGATTTTGGATCTCTTCCATTCGCACTGCATGCTTTTCGTCTCAAGTAAAAGGCCTGAGTCCGCTTCTTGATATTTGTTACATTGGTTGGCAACGTCACATGAATTCATTCGCGACCGCGAGTCATTAATAAAAACCGTCAATACAATTCAAACTGCGGAGTAGGTTTTTGAGTTTCATTTTGACAGCTAGAGCGAAATGACCAACGCTAGTTGATGACATGAACGAAAGCCGGCACGCCCAAACTATGTGCAACCAGGACAACAACTGACAGAGTCTCGCTTGGATGGTACACAAACAGGAACGTGTTAGAACCAATGGTAAATCTATTGACCTCCTTGCGCACTATCTCCAGCTGTAGCGGTTGATGTCTGTATCAATGCTACATGTCGTTTAGTGATGGACGACAACGTGCGTGTTTTCAAACTATGGTTATTCTTCTGCCTCTGTTTTAACGGTACTGTCACTATGGCTCATTGCGCTCTTCGAGTCCGAGACCGCGGCCGCCGTTATCGAAACTTTTGTTTTAGAGGTATATGAAAAATCAAACGGTTGTACTTTTCTGCACGTAACCTCGTAAGAGGCTGATATATCTTTCATAAAAAAGAAACGTTATCGTCTGAAAAATAATGTCTTATTGTTTCTCCTTGTATGAGACTGGAGGGTCGTATTGCATTGCATCGTATGGACTTTTTGGTCTGGCGAGTCAGAGTGTGTGATGCAGTCCATGACTTGTTGCAAATACGTATTATCGTGGGTTATTGACTGTAAACGTAGCACTATGCGGGTCAAACAGTTTGTCATATGCTGACGAGCCAACCATCAATAGAGCGCTGAAGCGGTGCCTTGGGCATCACAGTAATAACGACTCATGTATTGCCCAACTCTCGCTGAGTCATCAGTTGGTCGATCCCATATTGCGTTTCACGTTTGTTCCTGGAAATCGAGGTGATTGGTTGGGGGGGCAATTTGCCTGTGAACGCCCGGTTCCGAATCTCATGCCCCACTCTACCGACGATTACCTTTGGATTTGGTATTCGCATCCATTTGTTCTCTTTGAGATACTGGCTGCATGGTCCTGATCGAGGTTCCATAAGGGATCTGCAGGAAAGGTTTTTTGAACAAACTACTAATTTCTGGAATTCTTTCCGAATTTGGGGCTCTAGTACCCAGGCGGGGAATTTTGCTTGCTCCAGATGCTGATGGTATATGGGGAACAAGTTCCGAGGGGGATTTGTGTACTAAAGTGCCAACTGGCATATGGAAACCTTCAAAAGGAAAGTGTTCCAAACGGGGGAGAAAGCGTATTTCCAACTTAGATTGAGGTTGGTTCACTGACTAAAACGGATGCAGAGTTCTTGTTAAGCGATGTGGTATTCTACAAAAACCTCAAGGAGGTCTCCGAAGCAAGATCTTTTCAGGAGTGTTTCATTTAAAGGCAGTTTTACCAAATATCGAAATTAAGGTTTTAATCGATGCTGACGTGTTGCCACTGTTTCAAAATATTTTTGGTCAAGTCAACCAAAGGCCCATAAAGACGACTGCAAACCTTACATATGACCTTTTGTTTTTGAAAGCCGATTGGTGTCTGCAGAATTGTGAGAATATGGGAAACCAATCTACATCCATTTTGATCCTCGCCTTGGTGATTGTCTTGGCATTGCAGATTGATGCTGCACCTCATGGATCTGAGAACCTTGATGCTGGACCTCATGGAACTGAGAACCTCGCAATTGCCACCAATGTGAGTGACCACAGTATGGGCCATGCTACTGATGGGTAAGTAAAACTGCAAGGCAACAATCTCCTTCTGGTTCAATTTGAGCTGATTGATGGTACGCACCATCCTTTTACCCATCAGGCCCCTCACGATCGATCATGGGAGCATGAAGCCCTTCTTCAACACAGACAGCACGGTTTTCTTGCTCTTCCCCCAACTGCAGCCCAAAAATGCAGGGCAATATATTGCCGCTCTCCTGGCAACTTTTATTCTCTCGTTTGTCAATTCCACCTCTGAAAACATTCGCGTTCTCATCTTCAGACGCGGTGTTGACGACAATATAAAATCCGAGCGTCCACCGATCAGCTGGATTCGACGCGCATCGTTTACGATCTTTAAAGGAATTGCTGCGTTCATCAGTTACACCGTGATGTTACTAGCGATGAGTTTTAATGTCGGCCTCCTGATGGCGATTATTGCGGGTGTGATGGTTCCGACCTTTTTGTTCAACTATGATGGGGCTGTGGTGCCAAAGAGTGGCTAAAGAGTGGGATCTGATAAGGAGACATCCAGTAGAGACAACAAAAGAAAGCCCTTCTGGTTGCTGCATTGGGGAGATTTGTTTTCTTGCTTGCCCTGGCTGGACCTGGCCTTGTCCCTCCTCCATCACCCGCCAAAAGGGAACTGTACAAAAAAGAACAACGATTGTCATCTGTGTAGTGTACATTTTTTTTCTGAAATTTTGTCCTATTGGAGTGTAAATAAGAAACATCTTGCTCGTATTTGGGTCTTTAGCTGTACGCTTGAGCGTAAATTGCGTAAAGTGCATCTGCATCGTCGTCAAACGGCTGACTCTGCCCATCATAATCCCCAATTTCATTACCCAATCCGCTTGGAACACTGCAAGGTGATCATCACACCTGCAAAGTTTCAGAGTCATTTTCAAAAAGATAAGCAAAACGATATGCGCAGACGAAATAATAGTGGCCGTAAAATTACTAATATAATTCTGCCGAAATTCGAATTTCCACGAAATGGAAGGTTACGCGCAAAACAGCGAATATTCCAAAGTTCCGCGCGTCTTGACCCCACTTGAATTGCCTTTTAAGGTTACATGACTCTCGCGCACCGCATCCGAAACGTCGGGAATCGTGTCTGCGCATTCGTCATGTGTGGCTAGAGATGAGAATTTGCTAGTCATGGAAGAGATCTTGCCGGGTGCCACGCGAGGAGATTTCACACTCGCGGAGATAACAGCTAGCAAAGGTTGAAATTTCATGCCTTTTCGTCCACGGGATCACCGGGACGACGGCGGATGGAGATGGAGATTCCTTTAAAAAGGCGTTGTTGCTTCTTGTCCCCTCCCACTCTCGCACGTCCCTTTGTTTGAGTAGTTGATCGAGCGGGAACTTGAAATCATGGCGGAGACAAAAGAGAGCACTGGGACGCTGGACACGAAGGTCGTAAAGGACCAGGAACACATTATGCGCATTCCGCACGATGAAGGTTTCCTGCAGTCTACGTTGCCTCGTATTGCCGGCGTCATCCCGTTTGCAGCGTGGTTCATTGTTGTCAACGAGTCAGTATTTGTATGTTGTTGATGTCTGTCAGGTTCAGTTGATTCTGATTATTCTTGTCTCTTGCTATTTGTTAGATTTTGCGAACGATTTGCGTGTATGTATATTCGGACTGTCAGCAGGATTTGTTTATAATATGACTAACTTGCTTGTCGTACACAAGTCTATGGTGGTTCCCTTACTTTCCAAAACTATATTGAAAACCCAGAGCAAACCGCACTTCAGCGGGCCACATTGGAGCGACAGCCAGGAGCGCTTGACAAGGGACAATCAACGGCCACAGCTTTGAGCAAGTAAGGTTCCCTTTTCCTTTACCGCTCGTTTACTTTACGCGTTTTAACTTGTGTGTGCCATACACTTAGCTATTTCATGTTCTGGGCCTACTTTACTCCTCTCATTGGCGCCACCGTTGCTGACCAGTATTGGGGAAAATACAAAACCATCCTCACCTTCTCCATCATTTACATGGTCGGATGGATCATCCTCTGCACCTCATCGATTCCCAATGGATACATGGAGGATGGAACCCCAACCTGGGGAGGCTTCGCCTTTCCCGGCTATGTCATCTCGATCACCATTATTGGTCTCGGAACTGGCGGCATCAAATCGGTCGTCAGCCCAATGTGTGCGGACCAGATTCCGAAAGAGTCTTACATGATCGAAAAGAATGGAAAGCAGTACATTGTTGATCCTGACCTCACCGTGCAGCATTTGTACAACTGGTTTTACTGGGCCATCAACATTGGATCTTTGATTGGACAGACGGTGTGTACAACTTTGGAACGATCGGCATTTTGGAAGGCCTATCTTTTGCCTAGTTGCATGTTCCTGCTTTCCATCTGCATTTTCTATTCGGGACGAAAGCGTTATGTACATGTACCACCTGAAGGATCCGTGATCTTGAAGGCGTATCAATGTATTCGGTACAGCCTTGTTAGAAAGCGAAAGTACAAGGCCACGGTTCAACCAAATTCAAAGAATTTTGCTTTCCTGGATTACGCCGACTCTATACCCGGTGAGACGCAAGAGGAAGTGGCTCAAAGAAAGTGGACGGATGCGTTCCCTTCAGAATTGAGGCAGACGCTCAAGGCGTGTTCGATCTATCCTTTGTTGACTATTTACTGGTATGCCAAAAGACTTTTTGCTATTCAACCGAACCATGTTCTCATCAGCTGGCATTTCAGGGTATGCTACTCTCAAATGACCAACAACCTGATCTCGCAGGCCAGTCAGATGCAGCGGCCCAGCTGGATGTCAAACGACTTGATCAACATTATGGATCCTCTTATCTTGGTTCTCGTAAGTAGATCAATCTCATGTGAAAAGAGCGGCAACCATTGATAGAGTCCTCATTTTCTCTCCTGCTAGATCATCCCCATTTTTGACTATGGTATATACCCGTACCTCTCGCGCAAAAACATCCACTTTGGATACATGAAGCGTATTTCAATCGGTTTCTTCCTTGGTGGCGCGTCGATGGCCGTAGCCGCAATTGTGCAAAAGAAGATTTACGAGGCACCCCCCGGATTTGACCATCCAGGTGACGTCGCAAATGAGATTTCTGTCTGGTGGCAGATTCCATCGTATGTCTTGATTGCAACTTCTGAAGGTAAGCTGTCCGCCTGAACATTTCCAATACATCGCGGCTAAGCGGCTAAATGTTTGTATATTGGAAAACAGTGTTTGCCTCCATTGGCTCGCTTGAGTACTCTTATACCCATGCCCCAACGTCTATGAAATGTCTCATCTCAGCCCTTTCCCTGCTCCCCAACGCTGGTGCCGCGTTGATCGGCATCTTCCTTTCCCCAGCTGCCAAGGACCCTAACATGCATTGGATGTATGCCGGAACAGCGATTGCTGCAGGCATTTCCACTGTAATATTCTACCTACTCTTTAGGAAATTCGATGTGGAGGACAAGGAGATGTTGGACGCGGCAAGAGCGTTGGGAGTACCAAATCAAAAGACCGCTGCAGAAAAGGCTGAGGCAGAGGAAAGGTTGTAGATAGTTTTAGTGGCTAGTTTTTCTTGTATGATGAATTGTTTTTAAAGAAATGAAGCATTTTGAAAATATGAACTTTGTTTGCAACGGACCAGATATTGAACACTATATTTTACAAGAATGGCCTTGAATACATCACATCAGCTCGAGAGCACGTCTTGCAATATGTGAAAATGACCACGTACGACTTAAGCAACCAAGCGCCGCCCTGCCAATTCCAAGCAAATATACCACCGATACTCAAGTACGCAACAAACCTTTCTCCATCTCGTTACCGGCATCCAGATCCAAAGTCAACCGCTGATCATACCACGGCCTTTCTTGCCCTTCAACCTTCCATTGCGGAGAAACCCTTTCCTCCTCTTGTTCAGTCAAAGGCACCGTTCCAAAGGTTTGCCCAGATGGAAGGCGCTCACGAGGAGATGAGGAGAAGAATTTGGTGCCTATAAAGTGGGAGGAAGTGGGTCGAGCTTTACTAACGCGGGTTAGGCGTGGGGGAGGTGGCAACGAGGTGTCAGGCTGTGTCGATGTACCCTTGGACCGTCAAATGTTCGATCAATCCCCCTCCGAATCGATGAAATTTGTAAATATGGATTGCTCATACCTGGTCCTGCATAGGAGCAGCGGGAGTCTCTTTTCGTTCTTTGTCACTACCAATTGTTTGTTCCTCGCCTTTACCCTTTTGATCTTTAGTCAACCGCGCTGCCTTCTTCTTAGTTTCCTCTTCTCTTGGAGATGCCTTTGCACTAGGGCCTTGTGTGGTATCGGTTTCGGCAACGGATGTATGTAAATACTCTAGATTCTAGTATAAATAGACATAGATGAGACCAATGGCAACTCTTGTTTTTCAAAAATGAGGAAACCCGTACCTGCTCAACCATGATCAGCAATTCGTCAATGGCATCCTGTTTCGGCTTTCTTTTCGCTTCCCCTCCTTTCCGCTTTTCTAACCTGTCCACAAGTGCTTTCAACTTGCTCTGAAAAGTTTTTAAAGCATTTGATGCAGTTTGTTCCTTGTCCGTGGCTTCTTGCGTGGCCGCTTGAGCATCGTTGAGCTGGGTGGTAAGGACAATGATCTTCTCATTCACTGCAGTGAGGTCTTTTTCGCGTTCTTTGAGCGCTGTTATTGTGGATTCCAACTCTGCTTGGGTTTTCGTACAACTTTTTTTGGTCTGTCACATACAGAGCGATTTAGCATGGTAAAGATAGAAAACGATACAGAACTACAAGTTACGTACAGTATTTAATTCATCTGTCAATGCCTTCATTTTCTGCTCGTATTCCTTGTCATGTTCTTCACTAGTTTGTGCAATTTTGTTCCTAACGGCCTGTGTTTGTTGCAATTCGGCAGTAATGCGTTGTTTATCCTCGTTTAGTTTCTTCAACTGAGTTGCAGTGGCATCAGATTCCGAGTCGCGATCAATGAGTTTCTGGTGAAGGCTTTGAACCCAAGGTTTAGCATCGAGATAATGATCTCAGAAACAAATTGCGAAAAGTCACCTTTTATTTTCCGCCTGCAACTCTCCTACCATTACGGTGACATCTTCCAGTTGCGCTTGAAGATCCTTGACCTTGCTCTCAACTTTTTCCTTTTGCTGTTTAAAATTGTCGGTCTGTTTCTTGACGTTTTCAAGTTCGCTCTTAACCTCTGCCTCCCTCTGCCCAGCCCGACTCTTTTCCTCCTTACTATCTTCAATCTCCTTCTTCAACTGCAATATCTGAACAGTCAGGACCTCTTTCTGATTCTGAACGGCATGGTCAAGTTCGGATTTATGCTTTTTTTCTAAAGCTTGCATCTCAGTGGTACGTTTGGCTAGCTCGTGATTCGCTTCTGATAATTCCTTGTCGAGTTTGTCGCGTTGTTCGCGGGTTTGCCAGAGTTGGTTACGGAGGAGTCCTATTTCTTGATCCTTTTCTGGCAATCTATGGTGGAGATTTGAGAGGTTGGGCCATGAAGTGCCAGTGCATGTCAATGTACGCATGACGCTGTACCTTTCATCAAGACGAACTTCATATATTCCTTCTTTAAGGACCTCCACATTCTGAACTTTTCTCTTTAACGCTAAAATCCAGAGACAAATCAGCGCGGCTTATTTATTTATTCAATTTCTTCGAACACACTCACCAGCATGTGCATCATCCCCGGCTGGTGTCGGGCTGGGCGGGTGCGACATGGGCATACTACTTTCCCCCGGAGCAGGAACTTTGCGTTTCCGTTCAGGTTGTTGTGCTTCTTTTGTAGCACTGGCTTTCTCCACGCCAGGATGAGTAGAGGTAGACTGAGTAGCAACAGACGGACCAGCGGTAGACTGAGTACCAATAGGAGTACTCGCCGGTATGGTAGTAGACGATAGAGCAGTGACCTGAGCAACGACTGTACTGACAGCAGGTTGAGAACCGGCAGGCTGGGTTTCATCAGGGGAACTCGTTGCAATTTGAGTGATAGCAGGTTGATTCTCCGCCGCAGACTCAAAAGTCTCCCCGGATACTCGTGAAGAAGTTGGAGTTTTTGGCTGGTCGTCGGATTCATGACCAGAACGGGACCCTTTCTTTTTAAAGAATTTCTTGATGGCAGTGGCCATTTTCGTAAATTGTAATGGAGTGAAATATCAGTAGTTATCGGATACCAACTGGATACCAACTGGAAACCAACTGGAAAGCAACAGGAAAGAAAGCAGGAAAAAAAGTAATGGAGGTTAATATCAGAATATTGCATGTGCCTATGAGTCTAATGACGCTTTTGAACGCGGGACTTGGTTCACAAAAAAAAAAAAACGGGTCCAAAATGTGGAGGGGAGGGCTTTTGGCCATTATACCAAAAACCCCTGCAACTTTTGAATGTATCATTTGCACGCGATCGAGGTTTACACAACCGTCGTCTATCCCGTTTGGAATACCATGTTCTTCTACGTAGGTGCAATAGTAGGCTGTTTGGTATCAAAAAAAAAAAAAAAAGAGCAATAACATCTAGCGCCCCAAGTTCTATCCGACCTGTCAGCTATATCGAATCTCACGTGACTCGACACCGCGCGACTAAGCGCACAAGATGTTCTCAATGGAGGATGGGATGAATCTATCGGCTTCACACCGTCTTGTCAAAGCTGTCCATGACGGTCCGCTTTAAGCGTCAAACCCATTATGAGAACAATATTGTTGAATGCTCAGCAGCAATATCTATTTGAATATAAACATTTGTAGTTGCTGGAGAAAGCCGTCTGCTACACTAGCTCACACACCATCCTGGAGTGGTTGAAGGTGTTTGTCATGATCCATTAACCCTTTTGTCTCAGTGCATTATTGTATCATGTAGATGGGCTCACTCGCTGCACTGTTACAATCCAAATTGCTAATGTAGTTTACAGCCCACAGGGATAAATCGGACTGCTCGATTCCATCTGATGATGCGCCTCACCTGATGCAAAAGGACTTTTTGAAATGATTCAGTCATGGGATTTTTTCAAGATTGTTGCAAGCGGGTTTTTGATGGGATAATTCAAAAAGTATTTTATGGCCCTTCAAAAGCAATATATTAAATCAGTATCGAGATTTTTGTTAGAGCGTTTATAGAGATGTTGTTTGGCCACGATGAAGATTCGTATGTTTTGGGCAACCTCCATTTGTTTATTGATTGAACAACTCTTGACCTTGTAGATCACACTGACGTTTTCATGTGACTCACGGAAGGCGCATTTTTAGACCGCGGGCTTGGCAGGTTGAGGGGGGTTCCGTATATAAAAAAGAACTTGCACCCAGCAGCTCCCACTTTACTTTTTTTATTTTCAAACACATTCTCAATTCGAAAACGGTCAAAGAACAGACGAGTCCATCTCTTCAAGCCGCTTTCGTCGCAGTGCTTTGAAATACAAAAGTGGGTCAAATACAAAAGTGGGTCAAATACAAAAAGGTGGGTACATGTATCGCAAGTAATTAGGGATCAGTTGCTATCGGAGATGAAAGGGCCCTCCATATTGGGAACCGTTGAAGGAGCGTGAAAGATGCCATAATTATCCTATCACTGATGCGATTTTATCGACGGATGGTGTCGTCATTGCGTAAGCGTCGGCAAATGAGGGCGATCATGTGTCATCCCGTTCATTTGGGGGGGCGACTTGCCCCCCGGGCTCGTTTGCTGTTGAAAGCCTATTTTTTTTGTCTTGTCTTGTTTTTGCTTTGAAACCAGTTTGCCTTACATACGGGATTCTTTTTTAGAGTCTGTTATTTCGTGCGCACACCCCGGCTTTGTAGTGCCCTTTTTGAACAGCAAGAGCCTAAGCCGAACGAGCACACCGTTTGCCAAAAAAAAAGGCGTTCAAAAGCGTCCCTTCGTAAAGGACCGCCTATATCATCATGTCCACCCCTCACTCTCGCTCAAACCCCATTCCAATCCGTTCACAAGGATACTCAACCAATGGCCGAAACTACAGTTCATCCTCCTCAACCTCGTCCTCCGCCTCCTCTATAACAACACAGCCATCGCTCTACCACATTGACTTGACAGATAACATTACATACCTCGCTCAATTCGGCTCTGAGAAAGGATTTATATGGAATGAAGAGGTTTTGATTAAAAGTTCAAACCATGCGAGTTCGTTTGTGTCGTACGCGGTTAGCCCCAGTCGACTACGGGAGGAGAGAATAAAAAGGGAGGTCTTGGTGGATGAGATTCGGTTGGACGAGTGATTATAGTTGATGAGAGGAGAGATACATTGCTTGTGCTGCAGTGGTTGAGCAGGATAGTGTGGATGGGACAGCCGTTTGCGTATATCTGGGTGGTATTGTGTAGGTGTGGCATTGCTTGTTTTTGCCTCGGTTGACATTATCTGCTTCTTGGAAATCTGTTTTGCTTTTTTCAATATTTGATAACCATACATGATTTGTTTCAATTCCACTAAAAAATGCATCTCGGGATTTGGGCCACGTTGAAATATGGTCAGAATGTGGTACGACATTCTCCTGTTGAGATCCAGCTCCACGTACAGGTTAAATTGGGCGAAATAAATATAAGATTAACCGTAAACTTTCCAGGTACTCCATTCTCCTTAACCTAGCTGTAATACCAAAAAAAACGTACATTCACCTTTCGGCCAAAAAATTCTTTTAGCAATTGTTTCGTCAACCCCAGTCCCGTTCTGTCACTTCAGGACTAGAGTCTGTAGACTCTGAATTCAAACTCTTAAACTTTTTCCGTAATGCATGTGCTACAGATAGTTCAAAGACATTTTTTAGATGGAAAAAAAGCGGTATTGTAAAGCTCGATATCACACAACATGCTCACCTAGGACAGCCTCATGGTCTTGCTCGTCAGGCTCACGATCTGGATCTCGGGTTCTCATTATTGTCCCACCCGGTGATCTGCCAAAGAGATTCAGAAATCATGTGGGCGCTGAAGAACTATGATCGCAACTATACCTCATGACATTTGTTCTTCGTAATTTTACTTCCTTAATCTCTTCACATATTTTCCTCATCACGTGGTGGTTCATGTTGATGAAGCGGGGATCTCGAGCGGGAGAGGGCTAAAGTGAATGCATGCGTAAGTGCGGTGTTGGATATTACCACTATGAAGGGCAATACGTACGGCAGTTGATTTTTTAGAGGTTGACGATGGAATCTGCAGGTTTGAGGAATTTGGCGTGGGTAGGGGAGGGGGTGGTGGTGGTGGAGGAGGAGGTGGTGCAGGTAGGGCTGACACTGGTGCCTGGGCGGCAAGCACTCGTTCTAGCACTTCGATTTTTCGTTCCAAGGCCGCAATACGGTCGCTTTCACAATCTACAAATCAAAAGTTAGAACCAATCGTACCGATGAAATCACGGACGGCGAATCAAACTTACTTCGCGGTGAAACATCATTCTCGAGCTTTCTCCCACGTTTATTTTCCTTTTCAGACTCTGACAAGTCTAAACTTGACCGTCTCTTTACCTTCTTTGGTGGAGTCGTAAACAGTAACCCTCTCGGCTCTCCACCGTTGCCCAAGTCCTCATCCGTGTCAATGGAACTATCCGTGTCCTCACTCTTTTGCCCTGTCTCGTGCGTCAAGTACTCCAAAGCCAGCTCCGCCCGTCTCCTGCTTGCTGCTCCATTCACCTCTGGGCGCTTTTTGGTAATACCATCTCTCGGCACGCTTCGAAGAAGGTTTCGTGTTGACTGTGGTTTGTTGATGGCTCCAGGGGCGCGTTTTCGAGTAGCCTTTGTGCGAAGGACAGTGTCGAGGATACTGTTGACCTAATTAAAAAACATTGGTAAATACATCGCAATGCACACAAAGTGCAATGTCAACGTTTCTTCCGCGTACCCCTCGATATGCAGTATGCTTAACACCAGCTATCAGCCCTGAGAAGGACGAGAACATTGACCGTGGCTCAGCCTTGATGAGCTGCCCGCTAATCGGACGGAAAGGAGTGGGGCTTTTTGGAGACCGCGGGCCTTCATAGGTAGACTTGCCGTGTGGTGTTCCCATCTGGCTGCTAATTGGTAGGTTTCAACAATATCCCAAATTGGTCATCACCACAATCTGGATGCTCGAAAAAGCTCAAGTGCCAAAGTGCGCAGTGTCCGAAGGGCCACTTGGTCACGTGCGTAATATCACCGCTTTTGGGTCAATGACCATCTTGGGTATGCCCGAGCCCAAAGGTGAACCGTTTGCCACCGGTTTCGAGCAGCAGCAGTTGCTCTTCAAATGTCCAAGTTTTGTTTTTGAGCCGCTCGATTGCAATGTTTGTTTCGTTGGCGAAAATAGCCTGTTATGCATTGGGCGGGTATTCAACCTTTAAGACAGTGGAAGGTCGTCCAAACGTTGGGAAACGGCAGCGTTGGGCCTCATTCTGGATAACGCTTACGGTTTTCGAGGTGTGTTGTGACGACCCTTTTCCAGTGCAACATCGTCGAAACTTTGGTTGCTTAATGGTTCTCTTTTTTAACCTTACAGGTTATTGAACCCATATTAGATTGGACCATTTTCTGGTAAGTGATCTCTTGTCCACCTCGGCCGAGGGTCCCGCTCACTCGGAACCTTTTTAGGATTCCATTCTACTACAATGTGAAGTTGCTCTTCCTGCTTGCCTTATGCTATGGGCGAACAAAAACGACGATGCCCGTATTCAAAAAGGTCATCCATCCTGTTCTGTCCCACAAGCGAAAGCATATTGAGCATGTATGTAACCTGCCTGCTTGGAACATGGCGAGTTCATGCTGGTTAACGCTTTGATTTAGTACGAACGACGCATTACAGAATCGGTGACCATTGTGCACACTCGTGTTGTGACCATTGTTCGCCGTGTTACGGCTCGACTTCCGGTAATGTTAACCTCCCGTCCAGCTGCAGGGATCATCCGCGGCTTACACTTTTATTGATTGTAGCAGTTGCAAGGACCCTCAATCTCGGAACCTATCATTATCGAGGAGGATGACGCACATCCTTCTCAAGAGAATGATGTAAATGCAAGCGAGACCGCCAACTTTAACCAGCCAAAGACCGATGCCGCAGAGACAGCGGCAGTGGCGGCAGAAGTCGTGACCGAGAGGCAGGATGAAGGCGATGAGCTTGAAGAAAGACTGTACCCGAGTGTCGATGAAGCCAAGTTAGGTACGACACCTTCCCCACTGGTGCACCGGGATTCGGCGGTGGACGTGCGAGAAGACGTTTCCTCTAACAGTGTCGCTGCAGCCGAAGCGTCCGAAGCGTCAAGCACCACCACAACAACTGTAAGTGAAAAGACGGATCTGGACACTGCCCCAAAGGTGGATGCTCGACCTCCACTCCCGCGAAGCGTGACCTCCAAATTGCAGCGAAGTAGATCAGTAATCAATCGCGAGACGGAATCGGGTAGACTTGGACGGGGCATTCAGCGATCAGTTTCTACAACCAGATTGTCACCATCTGCCATGGAGAAAGTTTCTAAAATGAAGCAAGGAAAGGAAGATCCGAGTGGTGATGATGCAGATGTAGAAACAGCAGAATCTGGCGCAGAGAGTGAGCAGCAATCTAGTGTAACTCAACGGAGAACGACTCCAGTACGGGACGCCAAGGTAACAGCCAGCCGGACTAGAGGTGCAAGTTCAAGTTTGTCCCGAGCGACGAGGGGCAAGTCTGTTGAGCCCACTCGGAGAACGAGCCGCTCTGTCACAGTAAAAAAGGATTAGAATGGAATTATGCGAACTGTTGGGTTTTGAATATTTTGGCACATGTACATATAGATAGGAGTATCTAGGGATTTGGATTCTGCTGCTTGGATTTGGAAGCTGTAAGGAGATGATGCTATACTTGCATACAGAAATTTTCAATTTGTGGACAAGACAGCTGTACTGCGGATGAGCCCAAATAATGGGAGCAATGAGTCAGGTCCTGTGCGAAATGGAAAGAGCAGCGACAATGTAAAGACATAGTTTTGGAATATAATTGACTGGCTCACAGCATACTCTTGGACATGACATGTATGCAGACATGTTACAAGGAACTGTGTACAACGATTCACAACACAAACGTGGTTGCGTTGAACCTATTATATGGGGGAGCCAACCAGAGCTAAAAGCCAGAAACAGGAGCTCGCCAAAATAATAGATCCAGGCAACCAGGTTCAAGTTTTGTGATCAAGGATCTTGGATGTCAACGAGATGTGTGTTGGAGGTTGGGGGGGAAAGAGCGAACTGGTCGTCCTTTTATAACCCGCAGGACAGCATTCGTAAATGAGGGCCACCAGGGCCAATAATAAAAATAAAAAAAAGGAAAAACGACTCCCCCCCTTCAATTATCCCCCCCAGCCGTACAAAGGTGTTGAATGAATCTTCTACCCCTTTCAATCCAACCCCTGCAATTAGTGTGCCCAGTTGGCGCGCGTTTGGCTTCCGTGTCCAGAATGGATGATGTTTTTTTACCCTGGCACCGCCCGTTCCTCCCCCAGTCTCTTTTTGCAACGAGCACGAGTTGCGATCGTTCATAGAGGAGGACGAGAACATTGAGCTGTAGCGAGTGTTGGTGTTATTTGCATCGTACAGCTAACTGCGACGGCATCCGATCATATCCAGTCATGTGGGGATCATGTGTTTTGACAGATCACGCGATTAAAAGAGTCTTTTGAAAGGAGAGAGATGACAAGGAAGCACACATCCAACGCATTCTCCCCCCTTTATGACGCTGTCACTTAATAATCCTCCATGGCATTGGAAGGAGAAGGGGGAAGCTTACAAAACAAACGGCCACAGCCACTGCCGAGTGACATTTGTTCAAACTTACAACCTTCTGTACTTGGTGTGCGATGAAGCAGAGGATGCTGTAAAGACATGTCCAGGAGAAATTACGTGTGCATCCAGTTGAACATTTCCACTCTCTAATTGTAAATTCACAACATTTAGCAAAGTGACTCTTTTGTTAGGACAAAAAGTCCATTTAGGGGATGCGGTCAAAAAGGTCAGCTTAACAAGTAGGTTGCATTACACCTTGGTAAAAAGCTGTTGATGAAATGGGCACGTCCGCTGGGGGAGTTGTTGAGAAAGTTACTTTCAACTGTTGACGGCGTATGAAAGCAAAATAAAATAAAAAGCAATTCTTGTTTGTGGCAATCGGTCAAGTTGCCCTTTTAGAAAGCATAAAGAATTTAGCGCGCGCTATCCCATTTGCCATATTTCACACTTGCCATTTTCACACTCTTTTTCAGCCGTTTGGATTTTCATTGTGTCCACAAATGGGGGCAGAAGAAGAAAAAGTATATAAAATGGATATGCTTTAAAGAGCAGCCTCTTTTTCAGCGACCTTGCTCTCTCCAGTGGGAAAGAGTTTGGTTTCACTCCTCCTCCTCTTCCATTCCCCCCCAAGAACACAGGTTTTTGACCTCCAGAACCTTCTTCTTTTTATAAAATCCATAAAGGACCTCTAAATACACAGACTGCATTGTGTGTGTGTGTGTTGGACGTTTGGACTGTTGTCAGAGTTGTTGCTGTAGCAAAAGGACCTTGTTGGCCTTTTTTTTACCTCATCTTGCCATCAGGCTGGCCAGGACTCTCCCCATCCCATTGGGAATCTCTACGGCAACTGATTGCGAGCACTAAACTCGACAACGAAAACGCCTCGCTTTCTTTACTCTGCTCGCGTTTTTTAGTCCCGTTCCCACCTTTGGTTTTCGGCTTTGACGATTGGGACTTGCTCTTGTCCCATCTGGATTTTGGAGGTTTTCGTCAAAAGTAGTCTTGTCTAGTTTTCTGGTGAGTCTCTTATCACGTGTATGACAGTACCTGTAGCCTAGTGTGCTTTTGCTCAGTGAGCATCTTGGTGATCTCAAAAGTTTACAGCTTGGGGGGGGGGACCTGGTGTGAAAAGCCACGCTCCCGGAGAGATACGCTAAAAGACTCTTTTCTCCATCTAGTCATTTTTTTTTTTTTTTTTTGTTTTGAGTATTTGAATATCTGCATTGGATCAACATGGACGCTAGAAGCTCCTGGGGCAAATCCACACGACCTCCAACGACGAACCAATGGGGTCCCACTCCCCCTTCTTCTCCAGGCTCCAACTGGAACAATACCCCGCCGCAGAACCACAGCAGCGGTGGCTGGTCGTCTGCCTCTGCCACTACTAGCTGGTCGCAGCCTCCCCGTAGAGACGATGGATGGAACAGCGGAGCCTATGCCTCCGCCCCGCAACTGGACAACTCATATCGGGGACGAAACCGGGCAAATTCCTGGGGAAACGTCTATCAGTCCAGGAAAGATGACTGGGACGCTGTGCCTGGTTGGAGTAGTCGCCCCGAGAATACAAGTGGTTGGGCAGGTGCACAAACCGTCGGCACCACCGCCGTCATTAGCTCCTGGGCAACAGTCCCTCAGCCGGTCCCTCAGCCAGTCGCTCAGCAGCCTCCTGCTCAACGTTGGGGAGCTCCCCCTCCTACCGCACCGCCGCCGCAGCCCGGTTCATCTGGGTGGAGTCCGGCGGGTTGGGATCCTCTTCCCCCAGTAAAGCCTGTCGAAGCCCCCCAGCCAGCTACTGCCGGATGGGACGGCAGGAGACCCGCTGGATCGCACCAGAGGCAACGTTCCCAGCACAATAATTTCTCGTCAGTCCCTGCCCCCACAGCAGCACCTTCTGCTCCTGGAACGGATCGAGCTGTACATTTCAATAGGCCTGACGACGATGGTCATCGCGGGAAAGGCGCTCGACGTCCATCCGCATCGCGACAGGGCGGTCAGGGCAATTCGACTCATCGTACTAATGATGCTGCAAGTGGTCGACGTGATCTGCGGAAGGCAAAATCTGCTTTTGCATTGGCGGAACGTCCCAATCTGTACGTGGACGAGCCATCTGGCGATCGCCGTCATAATGGGCCACGCGGCTTCCACAATGACTCTCGTGATCAGCACGATCACAGAGGTAACAAGGAAAACCGCGGCTTCCGTTCGGACAAGAAGAGTAATGCTAATCTTAAAGGTCAGTCAGCGGAGGTTCTGAATATTGCATTATGACAAAGAATCAAACATTCAATAGGTTCGAAAGGTAACCCTGCCGAAACCTCAGAGATTAAAGCTGAGGATCCGAAAGTTGCGGACGAAGCCCGGCGCGGATTAGCTAAAGCCTCCAGCCGGCTCTTTAGTCGACAGGTGGAAGCCGTGAACAAGTCTCTTGGTGGTACTGGCGTTCCGAAATCTCCCGAGGAGATCCAGGAACAGAATGCAGTGGTTAGTAGCAGAGACTGAGCCGTTTCCTTCCTTTTTTCATTTGCTCATGTTGGAACATGTTGGATTAGCCAACACAGAGGAGGAAAAAGTCCACCCGTCACCTCAGGGATACATCTCGTACGGAGAAGGACAATTCCAAGGCCACTGGTGTTTACATTTACGGATTCCCCAAATGGGTCCGCGTTAGGGAGATCATTGAAGTGTTTGCCGAATTTGGTGCTATTGTAAATGGTTTGCATCAAACTCTTTCATGTTTTAATTATGGCCCCTCGATACTTATTGCTCCATCATTACAGTTGGTATTGTTGGACGACCTAAACGTCACCAGAGGGCATACGCGTACGTTGACTACGAAACACCAAACTCTGCTCAGAAAGCAGTAGAAGCGCTCAAGGAGAAGCACTTTTTTGAAATGATGCAACCACTGGAGCTTCGGTTGCATTTTGAAAAGGCAGATCGTAGTGTGTTGAGCAATGATTCTGGTACCAAGCCTGATTCGACATCCGCGAAGGCAAAGGATGACGCTTCTCCTGCTGGTGAAAATGTCACTGAGCCTGGTGCGGAAGGACCCGCCGCTGCCGATGTGCCTGCCAAATTAGACCTTCGCACGCTGCATCTTGGTAACATGCCGCTCAGCACAGACAAGGTACTGAGCATTGATTTGTTATCCTCGCTTTACAAGTCTCGTGCATTTCCTTACCATATCATATAATTGCAGGCGGAGCTCGACAAAGTCTTCTCCGCTTACGGAGAGATTAAGCGTCTTCACGTCGTGAACCGACCGCGTGAAAAGCGTGCCTATGCCTTTGTCTCCTTCCAAACTGAAGAGATTGCCAAAAGTGCATTTGAAGCCATCAAGAACCAGAAACTCTTTGGAATGTCTGAGCCCCTCAAAGTCGACTACGCACGCGTCATTGAAAAGAAAGAACGGCGCCAGCCGGTTGACAAACCATGGAAGAAGGGCGAAGCGCTTCAAAAGCTTGATCAGCACAGTGAACGAAAGCAGAAACAGCGACGTGAACGGGCCGCACGCAATGCCGTTCATGTGCGTGACGTTCCCGCGGATATGTCTGCGGAAGACTTTATGGCCAAATTTGCTGAACACGGTCCCGTCAAATCCCATTTGATCTTGAAAAAGCCCGATCATCAAGCTACTGTTGCATCTACCTATGCCCTGGTGGTGTTTGAGAATCCTGAGGATGCCGCCAAAGCTGTGGCCGCCAAGACCCTCGGTGCTGCCTTCCCTCGTCAGCGACGGATCCACGTTACCGATCTTCCTAAAACTGTGACGCAACAAGAGCTAAAGGAATTTTTCACCGGATGTGGTGACATGCAGCGTCTCGAAATTCTCCCCGCTAACACCGAGACCGATGAAACCGTGACTGCTGTTGTAGAGTTTGCCCGCGGAGACGGCGCCGCCAAGGCCATGGTCAAATGCCATGAAACCGTTCTCGCGTCTATTCAGAGGAAAGTAGCTGCTGTGTACGCTCCTGCTGCCAAACGGGACGCTGACAAAACGGATGACAAAACTGGACATGCCGGAAAGGAGGAAGATGTCGACGAAGAGGAGGATGAGGATGAGAAAAAGAACGTAAAGGATGAGGACCATGAAGATGAATCCTCTTCCTCAGACGATGAGGACGACGAAGACGAAGAAGAGATGAAACCTGTTGAAACTGGAACAAAGGGGGAAGAACCCGTCGAGCACCCCAAAGTTATTACCGAGGGTGTGACTAAAGAAACGGAAAATGGAGTTTCTGGCTCGGTAGATACTCTTACCGAACCTTCCAGCGAAACCGGTTTAACCGTCAAAGAGGAACCTGCCCACCTTGACGTGCAAGTGGCCTCGGCACCGAAAGAAGCCGAAGGACTACCCGTTATCGAAAATATCGCCGCAGCTGCTGTTGAACCCGTTGCGGAACCATTTGCTGAACTGGTCGCTGAGGCTGTCGCCGAACTTGTCGCCGAGCCTGTCGCCGAGCCTGTCGCTCTGCCTGTTGCTGAACCTGCAGCCGCAACTGTCGCCGAACCTGTCGCCGACCCAGTTGTTGAACCAGTTGTTGAACCAGTTGCTGAACCAGTCGCTGAGCCTGTTGCTCAACCAGTTGCTGAGCCTGCTACCGAGCATGCTACGGAGCCTGCTGCCGAACCTGTTACCCAGCATGTTACCAAACCCGTGGTTGAACCTATTGCTGACACCAAGGCAACGGATCCCGTCCTGAACGATCTGCCCACCCAAAATGCAGATATTCCCCACGACAACTCCGTACAAGACCCCGCCTCGTCTGACGATGCCACTGCCAACATTAATGAGCCAAAAGGTTCCGAGGCAACTCCTGCGGTAACAGAACCCCGTGCCGTTGACCTGTAGATCAGGAAATGGTGCCAAAATTACAATGATTCGCAAAGGAATTGTTGTGGTTTGAACGCTTTTAACCAGCTCCTACTAGTGTAATCACTCGTACCTGGTCCTTTATTTTTTTTTTTTTTTGCTATTTCCCAATCATTTTTTTTTGTGTGTGTGTGTGTTTTTGGGTGTCATTTATGGTTTTGTGTTTTATCCATCATATCCCGTCGCTTTATTTTTTGTTCACTTGGCATTTTTTTTTTTTTGATATCGTGTTGGGGGCAGACATGTTTTGCGGTACCTTCTTTTGTTTGATTTGGTTTGCATTTGTGGGGCCCATATTGAGTGTAGCTAGCATTTGTTTTTTTTTTTATATAAAATTGGTAGGAAAGTTCCAAAAAGTTTTGATTTTTTTTTATTTGAGTTTTGTGTTGTGGGTTTGTTTGCAGGATGTGGGAACACGATTGTCAATCACAACGGTAAAAAGGAAAATCGAATCAGTCAACGTATGGCCATACTCTTGCGGCATCAGCCATTGGAAATACCAATGAACAAATGCGTTAGGTCTATAACGTAAAGGTACCCTTTCCACATTGCTCACCACATGGCGCAAAAAACCCTCTAGTTCATACTTTGTATGCAAAGTGATATACTGAAACTACTCCATCACGGTTACCATACAACATCCTCAACATCCTCATCCCAGATCTGAACCGTGTTGACACGATGGATAGGTGTTGTTGTTCACAATCTTGGTCAGAGTACCCTGCATGCGGCAATGTCAGTCAACCCTGCAAATACGTGCTGTATAAAGTATAGCATTTTTGCATGTGCATTATCGAGTGTGCATTCGTGAAAGGTCTCATCCGCCCATGTTTTGATTGGCGGGCAAACCATTGCAGTAAGCAGATGGCTGTGTAGACCCAGAACACCATCCCAAAAAACTACACACGGGATAGAATTGGATGGTCCACACTGTATCAAAAACCCCGTACTCCAGTTCCACAAGGAACATTCACAAAACCACATAAAACAAAACAAAATAAAAGTTGTATTATACCACACTAGACAATATACCAAAAGATCCAGTATCCCAAAAATCTTCAACGCTTTTTTCAAAAGACTCATCGTCAAAGTTCCACCATCCACCATCAACGCTTCAACGCACTCGCCGTACAAACATGTTTATGACCAACACCCTCATTCGGGGATTCCTCATGACAGACGGGGATACTCTTGAACCATTCGTCCTCCAAGAGTTCCTTGATGGTGACACGTTTAGCGGGGTTAGGCTCCAGAATGCGGTACTGTCCGATTAAATGAGTCAAATTTGTCTCAACACTACATCGATAAAAAGAGGGGACGTACCATCAATCGACGTGGTCCCGGGGGTAAGCGATCTAGTGGCCAGAATTTCCCCTTGTTCTCGAGAAAGTGCTTGTAGCGGGGGTCGCTCGGTACAGCGGCTTTCCAGGGTATAGAGTTATAGATCATAACATAGCTATTCCAGGGAGCGGTGAGTATCGGCCGGTTGTGGACAATGGCAATGCATAATGGATACATACTAGATGATACCAATGGACCAGACATCCACAAGCTCTGAATCATATTCGCTTGTTTCAAATTCCTGTCAAGATTACATGCATAAGAGATTGCTCAGACCAAAAGTAGGTGTGGCCAACATACCTCGGGAGCAATGTACGGTCCGGACCCACACAACCCTTTAGCTTTCCGGGTGAGACTACAGAAAGGTGTACGGAAGACTTCCGAGACGCCGAAATCAGTAATCTTGAGGATCCGTCCAGACTTATCCAAAAGGAGATTTTCTAAAAGTGGCCAGTGAGACACTGCTCTGGGTCAAGAAATGCTGCATCATAACAAACATACCAGGTTTCAGATCACGATGGGCGACACCCATAGAGTGCAAGTACGCGACACCTTGCACGAGCTGTTTGAAGTAACTATCCAAGCAAGAATGTTACTCTCAACTATAGGTACGACGTAATCAATCAAAAGGCACGTACCAATTAACCTCTATAACGTCCTTCAGAGACCCACAGTGAATCCGTCCAAACAAGTCGCCCCCTGCACAGTACTCCATCACGACACACCAATGCCGTTTCTAGAGAAACGGGAAGCGCCGAGAGTGGAGTAACACGTGAGCAAAATACACGAAAAGGACGAGTATTGTGCAGAGACGAGGGCAACAGTATGCAAAGGGGGAGGTAAGGTGCAGTAGGCCCAACACTCTACCTCGTCTTGAATCAAGTCCACAGTAGTCACAACGTTCTCATGATGGAGTGTAGAACTGATACAGAATTCGGCAACGAGCTTTTTCACATACTCTTTCTGCCAAGCACACAGCACACCTTGATCAGAAGACGTCACGAATGCAAAGGCGGGATGGTAAACAGACCTGCGTCTCATTCTTGCGGCGCTTACGAAACTCTTTGATGGCGAGCTTCTTTTCCTTATTGTCGGCAGGACAACACAAGCGAACGACCGCATTCGCACCTCTACCAAGAATCTCTTCCTTGCGTCCGTATTTGGTGAGCGAGTTCTCAGACAAGGACCTCATCATGGCCGGCTTGTCATCCGCACCGGGGCTAGGAGGACCTGCGGTACGAGCATGACTTTCGGCGGCTTTCCCAGCGACAGCATGCTTCTTTTGTCGCGCATGCATAATGAGATCCTTGAACAGATTGTGAGAATGTTCAACTTTGGTTTCCACTTCCGAGTCACTGCTCTTGCTACTGTCGTCAGAGCTGTACTCGAGCGGGGCAGCGACGGGATTGATGCCAGGGCTCGTAGGCGCAGATTGACTCTTGGGCTTCCTACCACCGTGAAGCAGGTCGTAAAAGATGTTGGACTTTGATGTCGAACGCTTGGGTTGAGCCGGTTCAGGCTCTGTCTCGGAGCCACTACCCTCAGTATCCGACGCTCCCTTGAACATGGAAGGACCGCGGTGTTTGGGCTTTTCCTTGGTCGAGACACTGCGACGGGTCAAATCATTAAGTTCCACTTTGCGCATTGCTTCCGTGAGACTGTTCTGTCGACGACGTGGGCGTCCAAAGAATCCTTCCGTATCAGACTCATCCGAGTGTTCACCTTCGGACTCTGCCTCACTGCCACTGCCATAGGACCGGCGCGAACGACCAAAGACAGGCTCTCCGTCGGATTCCCCCGGATGGAAGATGCGGTATAGAATATTACGACGAGGCGGGACTGGAAAGGTGATGCTACTAGGTGAAGGAGGTCGCCTGTACGTCATACATGTCAGATCCACGAAGAATAACAATGTCAACACTGTGAGTACTCACCCCTTATCGTCAGCCACACCGGACACGGTCGATGCTCCCGAGACTGAGCCATTACTACTGCTCACTGGGGCTGGCGGAGGTCTACCAGCCGCACCGCTTGGATTTCTCGATGGTGCCTTGTGAGACGCCACAGATGATTGTCTGGAGGCCACGCTGGGATGCCTGTGCGTGGGCTTTTCTACCAAACCAGGCGTCCAAATTTCAGTTGCGAATGTAGCCATCTTTGTTTCTTGTGTTATAAGACTGGAATATAATGTCAGCTCAAATGTCTTTCACGCCAAATCTCCACAAAACTTTGACTGCTCACCTTGAACTTGTTCACTCCCGTGCTAATTTACAAAAAGAATATCAAAGGTATATGTGCTTACTGTGTACTACGTTTGCTTCTTGATTGATTTATACTTTCACACACTATATTACAACGTTGACTGCCAGGACCGTTTAGCTCCCCAGCACAGCGCAGGCCAAAGAACCGATTTCGCCGAGAAGGAATGTTGGAAAAAGAGGACTTTGAAAAATCACCGACCAACGAAAAAGAAGAGGCTTCTGGGATCGGAGTTTTTGATAGCTATACAATGAAATTCTCTCCAGAACAGAATTGCACAAGCAAGCTCGGAAGAAGGAGCAACAAAAATACGATGCCGTCACCGGAAGGGCTGGTCGCTTCTATATTCGGGAACGACCGACTCTTTCCCTGTCGCGCAATTCAACCTCTCGACTTTTGCGAATGTTAATCAAAACGTTTTTGCAGTGCGGTGGATAGAACGACATTTGACAAAAGTTGATGAACCCAATGCTGGGGGGATGTTTTGTGTTTTTCTTCCCGTCGTTTTGTAACGAAGGGCAGCGGCCTCTTTACAAAAGGGATTATAACGGACCTTTGGAAGGGCTATACATTGAACATTTTATAGACTCTCACGTGAATTGCCAAGTTCTTAGGAATTTGATGTTATCACCGCGTATTTCCTGACGGTTTTCAGGTGAACATTCAATATTGCGCCACGTCAGGCGATTATGTCATTGGCACTGCGCCTCATACAAGTGTTCCGCTGGGACGACGTTTCAATGTGGATTTTTGTTCAGTTTTGCTTATGCGGGGGGACCTATGGATTTTACTCCAGCCCACTCCGCCAACGCACTTTTCGCGCAGTCTCCGAATGCTCCGTTTTATGGAACAGGGCGTTAGATTTCTGGTGGGGGGCAGCGTAACCCTTTCCCACTCTTCGCAGAGGAGGAATGGGGCAGGGACCAGAGCATGAAGAAGACAAGGACCCTTTCGTACGTCCACGACATCCACTACGAGCAGGTGATCGTGGTGTATGGAACAAAAGAGGTCTCAGGAAACAAATTGGACTACAAGGTCCTTTTTCATCTCGGATCCACCTATTCCCGGTGCAGCAGAATAAAGAATTGGGTGGCTATTCGACAGGATGCTAATTGGGCCGTATGGCAGTAAACGATAAGGCCTTGCAATCTAACTCTAGGGCATTTTCCAGTACATGCTATTGATGTGAACAAGCAAATGCAACGCTTGCTAACCGAGTCCATTACCATGTCGGATCCACCGGTACCCAGTGCATCAGAATAATAAACTTTGTTGCTATTTGACAGGATGAGAGTTCATATGCCCATAATCAGATTCTTTTGCAATGCATGCTTTTGGACATTCAAAAATGAACTTTTGCTACTTTGTCCCTTGAAAGTGTTTACTGCCTTCCAGAACAGCCTTTCGAAGGTCAAGTGACATTATCCATCAGACAAAACATTTAAGGCCTTTTTAACAAAGGATTTTTGCCCATCCAATCCAATCCTACACAAAAGAGTTAAGCCAGACGAATACAAGAAAGAACCATTGGCGATCCCAACAAACTTAAGAGAACCCACAAAAAAAAAAAAAAAAGACTCGATAACCCAACGCGTGTTTCATCGAGTAATCAAAAAGCCCCCAAAACCGCTGTAAAAGGCGACGCAGCCATTACATTCTTGTCAGCATCTTGATGGCCACCATTCGGTATGTCCTCCTCAGAATTCCTAACACCGCAAGGCAGTCCCACGACCACACCCCGCACATCCCGAACCCAATACGCAGCCCTCCCAGATGATGAAGAAGCAGATTCGGATCACCTATCGGATAATGTCCTAGACGAAGCGAGACCGACGGGAACGTTTGGATCATCTTGTGTGAATATTTGTAATACGATATTAGGGTCTGGGATGTTGGCTATGGTGTGTATCATTTTACATTCCTTTATTCAACTGAAAATGTTACGTTTTGCTGAACGTTCTTCAATGGGGTAGCCTTCGGCTATTGCAGGTGTTGGTCTCGGCCTTGGAATCATACTTATTGGACTCTCGGGGGCGGCATCGGCGTTTGGTTTAATCTTGTTGACACGGGTTGCAGCTCAAGTGGGGAGGAGTTCGTCGTTTAATGCATGTGCAAAACGGACATACCCGAATGCGGCAGTGTTTTTCGATGTGGCGATTGCGGTCAAGTGTTTTGGGGTGTCGGTTTCGTATTTGGTTATTTGTGGGGATTTGGTGAGTTTCTTTTGTGTGTGTGTGCATTGCAGTCTGTATTCATGCTGCTTCTTTTATTCCTATCTAGTTACCAAAGGTGGTTGAAGGCTTTGCACCAGGGACACCACAAGACTCTATACTCCGCACCAAACTCTTTTGGATATCTCTTTCTCTCCTCCTCGTCTCCCCCTTTTGTTTCCTCTCCCGTCTCGATTCCCTTCGATACACATCCGCCTTTGCCCTCCTCTCCGTCGTATACCTCCTCCTCATTGTCGTGTATTATTTCCTGGCGCCTACAAACGACATGCCACCACATGTACCTTGGGGGGATGTGAGGTGGTTTAAGGTGGATACAGCTTTTTTTGGGTATTTGCCGATTTTTGTGTTTGCGTTTACGTGTCATCAGAATGTGAGTATGGCATGTTGGACATGACGTGTACGTCGCAGTGTTATTTACGATTTTTGTAGATTTTCGCAGTATACAATGAACTCGACGATAATCGTCCCCAACGCATCACAGGCGTCATCTTGACATCCGTCGGGACAGCCTTTTCCGTGTACGAAACGATTGGCATATTGGGATACCTTACATTTGGAAACGAAGTAGCATCCAATATCATTGGCCAATGTAAACGTTTTTACCACTCATGTTTTCCCACTTGGTTAGTCTTTATTCACTCTTGACATATTACAGACCCACCCAGCCCATTTATCACCGGCGGCCAACTCGCCATCGCCCTCCTCGTCCTCCTATCCTACCCCCTCCAATGCCACCCCTGCCGCGCCTCTCTAGAAAAAATCCTAACCCACATCCGAAAGCCAGAAACAGAGGACCTATCATGGACGAAATGGGTAGGCATGACGGTGGTGATTATGGTAGGGAGTTTTGGGGCGGCTGTGCTGTTAAAGAATCTTGCAACGGTACGTATTCCACTGTTTGTTGGTCCTTTTTTGCGGGGTATTGATTTGATTTTGATAGGTTTTGGCCTATGTGGGCGCAACGGGTTCAACAACCATCTGCTACATCCTCCCCGGAATCTTTTATTACAAATTAACGGAAAATACACCATGGAATGCAACAAGGGTCGGTGCAGTCCTTCTTGCATTCACAGGATGCGTGATCATGGCGACGAGTTTGGGGAGTTTGATGGTTGGAGGTGGAGCTGGGCACTAAAAAAACGTCATGGTGGCATGATGTGCATGGCTATACAAGTGGGAAGGGAAATAGAAATAATATAACTGCAATGATGGAATTTTTACTGTAAGAGAAACAGTTTACAGGGATACGAGAAAATCTTAGCAAAAAAGCAACATTGTATTAAAAATAAACAAATGCGAATCGTTCTTTTTTGTCTACAGAAATGCTACTCGATGCGATACATTGTGAAGATAACACAGTCGGCACACGGATAGAACCGATAAAACAATGCCAAGCAAAAAAACGTTTTTAGCAAAAAACCCAAAACCCCTTGATAGTAACTGCACATTACATACACTTTACAAAAAAAAAAAAAAGAAAGCTTTTACAAAACCCCCAAATCCACAAACGCACAAAATACAAATTTCAAAAAGTCTCAAAAGCAAAAAGCCCCTGCAAAGAATCTTCCAAATCCTCCATCCCACCACTTGCACCAAGACCTCGTTTCCCCCCATCACCCGCCCCTTCACCCGGTTCACCACCGAACCCATCACACTCACCCAAAATATCCGAAAAATCAAAAGACCCACCAACAAAAGATCCCATCTCCATTTCAAGTGCTTGTTGGAGCAAGGTAGGTGACGTGGGAGTTTGATCCAATTCCGTCAAGAGTTGGTCCAAATCTGTTGGTGGGTCGGTTGGGAAGGGGGATGTGAGGAGGGTGGACCAGTCTAGTGCTTCCGTAAGAGGTTCCGTAGGTGGCTCCGTAGATAGTTCTGTAGTTGATTCCGTTATGGATTCAGTGGGTAGTTCTGTCGTTGATTCCGTAGGCGGTTCCGTATGTGATGTGTATGATTCAGTGGGGAGGTCAGTGGGGAGGTCAGTGGAAGGTTCAGCACGAACAAAACTATCAAAAATAGCTGTCCAGTCTTGTTGGTCCAATTCAAATGTTGGTTCCTTTGGACTCGCAAGGGGTGAACTCAACAAACTAATCACGGTGTCGTCTTTTCGGCGTTTAGAACGTGGCGTGTGATCGACTGTCGTGGCCTTGCGTTTTCGTGGACGAAGGGACTTGTGTGTGTTATCGACAAAGGTCCAATCGCTTTCACGGGAAGTCGCATCAGATGTGAGTTCATGGCTGATATCGGGGGTGGTTAGATCGGAGGGGGAAAAGAGCTCGGAGACTGTGGTGGGTTTGGTCGGTGTGTCAAGGACGATGGATGTGGGCGGTCGGGGTGGGCTGTCAAGCAAGATTACTGCGGAGGGTTTCGAGGGTTTGGGGGTAGGGCTGGAGACAAGGATGGGATCTGAGGGTCGTGGGGGACTGTCGAGATTGATGGGAGACAATGCTGTGCGATGGGTCGGTGCCGGTGGTGGGACAGGCTTCACAGCGCGTGGAGGTTTCCGCGGTGGAGAATCCAGTACAAGCATTTTAGGAGAGACACCAGACATACTGGTGGGTTTCAAGGAAGGACTCGTGGCAGGTGACATGCTCCGCTCCAGTGACCTCGGACTCGTCTTTTTCGCCGCACGTCGATTCTGGAACCAAACCTGAACCTGCCGCTCCGCCATGCCCAATCGTTCCGCCAAGGCCCTTTTCTCGTCCCTAGTGGGTATTTCGGTGTGGGTAAAGAATTCATTGAGGATGGACAGTTGCTCCTTTGTGGTCCGAAAGCGACGTCGGACCACTCGCTTGTTGTAGCCTTGAATAAAGACCAGTTTGCGTTTTGAGCGGTGTGGGGAGACCGCTGGTGATGTCATCAGTACGATGGAATAACCAAATATGAAATAGGCTGAATTGTACCTCTTGCGGGACTGCTAGCCCGACTACAGGCACTTGAACTCTTTTGAGGGCACTCCGTGGCTCCTGCAGCTGATGAGCTATAAACTACCAAAAAGACAAAAAAACAAAATACAGCCAAAAACACACCTATATTGGCCTCGCCATTAACAACAGAAAAAGGTGCTCGACCCGAAAGCGGCTCACGACCACGCTCGACACTTTGACCTACAAAAAATGCATATGAGCCATTATCCTAAACACTGTTCCATGTTTGCTCATACCCTCTTTACCAGTATGCACACGGTTCTCTACTACCAACAAAGTAGGATTTAACAGCAGCACACGTACATGATGCAAATAGCACCACACTCACCTCTATTCTCGTCCATGATTTTCTTTACAATGCTAGCTTGATGAACATGAGTGAATGCCTATGATAAAAGTCAGCAAAACAGCAACAATCAAGAACAAACACCACATGACCATTACCCAACAAACCAAAAAACACAAACAACGGAAACGAAAACACGTCCGAGATGAAAGCAACCGTTTTGCGCGTGCATGAAAACCTCAACGACGACCAGCCAACGCGCGGAGGTCGGCATTCCAATGAGCAAATGTGGATGGAGTGTGGGCGTGTCCGAATGCGTGTCCGAATGTCCGATGGGGTGTGACATCAGCGTATGACATCAGCTATGGGAACTGTCCGCAATCTTCCTACAAGGAAACGACAAGCATTGGCTACCAATAGCAGCGTCTAGAAACCTGACAGCTGCGATCATTGCTGCTGCCTTACGCATCTGTCGCCATATTACGTATTCCGTAAACAAAAAAGAATGTGCCTAGAGTCCAGACGGCATGCATATCAAGGGAACTGCATGCATGTACATGACGTTTTCCCCTATCATCAATTTGAGAATCATGTTCTAACTCTATGGAAACTCTCACCACAATGGTCTTTATGATCACTTTTGAAAATACAAATTGAAAGCAAGATATAACCCAGCGCTCGTTCCTTCCCTTAAACAACCCGTTTCTGCATAAACCAGCAAATTACCCAAAATACTGAATGATTAACAGGGCAAAATCCATACAAACACAATAATATAATTAACTGAAACGTCTCCAAATGGGCAATACTGCACCGCGCGTACAGATCCCTACGGCATGTCCTGAATGCCCCACATATCCCCTTATATCATAAAAGCCATGGAGAATCCCATGTAGAATCACATACCACATTCCAATCCGTCACCGATATGAAGAGAAACTTAAGGACATGTCATCCGTGTTAGAGACGGATATTGACAAGACATTGCTATACACAAGTGTACATATCATCATAATCTCATATCCAAACCCACAAATCACAAAAACGCTCACTGTCAAAAACCCCCCATCAGAAAAAAAAAAAGAACACTTATAGGAAATGACGCAACAAGCATACGCTGACATGTGAAAAATACGCGCAAGTTGATGATGTCATGTCCGAGTGGAGATCGTTACTGGAGGAGGGTTATAAAAGGAAGACGAATGTGTCGTCAAGGGCATTTCAACATTGAATCCAGTCTTTTAAAGAAACTATCCTAAAAGAGTCTTTCTGAGAAAACACAACAAGAAAAATGTCGAGCAACCAGGTAAGCAAATCATCATGTCATCACAATAAACAACAAGAAACTCACATAAAAAAACAGAGCGCAACCGAAAAAGCCCAAAACCTGGCATCCCAAACCTACGCCAAAGCCGTCGAAACGGGCCAATCCGCCAAATCCACCGCCCAAGAAACGATCGAAACAACCGCAGACCGTGTCCAAAACTCTAGTGCAAAAGCAGCTTACGACCGTGCTTCGAACCGCGCATACGAAGCCACAGAAGCCGTTACAGAAAAAGCCGGTCAAGCAGCCCAGAAAGCTAAAGAAGGTGTTCAAGAGACTGCTAGGCCCTTCCAGGGGGCAACGGGAACATTGGCGTCGCATGCCGGACAAGCTTACAATGAGGCCGCCGAGCACCCCACTGCTGGGATTTCCAAAGTCGCTGATTCGGCTGTGGGATTGACGGCTCAAGCTATCGATACTGGTGTGCAAGCTACCGCTGCTACCGTTGGGAGTGCAAGGGGAGTTGCTGGGACTGTGGTGGGAGCTGCCGCGGATGTGGCGGGTAAGGTTGTGAATACGGCTGCCAATGTTGCTGGGGCTGCTGTTGGGGCTGGGGTTGGTGTCACGAGTGCAACGTTTGATGCTGCCAAGAATGTTGTCGGGTTGGGTGGAAAGAAGGAGGAAGGGGAGGAAAAGCATTAGGTGTGCTGGCCAGGAATGGGATTTAGGTATATTTTGATGGTGGTGGCATATTTGGTTTAGGAGTATACGTATGGTGTGAGAAGTAGCGTGGTTCAACGATTCTAATTGCCAGGTGTGTGGTGCGTTTGTAAATACATATTTTGCAGTATCCGCTTTTGTGTGTTTTTCCCTTTTGCATCATATGTTTTTTTCCAATACTGAATCGGCTCAGGCAAGGTTAACTCGTTTCCGGTTCTTATGATCTCGCCCTTGTCACTCTGGCAGCAACGAATTCACCAAAACTGTGCGCTGTGCCCTTGCAAGTCACAGACTTTTTCAAGACATTCCATTACTCAACAGTTTAAACCCCTTCATCTAGTCATAAAGTGTATATTGAAAACCCGTCCTCCCAGACTACATGTGTTATATGAGGCGGACCAAGCCATATTTGCTGTTACGCTATATCCCCCCTCCCTCTCGAAAAGCAAATCTACACCGTTTAATAAATAGTTGTTCTTGCAAAGCAATACCACGGGTATCTTTGCATGTCGCTAAATAAATAAGCATCGACCAAAGAGGCGCTCTACATTGAATAACCACCCGAACATTTGTTAATTCACCCAACTCGCTTCCTTTTCCGAAACCAGCATCACACTGACAACCGTCTCCTTGAATTCCTGGGTTTTACGCCGCGAGTATACACACCACACTCCGACGAGCAAGCCAGAAAGTGCCAAAAGAAGGGCATAGGCACCCAAAGGCGTCTCCTTGATCCACCGTCCAATCAAGACAAACAATTGTGCATCGCCTTGATGCCACGATGAGGCGCCAAGATGGGTAAACAATGGCGTCTCTGCCCGGCCGTTCACTCGATTACGTTCCCCACCGAGGACTTTGGTATCAATGGAACGCTGCGGGTAGAGTGTGTGCAAGGCGGAGAGGTACATGCACCCCGTTGAAAACATGACTGTTGGGTACGAAGAAAAAAAGTAGTGGTTGAATGTGGGGAGGTTTTGGACGAGGATGGACGTAAAGGGGTGGTGTGGGGTGGAGAGGATGATGGAATTGGAGAGCCCGACGGGGTGGGCTGAGGGAGTTACAAAGGGGAGTTTGCGGAGAGGATCTAGAGGCCGTTTGCAGTAGAGGTCCATGTCAAGGTATGCGCCGCCATAGGTGTAAAGGGCCAGGTATCGAATCGAATCGGCTTTCTGAATCGTGTAGGGATAGTTGAGCCAAGTCTCGAGGAACCACGGATATTCTTTGGCAATGAATTCTTGAGCATTGACGTCGTTCCAGGTCATAAAGGTGTAATCTGGGTGAATGGCCCGACAGGCTTGGGAAGCGTCTAGCCATTTTTGGGGCGGTGGGCCGGACATGCCGATCGTAACTTGGTGAATGATGGGAGGGATGAGGAAAGAGTCATTGTTTTGAGGGCCCCATGCGAGGGATTCGGTTGTTTGCTGGATATGCAGACGGGCTTCAAGGCGATCAGCGGGCGAGGCCGAGGTGTTTGATGCAGTGATGCGAGCTGAGATGAGGGCGGAGATATCAATGTTGGGGGGAGGAGGGAGTCCTTCCAAGTCGAGGGTGAAGCCGTCATTGTTTGTACCGACGTAGTTGACGGATCCGATGCGGAGAGACCAAGTGAGGAAGCAGTGCATAATGACGATGAATGCGTACAGCCATGACCGGAAGAGGATGCCGGTGGTTGTGATGGCGGCGAGGTACCCATACCGAGGACGAAAGCGCTGTGGCGAGACAGCAAACAGACGCATGGTGTGTCGCGCAACTACCTGAGTTGAACTTTGCAATGTTCTTTCTTGAAAAGCAAACCGACGACCCTAATTGTCCTACTCGCCAAAAAAAAAAAGAAAGTTTAAAAAAAGTTGAAAAAAACGTCAACACTTTCCACCATCGTCTTTTTGTTCTCCGACTGTCGGCACAACTGCAAACCCACTAGGTGATCGGCATGACTTGTCCCATCAACAAAAACCTTCTTTTTATCCGTAATACCACCAACTGACCGTCCCCATCAAAAAAAAGAAACTTTTGTCAAAACCAACTGCAGTTCCCATTACACATCCATAGGATCCCATGTCCTGATTTAACCCTTTGCTAAAAGACCAGCCAATGAAAATGCCTCCCAAATGAATTTCAACCTACCGTGCCAAAAGAGACTTGTAAGATGAACATGCAGTCCGTTACTGTTGCTATTCGTCTGTCCCCATGGGAATATTCCCATACAAACATCCCAAATACTTAAATATATTCTATAAATAATATGAAACTTTAACTTTAATCTTGTGAATCATCCGCGCATTTCTAAAACAAGGGACGGGTAAATTATTGTTCATTCTGTCTCTTGGCATGGATTTTTGATAATAGACAGAGAGAATAGACATGGATGGTATAGACACACACATGATTTTTATTCGCTTGGCGTTCCCATTTGGATCCAACTGCTACTAGTAGATATATCATTGACATGTATCTGAGTTGTTTCAGGAAATGTAGGAACAGATGGCAAATCACAAACAGACCCTTAAAGTGCACGTCGCTTGTTTGTTGCGCCAAGAGGTGTAGGCAGGACATGATTTCGTATGCAACAATGACATCTCGCAACAAGATTGAAAAAGAGAATTCTGCAGGCTTGAAAATTCCCAAAAAGCAGAAAAATGTTCAGCGAGTTTGTCTCAGGGCACCCTGTGAGATTCGAACTCACGCGGCTTTCGAAATTGGACTTCCAGACCAACTCCCTAACTGCTTCCGACAAAGGTGCTGCACAGAAAATGAGCAGTACGCAACCTTGTAGCTCTTTTAGCATGAACACAGCCGGGGCAAGGCTACGTACACACGCCTCCAAGAGTGCAGGCAGGATGATAATATCAGCCAGACTATTATGCACCCTGTGAAATTCTCACGCGGCTTTCGAAACTAGCCCAGCTTAAGGACCGCTTCCGACAAAGATGCTATTGAAAATATTCAGATATGAGAACGGCCCGACAGGCAGAGGCAAGCCATACGTAGGTACGTATACACGCCGCCAAGAGTCAGCGCAGGCAGGATTATCTCGTATGCGACAATGAGATTCGCCACAAGATTGTAAAGAGGATTCTGCACGCTTGAGAATACCCAAAAAAGCAAAAAGTTCTGAAGGCACTGTCAACAAAGCACCCTGTGAGATTCGAACTCACGCGGCTTTGGAAATTGGACTTTTAGACCAACTTCTTCACCGCTTCCGACAAAGGTGCTATTTAAAATGCGGCGAAGCTTTATCTGTTTTAGTATGAACTGCCCGAAAGGCAAGGGCAAACCGATGTACGCACGCCACCAAGAGTGTAGGCAGGATGATGAGACATTGTCTCGTATGCAACAATGAGGATCGCAACAAGATGGAAAAGAGAGTTCTGAAAGCTTGAGTATACCCCACAAGCAAAAAGATTGCATTAAGACCACCGTTTATGCACTCTGTGAGTTTCGAACTCACGCGGCTAAGGAGGCTGGACTTTCAGCCCAACTCCTTAACCCCTTCGGACAAAGGTGCTACACAATGTGAAACATTCGTTTACTTCAAATCATAATTAATGCTGTCGGGCACGCACGGGCAAGCCTAGATATACCCGCCGGCCAAGAGTGCGGGGCGGGCAGGATCATCTCGTATGGAACAATGAGAGTCGCAACAAGATTCAAAAAGAGACTCTTAACGCGTTCGATACCTCACAAGCAAAAAGTCGAGGCGCATGTTCTGAACGCACCCCGTGAGATTCAAACTCACACGGCTTTCGGAGACTGGACTTTAAGACGAACTCCTTAACCGCTCCGACAAAGGTGCTATACTAACCACACAGCTCGTCTTTTACCCTTAACAATCTCTTCTTCTCCCCCAACCCATCCATCCAACGTCAGTTTCAACTGGCCATACACAACGCCTCTCTGAATTCAAAATGTTTGCTTCTTTAGGTATGGGAGTCGTGGCTGTTATATGGACTTGCAAAACTGAAAATATCTGAGGACCACGTTTGAGCGGCCTCAAAAAGTGATAAATCCCGATTGTTACATAGTCGCACAGATCAAGAGGGAAGGAGAATACTACAGCGTTAGAGTACGTCCAGTGTATGGTTGGTCGCCTCTTTGCACTTATTTCTGATCGTTGTTTAATATCTGCAATCCTGACGTCCTCCTCAGGCTCCTCAGAATGATGGTAAACCACATTGCCAAGGTTAGCCATTGGGTAGACCCACCCTGATTCCGGGCATTTACGTGAGTACAAGTAAACGAGGTTATGTGACATGGCGGTTGAGAACGTAAATACACGCGGATGTCATGCGGCTGAGGAGGATGACGGGGCTTGTCAGTCTTTGGGCATATCCCATGTGTTTTCAAGAAATTCTGGCTGGAAAAAGACCGTAGTTGATCACACTAATATAGTTATGCCCAATAGTTGATGCCCGTGCAAAATACGCTCATCACCTATGGGAGGGACCGTTAGGAAACTTTCTCTTAACACCATGGGCAGAAGAGAAGGAGCGTCTGCAGCATGCCCAGAGGTCCATACTGGCACAGACTGCATATAGACAAACCGTCCGACAAGCGTAAGGCGATAGACACAAGAGGGTGCTATCGCTCAATGCTCCGTCTCAAATGCGATCGATCTCTGCAAAAATGGTCGAATGCGCAACATGCGAACTTCGCGAAGTGGAGATGGAATTCAAGAAGACAGACCGCCCGCTAGCGATCAGAAAACAATGATTCCCATGAGTTTGTTCACTAGAGGTCAGTAACTGCAAGTCGTTGCAGAGAATTTAGTATGTTTGCACACGGCGACTATCTTTTGTCTGTAGCTTTGTCTCTGAATACAGGTCGTTGTTCGTCTGTCCTTCCAGACTGGACGCTACAGCACGTTGCTGGCCATGGCATTGATCGTCATCTGCAAACCATTCTTTGGTCTGCCCTTGTTCGCCAGGACTTACGTTGCTGCATGTCGTGGGCTCTCACTGCGGGTGGAATGACCATTAGTACTGTACATACCACTCCACCACCATTAACCCCATTTATGGCACACTGCAACTGTATATGGTCTAATGAACTTTGGATAAGCCACGGCGCATGCGCGTATTTGATTGCATTATTACCCCTTTGACCCCTGGCTTTCTGGCCTTTATAAACCGTGCGCGTCCGCGTTCCGCGCCTTTCTTCACATCGAGTTCGGCATCCCTCTTGGCAGCTGCTATCTGTCTGTGACGGTAGCAGTGGTCCACTTTTGGAACTGCTTGCCAGCTCCACTCTGCGCCGGATCGGTCCCACTTCTGCGCCGAGCTGCTATGTTCACATGTCTGTGACGGTAGCAGCTCCACTTCTGCGCCGGACCGATCCCACTTCTGCGCCGAGCTGGAGCAGTTCCACTTTTTGCGCCGGATCGGTCCCACTTCTGCGCCGAGCTGCTATCTGTCTGTGGCGGTAGCAGCTCCACTTCTGCGCCGGACCGATCCCACTTTGCGCCGAACTGCTTGCCAGCTCCACTCTGCGCCGGATCGGTCCCACTTCTGCGCCGAGCTGCTATGTTCACATGTCTGTGACGGTGGCAGCTCCACTTCTGCGCCGGACCGATCCCACTTCTGCGCCGAGCTGGAGCAGTTCCACTTTTTGCGCCGGATCGGTCCCACTTCTGCGCCGAGCTGCTATCTGTCTGTGGCGGTAGCAGCTCCACTTCTGCGCCGGACCGATCCCACTTTGCGCCGAACTGCTTGCCAGCTCCACTCTGCGCCGGATCGGTCCCACTTCTGTGCGAGCTGGAGCAGTTCACTTTCTGAGGGATCCGCCGCCACTCCACTTTCCTTCTATCATTTCTCTAGATTCTCAAAACTCGCACAAGACGAAGAAGGTTGAATTACAGATTTGCTGCGCTCGACTCGGGTAAGTACGCGCTCCTCTTTAGGCACTTGCTCGTGCCCATCTGATTTTCTCTAGATTCTCAAGACTTGCGCAAGACGAAGAAGATTCAATCACAGATTTGCTGCCCCCGATTCAGGTAGGTGATCTTTCCAAACTCGATTTGACAACAAGAGCAACAGGCGCCATTGACGTTGTACATAGGCGAACAAGCTGAGAGAAGAGAGTGGTTGTTGCGGGCGACGATCAGGGTCATTGCGCGCAAAGTGCTGTACACCCAATATTTTCTTATGGGCTTTAGACGGAATATATGTAAATAGTGCAACAGCTCCCATATTGCCAGTTTATACATTTGTATCATGCATCAAATAGAACAGATGAAGCACATTTAATGGCGCACGCCTGGATGACGAAGGTGGGCCTTTACGGTGCCCACTGGATCTGTGCCGAGGGCTTTGGCTCCATCAACGGTGGAGGTGACGATGGGGTTGGGGGTGTAGGAGGTGATGGTGGTCGTGGCTCCTGTCACGACTACCTTTCCAAAGTCGATGGCTCCGTGGACCTTTCAACGTCGCAGGGAATGAGGAGCCACGACCACCTTTCCAAAGTCGATGGCCGTAGTGTGAAGGCGCTCTTTGCCGACGCAAGCATGCGTACGCTACTTTTCAGGGTTGTTGATTCCATGCTCGGTCCACACACAGTCGGCACAGAGGAATGCTTTCCACTTAAGATGTTGGCAGGGATCAATTCAATGGCTAGGACAAACAGACTTTCCATTCGTGGGTTTCAGACACTAGATATGCAAGGCTCGTGTCGAAGTATTGACTGTTAAGCATGGCAGGAAACAGTGCAGTGAGTGAAAGAAGTTAAATGTATGGCCTACTTTCCAGGAACTAGTGTGTGAGATCGTGCGTGTACCGCATTTGACAGACGACCTCAAAAAATAATAAGACATAAAGCAAATACCGCTACAGTACGGAAGCACTTTGCTATATACTTTATGATGTATATATCCCGGTAACAGGTCTTTACTTTGACTTTGTATTTTCAAACTACTGCATTTTTGGGCTCAATTCCTGGCGGCAAAAAAAGACCACTGGCCTTGGTAATTGCTATACAGTTAATAGCCATAAGGTAACAGTAATTTGGATGACGTTCAGTATATTGTAGTAACTAGGATGCTCTAATCCTAATGAGATAAATCAAGCAGATGGAACAACGGGCATGAGGAGAGCAAATGGTGGAGCTGTGGAGCGCCTTAAAATACTGTATCCGCATCAGGTCATGGTCATGTGCATACGATCATGTGACAACAAATCAAGAAGATCACGGGGCTAAATGATTGCAACCACAATAGACCAGTTCAAACCAGCTGATATGCTTTGAACACTGAACACTTCGATATACGAGTTGCAGTAAAGTATGATATGTGTACCGGAGATGCATTACTGGTTTGCTTTAGGGGGGTGATATACTGAAAAGGATGTGTCACTGGCTTCATAGCATTGCTATATAGGTGCACGAGTCGTGAGCAGTAGAATTGGAGATTTGTATTGACAGCTGGCAAAGGCAAAATAGTGCCGTATAGCGGGGTGTATGACCAGATGTACTGATTGGAAACCAGTGCATAGTCGTTGCGGTAGTAGTCATCATATCTAAGGTGTCCCTATGTGCACCCATATCCACTGCGAAATGCAATACTCGAGTTTTTTAATCAAAGCCTATGTACCGCGACATCATGGTTGATCGTTTTCCTGCGGTAAACGCTTTTCATTTGGGGTTGTGCACATTGAATGAACTGGTACTCGGTGTTAATTGGCCTGGCTTTCGGTTCCGTTCACCCGGGTTACCCGAATTTCTTGTAAAACAATTTTGCAACTGGTGCGAGGGATCAAATCAACGTTTTCTAACCAACACAGCAGGGGGTGGGATGACCTTGACGCCCGCACTTAAGAGGACAGCTCACATCCTTTGTATTCGGCCTCATCTACGATGCAAATAAGTCTTCGTCACGACATTGCAAGGGCTCTTCTTGTCTTGCGCACATCTTTCTAATTGCGGGCGGCCTTTGCACCGTGAGCCTTATATCTTCCCTGATATTGCTTGGAAGACGACATGAAAGGGCGTTTCAGTGTGCTACCTAGTTCGACCTGTCATCTAGACAAAATGCAAACAAAAGACATTTGAATCCAAGAAGCAAAGGTATGACTTGGCCTTTGCGGATTGCCCAGCGGCGGAAAGCGATTGTTGAGTACGTAGATGTGCGGAACTGGCCTCGGCGTCGTAGGTGT